CCAGCGAACTTCGTACCACCATAAAAATAGGGGCAGGTGGTAGAAGAGAAAATTTAGGGTAGTATGTATTTTTTCATACCACATTAAAAAAAATTGTCAATGTTATATGTTTCTATGTCTATTTTGGTGAAAAGAAACCAAATATTATTAAAATTTAAGAAGACGCATATGATTTAATGATAGAATCTAAACACTGTTTATTTGTGTTGAAACGAAAACAATAAATTTAGTACCCTTAGTACGAGTGCGAGCTCACGAAAACTATCATAGTTTTCGTAATTGTAAACTCGTACTTAGGGTACAGGTCAGATTTCCATACCCCTTTGTATCAAAGTGTAGTTAAGGTACCCCTGCACCAGTAGCAGTACCACAATAGTATCGATATTATGTTCTTGGCCCAATTTTGCCCAGTCTTCTTTTATAATCTTTAAAATAATGTATCGCATGCTTGTTAATTCCGTGCTATAAGTCACTGTAAAATATTTAATTAACGTTAAGCTCAGGACGCAAGAATCAAAGTGAGATTCACTTTGCTTATTTTTTAATCTTATTAAAGTTTTATTAAACTAACGCTTAGTTTCACTCGAAAGAAAATATGATCATTTATCTTAACTTAACCCCTAGGTTTCTCTAGCTGCGGATAACTAGAGATGGGCGTTTTTAAATATACGGACCACACGCCACACCCACAAACGCCACCACGAGAAGCTAGAAGCGGAAGGGTGGGAAATCGCGCGAGTGACGTGTGGCAGCGTTTTGTATCGGCGCGGCGTATTAAGTGGCTGGTGCGGGCCACAAGATGTAAAGTTAACTATAAAACTTATTGTAACTATATATCTATATTCCAAAAGATGTAATGGAAGGTAACTTCAGAAGTATCTCTGAAATCGTTTTCCAACTTGACGACTCTGTATATATAATAATACAAAAAAAAACACCCCTAGCTGAGTTTCTTGCCGGTTCTTCTCAGTACAAGGTCTCCGTCGTAGTTTTGCGAACCGATGACATACCTTCTCAAGTGCTTGTAACAGCCTAGAGTGAACCTAGAGTTTGATTCCTCATTTTAGTTATTTTTCACGGTTTAAACTCAACCAAAAACCGACTGACTAGCGTGGCTCACTAGCGAGTCAATTCGCGCGGCATGCTTTCACAAAAGTGAACGCGTAGCCAGTGCAGCGTAGCCACAAGTGTGAATAGCGCCGTAGCGCGTTTGGAGCGTTCCCAAGGCACGCCGACTTTTTTTCTATCAAATATAGTTTTTTCGAAGCTGTTAGTTACCTCTAAAAATATAGTAGAAGACAAAAAAGTAACTGAAGAAATAACAACGCATTTGACAGATGTCGCCAAAACAACATGGCCGCCACAAACTGTCAACATCGACCCGCCCTATTTGAAAGACCCTTTATATATTTTTGTTTTGAAATATAGTATTTGATTCCCTAATATAGTAGAATCCTATATTATATAGTAGGGTTGGCAACCCTACGTGTGCCCTGGGAATGCGTGATCCGAACGCAGCATCACGATTTACCGTCAACAATGTTTCCCTGATTTATTTTCATCGTAACTCAGAACGAACTACTAACTTTTTGCGTACACTCAATTAGGTATTCAGTACACGTTAATTTGCGATATTTCATTCAAGTGTGCAGGCAGAATTAGCAAGAACTTATTACGTAGGTCGGTAATACCTTTACCGACCTACGTACTGCGTTCACAGGAAATTCTCGTCGCGCGAATTTCTTCTAGCTACACTTTCAGCTTATTATAAATGTAGGTAGCAGCTTAATGCTAAAAAAAAACAGTATAAAAATCTTAATTTATTTTAAATGAATCTAAATCTCATTTATCGAGAACTGAGTTCAATTAAACTCGCAGGCAGGTAAATAAATAACAGGTTGTTTTATTTGAAAAGAGTTAAATTGCGCAAGTACCACTATTGGAAAAAACAGACTACAATCAGATTGTTTCCTCATTTAGCTCAACGAATCATAATTAAATCTCAGTTAGGTACTATCGAAACCGACGTAGAATAACAATGAACGTAATCCGAAATACATACAGGCATTGTTACCACTTTATAAGCTACCTACAACGATATTAAATACCCTAGACTCAAAATGTGTCCCAATCAAGAAGTGCTTGAACTCCACTCCAGCACTTCTTGGTTCACAGTCACGCGCGGACCGTTACAAAGACAAGATGCCACAGCAGAGCTCCGCGAAAAAATGCGAAAATAATACTTAGTGTACGAAAAGTGTCGTTTTTTCGACAGGTGTCTAGTCAATGTTTGTTAATTTAACGGGGAGGGAGCTACACGGGCACGCCCAAGTAGCCCTCCGCAGCGGACGGGGTACGGTGGGCACTAGGCGGGCGGGCGCGTACTCAGCCTTCACGCGCGGGCCATCCTGCACAAGTCTGCGGGGTCCCCGCGATACCCCGGGAGACCCCTGCCGTGGAGCCCCGGCTGGGCCGTGAGGCTACTGGGTGCGGAGACGCGGAAGAATCCGTAAACGGGGATCCCGCGGCTTCGCACTAAGCAGCTTAGAGGGTATTCGCAGGGTTTTTAACGGATAGTACGCCGTTAAGCGTGCTCGTAAATGGCGCGGGTTACTTTGGGGGTTAGCCCCATCGTGTCCGTGGCGTTTGCGGGTGCAGGGTGTGAGGTCCGTTCGGCGGTGTGCCTCTTAAAGGAGCCGTCGTCTGTAAACAGAGGGTTTGCCTGCGTCACAAAAAAAAGGATGCTCAAATCAAGAAGAAGCTCAAGCTGGCCTCATCTTAAATAATAATAAATAAATATTTATAAAATAATAAATAAATATTTCCATCACACACCAATTAGCTTAGCCCCAAAGTAAGCACTGTAAGAATTGTGTTATGGGATGCTTGGCTAATGGATAGAATACATATACTGTACATATATAAGTATGTATATTTATATTGAAATACATATTAAACATCCATGACTGGAGTACAAATGCTCGTATTCATCACACAAACATCAGCCCCCACCGGGATTCGAACCCGGACCTCTCGAGTCGGCGACATCATGAAACCCAGTGTACAAACCACTCGGCCATAGATTTAAGATTCGTTCACTCAGATAATAGAAGTTCTGTAATCACGATCAATTTAGGACCAGTGGTAATGGACTTAACTTAGGTATTTAGATTTACTATAAAAAATGGTTTTGATTTATTTTGTCGTAATCTGTAGGCACATGGCATTACAGAATACTGTGGCACAGTAAAGGATTGGAGGATTTATATCCTTCCCTTATGTAGTAATGAGCAAAGTTTTTCAATATATTTTGTCCAGTGCGCGTTTCTGACAAAAACGTTGGTCCATGCTGTAATAAACTAATATCATAGGATTAAAACATTTCAAAAGCATTCGTTTTCGTATAATAATCATTGACAAACGTCTAAGAGCAGAAATGCTCGTAATCAGCAGATTAATATGAACTATAATATGATTTTTGCATTAAAATTCTGTTATTTAACCAAGTTCATCACAATATTTTACATACCATAATGCAACGTATCCATACTACATGTCCCACGTTTTTTAATACATTTTAGGAAAATTCTTAGGACAAAAAGAATCAAAAGGCAATATTATTCCTTAAAAAATAATGCATAAATATTTAGGATAAAACAGAATTTACAAGTATGTTATTAATGACTTAGAGATAGTCAATTTGTATTTTGTAAGACAAGGACGTACCTATTTATTATTCATTCATTTTAGAAAACCACTCTCAAGACAACTTCTAAAGTAAGTAGGTACTGTTATGCATATTTGAAAATGTATTATGATAATTGAGATTTCGGACTTTTTACAGGTTTCATGATCATAAGATGAGATCTCAGTTAATATGATAACACAATATCTACCTACCTACTTAAATATTTAGGACTGGGTATGTAATGTAGGCAGTAGGGTTACCAGATTGAGAAATCAAAATTTCTGGACAGTATTATAAGATATCTGGACATTAGAATTTTTGGCTGGAAAAAAAATCAGCATGACTATAAAAAAATCTTATTATTACTAAACAGAGGAACCTTAATTAAACAAAATTAATATGAAATCACTTTTTCTGCCACATATATTTAGCATTTCCTTTAGCCGCATTTATCATTTTAGAACCTCTATCTGTATTTAGAAAAGTGTTGCCAACTCGGTGGAAAACCACTGATACTGGTGGTTTTTAATTTTTAGCTTCATTTTAACTGGACATTTTGCCTAAAACCGGGACACTGGACAACGTGTGAAATAGCTGGACAATCCAGCCAAGTCCAGTCAATCTGGCAACCGTAGTAGGCAGGTATAATGTTAAGAGCTCGATGGCGCGAGTGGTTAGCGCGTTCGGCTGCGATCGTTGAAGTTAAGCAACTTTCGCAGTGGTCCGTCATTGAATGGGTAACCAAAAATCTTATATATGGAGTTCCTCCGTGCTTCGGAAGGCACGTTAAGCCGGCGTTCCCGGCTGCATCTGCAGTCGTTAACGCCCGCCAATGCCCGCACTGGGCCCGCGTAGTAGATCATGGCCCAATCTCCCTATTCCATCCATAGGCAAGGCCTGTGCCGCAGCTGTGGGGACATTAATCAGCCTATTGGCTGATGATGATGATGAAAATTTCAGGTACAGTACAATAATAATTTTAAAGGGTTTTCTTCAACCAAAATTAGGTAAATCAAATAGCAAACAGAAACAAGTTAGATTTAAAATAAAAATGTTCATAATTGATTTATTAAATTTATACAATCATATCATATAGAATTCTCGTCTTATCAACGATATTACGTCTTATTTACAAAATTATCATGTCACAATGTCAGTAACCATACTCCTTCGAAACGGCTTGACCGATTTTTATGAAATTTTATATGCATATACAGCAGGTCTGAGAAACGACTACTATCTTTTTTTCATACCCCTAAGTGATAAGGGGTGATCCATGTCTAACATTTATTTTTTATATTTTGGACAATTTTTATTTTTTTATAATGTGGCATTAAAAATACAAACAACCTTAAATTTTCACCCTTCTAATACCAGCCCCAATTTTTATGGCGGTACGAAGTTCGCTGGGTCAGCTAGTTATTACCTATTAAAATGTGTTACTTACTACTGAATATAATGTAAGGTAATTCCCTACTACTATTGCATGTCGCAATTAAATGCTGTGCACCTGAATGTTTAGACCAAGGTTTAGGTTAAGACTTATCAAGCAATTATCACATACTTGAATAAAAAGATTAATAATGCGCCCGACTGTTTCCCTTAAGAAGATTCACAGCCAACTCAACTGCATTCATAGCAGTGCCTGGTGCGCACATGACTCCATATCCTCCGTGTCCATAACAATGCACCACCTTCAAACCACCCACCATCTCGGGCTCCACGCGCACAGGCATCCTGTGGGGCCGCAAACCCACCCTCTGCTCCACAATCTCAGCCTTTTTCAACCCCGGCAACATTTCGTAACAACGTTCCAAAATGGCGGCGGTGTCGTGCTTACAAACCGCCAAATTGTAACTGTCGTACTGCCTCACACCGCCAAGAGTTGCCACCCCATCCAAGCCAGGAATTATGTAGGTGTCATAATCACCGTAAAACGCAAATTTTAACCAAGGCGCGCGAACTTTTACCACCTGTCCGCGCATCGGCACCAAATTGTAATCGTTGCACAAGTATTTCGCGCCAAAACCAGTGCAATTTAAAACTAAATCGTACTTTGATAGTGATGTGAAACTGTCGACTTTATCGTTTACAATCACGCCCCCTCTGCTCTTGAAGATTTGCTCTAGCCAAGGTAAATGTTTTTCGCATCCCGTTTTCAGCGTTGAGAAGTAGGAACCGTACTTCCAATTACCTCCAACTAGTTTCAACTCATCTTCGTCCACTGATCTGTAAGTAGGAACGAGATCCTCGATTAGATGATTTCGAGTGACGGAATAATTGTCTTTGGAAAATATGTAACTGTCGAAACCCATAACGCCCGCATCGACAGCATCTGAGCTTTTCAGGATTTCTTGCCAGTAATGCCACGAGTCGTTGACCCATTTCTTCGTTATCTCCGGTGTGGCTCCCCTGAAACTTGTTCCTGGCCTGAAGATACCGGCAGCCACGCAACTCGTGGTTTCTTGGTGAAATTTTTCAGCGATTAGTGTTACACTCGCTTTCTTTAATTCTTCTTGTATTAATTTTGCTGTCGTTAGACCGACGATCCCAGCCCCTATGACAGCTATTTTAGGAGAATCTTTGTTCATGATTATCTGTAACATGTAAAGCAAATTATGTTGAGCTAAGGGCACATCAGACTAACAATACACAACTTCACGTATTATGTATTGTGCGATTAGACAAATGGATTACAGTATCCATTGTCACAGCTTAATGGTTTTGAAACTATACCTACCCCTATCTGTTTTACTATCTTTGCGGGAAACCTATACTAGGTATTGTTTTTTTTTTTGTCTCATTCAAACACATTAATAATAATGACTGTAAGTAATATATTAACACAAAGGGTTATTTAATAAGGCATTTAAAAATTACATTACGTCAACTGTCTTTAAATAATCACTATATTTTTAACATTGCACTGGTGTCGATTCTAGCATGATTCTCTAAACCTAAACTTAAATTATATAACATAACAAGGATATACTGCTGTATAGAGTCTATACAGAATGAAAAGGAGAGACTGATGTTAAATTTAGTTTTAAGTTTAGATAATCACGCCCGAATTGGCACCACTGTCACATCTATGAGCATTGATTACTATTATAATAAAAGTTTCCCTTTGATAATACAGTATGAAATTAGGTACTTTATTTTAGATCATACGCAAATACATTCAATCACATTATCTTATTCGACATAGGTACCTACTTACCCCGTATCAATAGATACCAGGTTATCTTTATGATTTAATATAAAAACCAATATTTTGGGAATTAACGTTCGGTAAAATTAAGCAATGGAATTACTTATGCTTCGACCTGTGTCTGGACTGATTAGACGTAATAGGTAATATGCTATTTATATATTTAGATAAAGTACGTTGCTAACTTATGCAATATGACTTATCTTGTTGAGTTATTGACCCTACGGCCGCACTCAGACGTCAATAAAAAATACTTGACAAAGTAAGGTGTTATCTCATTCTATTGTGCTCGCGAAGAATGTGACACCATTCCACTAGCCCCGGGACACTTACGATTTGCACCCCCCTCTCGCGCCCTAAATGACAAAATATATGTCAGTAACGAATTTCTTTACATGACTTCTGCCGCCTCTTGCAGCTGCCCCTCGCAGTCTGCCGCCCCATGACATTGCCCCTTTTGTCCCTCTGGTAAATACGCCCCTGTTTCTAGAGTTAATTTCCGAAAAAAATAATATCTGCTAGGTTCTGATAAAGTTATTTTTTACCCGGCTGCGCAATGCAAGAGCGCAAAGCGCGACGCGCAGACAGGGTTATTGTATTAATAGTCATCTGTATGTAAACAATAAAGAATTTTATCTATCTATTTAACTGTTGCCAGTATTAAGTAATCTGTAGCTCAAGTAACGAACAGACGTCTTAACTACACATCTTTACGTTACATACCAAATTGTAAGGTAAGTTAATAGTTTTAAATATAAGTTGCTCTTAATTTTTTTTTTAATACTACCTAGGTATTAGGAATATTTCCATCTAAACTTACCACTGTAAGGCTGATAGTGGTATTTTTTGCAAAAATGTATTTCGAATGCTAACAGCTCTACAATTTCGCTGTTTGCAATAACTAATGACTTACGAAAACAAATAAATATGACCTCAGCTTTAAAAAAAATTAAGCACAATAAAGTAGATATCTACTTGGGCGCATCATTTAAAAGAGGACCATTCGGTTCTATTATTGGTACAGTTTACGCTTTCCATAAATTGAGACCACTTAAATAAGAAATGAAATAAGTAGCCAGTAACCTTAGCCAGTAGTGAATGACGGATTTTCATTTCTCTCAATTTATGTATGTATAGTAAGTAGTACATTCTAAATAAGTATTGTAAACTTTCTGAAACTTGTAAACTTGTACAATTTTACAATAAATCGTTAAGGTGCCGACTCCTAACTCTCAGTCTATATATCAAATGAGTATACAGTAAATTGACACCTATTTTTTATCCATGTAATCTTTAGTGCCACAATAATAAAAAGACCTACAGAAAGAGGACACATTGTACTTAAACAATATTAACTTTCTTAGTTACATTATAAAGTTTGCAAATTGGAAAAGCTAAATTAATATGGAGTAGTTAGTAGGTCGGTGCCTATAATCTAAATGCGTTTAAACAAAACACTTCTTACTTTCAGCTTGTTCAATGCAGTTTGTTCCTTAAAAATATTCCAATCTTTCCACTACACTACATGTACCTATAATAATCTACTGTGAGCAAAAATAACCCAAGCCGAATGCTAGAGACGTGTAGAGAAGCAACGAGTACGTGGTCATGTATTTGTAGATGATAATATATAACTGATTAATCGAATTGCGTTTAAAAGAGACAAGCAAGAGACAGACTTGATAATAATAAAATCAAAACTCAAAAGAGTAGCTTCGGCACACACTTTCTTTTATTTATTTTACCTTATCTAAAAAAATAGAATAAAAAAGTAATGTGATTTGTCAAAATGGTGTTATTTATTTACTAGAAAAGTAATTTTCAATATTTTATTTTTCTGAAAAACTATCAGTGCCCTGGTGTGGAGACTTTGCATAGAGACTTCATTAATAGACACCTTTTCACCAAAAAATGGTGGTGTCAATTCTTGGGCCCTGGAAGTACAGTTTTACCACAGCTTCGCACGGGGCCCAACCGCGTTTAGAATTTAACACTACGCGTCGTTGTTGAAGTTATACTTCTTTAGGCACGTTATGAAAAAATGATGAGAGTGAAATTTTTAGATGCGCGCGCATCAATGTAACCCAAAAGTAACAGCATGAAGTTGGCCGCGGGCGCGTTATGAAAAAATCATGTGAGTGAAATTTCGAGATGCGCGCGCATCACTGGTTGCTTTCCAATTACAGCATTATTGCGCATTATGCGGCATAATGCTTAACGTTGAGTGTTCCAACTACAGCAACGCTTCGCACAATTGAGCACTCTCAAAAGTGATGCTTTCGTGTGATGCGTGCAATGGTACCAACTTAGAGACAGAAAATTAACAAGTGTTTTTTCTTTAAGTTGGCATTGATCGAAATGTTTTATTTATATGTTATCGTTAGTAATATTATTTATTGTTGAAAAATTATTAAAGCTTTCGTTTCATTAAATAGTTTTTTTTAAATAATCAAAGTTCATTCAAACTGTTAAAAAATAAATATCAGTATGGATGAAGGTACAAACATTGACTTTTTTTTTCAACACTGAACTTAGCGCACTCTGCTGGTGCATTTGAAAACTAATTCACGTTCCAATTAAGCATCAGCATAATTGGGCATTGTGCGGCACTGAGTCGCATTATGCTCTGTAGTTGGAAAGCAACCACTGTAACACAATAGTAACACCATGAAGTTGGCCGCGGGCGCGTTATGAATGTTAGTGTCTAATAATGGTGGATTATTAACCACTTAGTGGTTAGTATCTATTCGAAAGGTACTTTGAACGATGGAGACTTTGCATAGAGACTTCATTAATAGACACCTTTTCACCAAAAAATGGTGGTGTCAATTCTTGGGCCCTGGAAGTACAGTTTTACCACAGCTTCGCACGGGGCCCAACCGCGTTTAGAATTTAACACTACGCGTCGTTGTTGAAGTTATACTTCTTTAGGCGCGTTATGAAAAAATGATGAGAGTGAAATTTTTAGATGCGCGCGCATCAATGTAACCCAAAAGTAACAGCATGAAGTTGGCCGCGGGCGCGTTATGAAAAAATCATGTGAGTGAAATTTCGAGATGCGCGCGCATCACTGTAACACAATAGTAACACCATGAAGTAGGCCGCGGGCGCGTTATGAATGTTAGTGTCTAATAATGGTGGATTATTAACCACTTAGTGGTTAGTATCTATTCGAAAGGTACTTTGAACGATCCACGGAGCTCCATAAGATGATCGCGTTGTCAAAAACAATGTTGGCACGCTCGTCGCCTCTGATCACTGTTTTCATATTTATAATATTTATCCACGTGTTTCTAGTTTCTATATAGACACAACGTGTTTTAGTAACTTACAAGTGCTAATTACATATGGACTAATAACTTAAATTCACTAGTGATTTTAATTGAATGTTTTGAATATTTATTTAATTTTTCAAATTAAAACTGAACTTAATTGACTGTGTTAACTATCCTTTTCCAGTCCTTTTATTATTTTATTGTAATTAATAATTATTTGCATGCAATTAAAAAATATTTTTAATGATGCTAAAGAAGTATAACTTCTCACGCGCGTACATAAGTTACACGCATCCATTTTTTAATATCTGTTTTTGTTAACAATATACCAGCTTCACCTTTAATTATAGTCCACGTCATTTAAAGTCCCCATAGGACCCTTAACAAGTATTAACACCCAAAGTCCTATTTAAATGTATGTAATACCTAATTCAACTATGAATGCTTGAAAGTTCTATCTGATAGACACTACTTATTATATCATTCTAGGCTAACTCTCTTTTAATAATTGACCTAAACCTATAGTAAAAACTTTATGAAACACATTCACGTATTAGATGATAAATTAAAATTTATAAATCTAAATTATGTTTTATTTTACTTGTTGCAGAGTCAAGACCGCAGCGGAAAAATTACAATCAGCTGTCAGGAAACGAAAAGTTGGACAATCGACAAGTAGAAGATATTCACATCGAAGAAGCTGAAGTAGAATCGGATGCCAGCAGTACCGATTTAGATGAACGTGACACAAGAGGGGTTTGCCCCCCTTGTGCACATGATCGATACAACAATAACATCCGAAGACATGCACACGATGATTTCAGCGATGACACAGATTATGGTTCGTACAATGTTAAATTCATATTATAAAACGCACTAGTTACTTACAGTTTATTAGAAAAAATCGCTAGGTCTTGCGTGCCGCTACCTATCGATTAAGTCCGCACATGCGCATCACTATGAATGAAAATGAAGAACAAAACGCCTTTGCCGAAAAAAACTATCTGTGCTCTATAGTAACTGTCACTGTCAGTGTCAGTCGTGATATGTCATTCATTTATCAACGTTTTACGTTATTACATTTGCTTCCTTTCAGTTTGTGAAACCTTGTTTTTATTTTAAATAAATCAGATAGAATTAGATAGTCGTAAAAACTATAACTCGTGTGCTATTATCAAAATGACCAACCTTAAGTCGGAACTAGATGAATACATGCTACAAAAAGAAAGTCGCAGAAGCTATTTCAGTTTTCCTACAATTTCTACCCCAAGTTTCCTATCGAGGAGTACAGAAAGTCCCGACGATGACACTGTTACTTGGTTTCAACAAGCACATAAAGATTATTGTACTTTGGTAAGTCTATTACTGATAATCACAAAACAATTTATATTAAATACACTTCTATGAGTCATCATAAAGTATTGTTCAGTAAGTATTTAAAACAATATATTAATCGACACTTCGTGTTTCAGAGTCGGACACAAAGATTTATTGGCTTTGGAGTATGTTTGGGCTTTGGATTGTTGTGCTTCATACTATCATTTATCTATATTCCAGTACTGCTATTGCAAGCAAAGAAATTTGTCCTACTTTTCACATTGGGGAGCTTATTTTTTATTATGAGGTAAAATATGTCATTAGTTTTTGTTTTTATTACATTAATAATTGTGGTCTATTTATAACTTTGTCAAACTGGAAATTGGAAACTGCATTCAGACTAACAAAACAGATGCTTTTATCTAACAAGTTATCAGGCTGAAATGTAACTGGAGACACCTGGAATATGATTTTAGGGATACTGTTTTCAGTATAGTGTATACCTGAGCTTAATTATTTTGTTAAATAGTAAAAGTTAGCTTTATAATTTGATCTTATATTATATAAAAATTAATTGCTGTTTGTTAGTCTTGCTAAAACTCGAGAACGGCTGAACGGATTAATCTTATCTTGGTCTTGAAATGTTCTTGGAGGTCTAGGGAAGGTTTAAAAGGTGACAAAAATTTTAATAGCTCTACACCAAAGCAAAGCGAGGTCCGGCCACTAGTGCTTAAATAAAATAAAATTAATACAGACACTTAAGAATGTCAGACCATAACTTGCTGTTCTATGTACTGTTCAATATTGATTATGAATGTGTATGTTGAAATACTAAATTACTCTTTTTTTACTTCCAGCTTCAGCTTTCTGTATGGACCATGGGCACACATTAAATCTTTATTCTCAAAAGAAAGAGCCTTAGCTACCTCTCTATATATATTCACTATGATAGTGACATTATACTGTGCCTTAAGCCTCAAAAGCACACTTTTGACAGTGCTAAGTGCAATAGCCCAATTTACTGCTCTGTTCTGGATGATTATGGGATCCGTGCCTGGGGGATCATCGGGAATGAGATTCTTCGGAAACATGTTCAAATCTTCAGTATCAAATACGCTGCCAATATAACAAGAATGTATAATGTTTATACCAATTTTTCGAAATGCCTATAAGGCAAACTATGGACTTTTCAACACATCAATATCAATGTTATCTAATAGTTATCTTTATACATTCTCCTTACATATGAAAAGTTAAAAATATGGAAGTTTGACAGAAAATAAACTTTCTCCTATCCTTTTTCCTAGTACATCGGTAAAATAATTGTGTGATGACAAATATTGAAAAAAAAATAGATGATCATATGAATTGATAACACTTCTGTTTATATACCAACCATAAAAAATCCATCCACCTGATATTTTTCTAGAAAATTTTACTAGAAAAAATTCCATGTGGTCCAGGTAACAGACTGGATTCAAACTCATACATGTGTTTAACGTTTGAAAGAAGAAATAGCAATTGTAGATTCTTATATTTATTTTTTTAGCATTTAACTGCTAGATTTATGAATGTATAGAAAGTATTACTAGAAAAAATCCACCCAGTTCAGGCATCAGACGGGATCTAGAATATTTTCTACAGATTTATGAATCTTTCAGTTAAATGCTTAACAATAAAAATAAAATAAGAGTATACACTGTACATTCACTTATTCAGTGATAAAAAATGTAGGGTCATGTTTTATATAGGAAAGCTTATAAACCTTGTTTAATTATCTATATATATAAAACTCAAAGGTGACTGACATAGTGATCTATCAACGCACAGCCCAAACCACTGGGCGGATCGGGCTGAAATTTGGCATGCAGGTAGATGTTATGACGTAGGCATCCGCTAAGAAAGGATTTTGATCAATTCTACCCCCAAGGGGATAAAATAGGGAATGAAAGTTTGTATGAAACTTTGTCAATTTTAAACCGATCGGGCTGAGACTTTGCATGCAGGTATAAGAAGAATCATAGATGAATGTCATTGTGTATAATACAACCCTGAGAACAAAAACTGTATTCTACACCGAAGCGAAGCGAGGGCGGGCCGCTAGTTTATCATAAAATGAAGCAGAGTTAATAATTGTAACATAAAGAGAGTTGTTTTACAAAAATTAGCAAGTGGCAAAATTTTTCATTCTTAATATAGTTTCTTGTTGTATACTTTTTAATCTGTAAGAACTTTTTGTAAATATTTCTAATTAAGAATTTGATGATTTTACTTATGAATGAGGTATTATTAATATTTTTGTATGGGCGGCTCTTGCCAAAGTGATCTTAGCATTTACTATAAAAATTCCCTTTCCTTTCATCTATTTGCTTAGCTAAAAAAATACTGCTTGTTTAATTAAACAAACAATACATAGAAATGTAAGTGCATAAATCTGAATTCATTATGATCTATACATTTGCCAAATTTTGAATTTGTATTAAAGCTGATTGTGATATTAGCATACTAAAATGCCTACTAAATAAAGTCAAATTTATTATGTTTCGACAACACGTAAATAAGTAGTTATCTGGAACAGAAATTAATTACAATTAAGGTTAGCACAATAATCATATCAACGGATGCAGGTGGCAGATATTTTATTTAAATAAATTATTTTAACGTATGTATGTAGTTTTGATTGCTTGTGTATCCATAAAAAACTACATATCCTGTACGTATATGGGAATACGTAGCGCTGTGGTTGACAATCGACCCCCATGGTGGAGTGGTTCGTACACCGGATATGAAGGTGTCGTCTGCTCTGGTCCTGCCCCCATAGCATATGCACCGCGATACTGTTTACGATTTAAGATCTTTATTCTCATAAAGAATTATATATAACACGTTTTTATAACGCTCAATTTTCAACTGAACCGATTTTGAATATTATTTTTATTTTCGAGCGTCTTATGGTGTCATAAGCTTAAAGCGCCTACTGACATGCCTGCTGCAGGGAAAATCTAGGGTGTAAGAGTGGGGATGACCCTTAAATGCCTCCTGAATTGTGATGTGTGTAGGCAAGTTCAATTTTATAAATCGGGCCTGCGGCAGGGCGGCAGGAGCGCGAGACCACCTTTGGTTCCTAGATTGTCCCTGCCACCCTGCACGTTGCCGCGTGTGTAGCGCGATCGGGGCAATTTCTCAATCAGTCGGTTGGTAGCAGTCAGACGGAGACGGAGCGCACGTATTTCGATGAAGGTGGCGGCAGATCATAATGAGCATGAAGTTTGGACACGAGTGATCGAAGTGTATAAAGACTGTATTTATTTAATATTTTTTAATTTTAAGTATGTAACTGCTAGATGTTTAAAATAGTTTTTTTTTCTTCTAATATTTCTTTAGATTCAAATATAGCAGTTACATGCTTAAAAAAAATAATTATAACTTTAATTGCTTTTAAATGTATAACACTTGTAAAGGTATTAATTTGACATTGTGGGTTACTTATAATGCGAAGAGAAGACGCTGCCTTGCAGCTTAAGAAAGGCTAGAAAGAATTGGATACGGCCGTCAGGGCCGCGGTAGCATAATTGATCAGTGCATTCGCCCGGATAGCGAAGGATGCGGGTTCGAGTCCCGTCTGCTGCCAGGTCCGCGTGGTTTTTTATACATTTCTTTCTGTTGCGCATTCTTCACCCAGTATTTCCTTTTTTGCGGTAACACCATAGAAAAAGCCAAGGCTCTGCCTACCGATCATCTGAGTTTTTGATAACACTGGGACTATATAACGCGTGTGTTTAGCTCAACATACCCCCGAACACTGAGTAGCACTGTAGCAGGCATGTGTGTAGAGACAAGCCAAAATTTTACGAGCTTGCTTTTCGAACTGTAATAAATCTTTGACGCATGCGTTTTAATTAAGACCTTATGCAGTATGCGTTAAAGGTGACTTTTAATGTTTAAATAATGCCGTCTATTGTTTTTGACTACGCGATCATCTTACGGAGCTCCGTGGATCGTCCAATGTACCTTTTGGCTTAGATTAAAACAAAAATGGTAGATACGGTACGCTCATACTGGCATCAAACAAAAACTGATCCCACAGCAGCGCGAACGGGACGGCGAGATCCGCGTCACTGCATTACCGACTCGAACGAAACAGCACGTTAAGTTTCAACTGCAGCGCAAAAGAGACGGCGAGATCCGCGTCACTGCACTACCGATCAATCACGCGACCAGTACTCGACGTCACTACCGAATAAGATTCAAAACAAACAGCAATTTTTATGAAAAATGTATTTTATAGTACTTACGAATGAAAAGTGATGCCGTGGGTTTTATTTTAGTTCTTGAGCAATTTGAGCACTTTTTAAAAACACACTTAGGCATTGTTTTATCATATAAACACAAAATATTAGCAATATTTCTTTTTGGCGTTTACATGTACGTCGTTTACATGTCAAGTTGTGACTAAAGGTCGTGGACCACAATTCATGCGGATCACTTTTGTGAGGCTAGTGCCGTATCTACCCTTTTTGTTTTAATCTAAGCCTTTTGGACAGGTTTCGGCCACGATTTTGTCGTGTTGGTGCATCTAGGGCCTAGGGTATTTAATATCCTTGTGGCATCCGTGTAACCGCGCGGGTGAGCAATACAAATTAACATCCGCGCAAACACAAGTTGGCGGCATGCGCGTTGTGGCACTAGGTAATAGCCAGTTATTAGACATCGTACAATTCAAAATACATAGAATTAAGTGTTAAAAAAACCTTACTTATTTTCCAGACGAGGCGCTAACTTGCAACGTATGCGACAGGTCGTTTACCACACGTCGTCAACTCGGAGACCATCAGCAAAAGAAACGACATTTTGGGTGAGTAGTCTAGGTTGATGGATTGATTATTTGGGCATTCTCAGCTCTCATCTCAAGCTCCATTTCAAATATGTTACCATTTTATAGTAAGTCTATGACAAGAACGGCTAAAATAATATTGGTATTTCTCCTGTTAGGACGCCGTATTAGAATAATTTTACTTTATTTACAAGCTTCCTGAAGTACAGTCACGTTCTTAGTTTGGGATTCGCCTAAGGTTAAATATGGCACAGCAAACAGACATCATAATAATAGGTTCGTTGTCATAGCCACGTATTCCGTAAAAAAAATTACTCGCTTTAGTAAATATTCTGTACGGTTACTACTCGGAAACCGCCCTTGACAAAAATTAAAATCATTTTTGCCATTAAAAATATTAGATCAAATGAAGCAGAATTAATAAATTTGTTCGGTGCAATAACCGAATATTTACTTATATTTTGCTTATTTGCAATAATTGACACTGTCACGGCGCGGCGCCTGGCCTAATTTCGACGCCTATGCGAATGCAGTCATTAACATAATAACATTATTGATAACTAGCAAACCAGTGAACCAAATGTTCACCAAACCCTGATTTTAAAAAAAATGTATTTAATTAATTGAGAACTTCGAAGATTTTGTGTGGTTTCGTTTGAAATTCGTGATTTCTCGAAAACCGGAAGTGCTACGTTACTCAAATCCGGTTTGTAGTCTTATCAGACTATTCTTAACTTATAACTTAAATATTAACCACAGACGGACGGACGGACTTGTCTAATAGATAAGAGATGCGATTCAACTAAGAATAGGACCGCCTGGGTGCCATATTTTGACGTCATAACTGTCAATTCAAACCAAATAGGTAGAGTGAGCAAAAGAATGTTGCTATTTAATAAAACTTATTTAGTATTAGGTTTAAGTTTACTTATTAAGTGAGACAAAACATCAGATTTTTTAATAAAATTAATTAACTAAGGTTCAGAAAGACAGACATAATAAAAGGGTACCGCATCGGCCATGTTGCTCTATGATTCAGAATAATAACTAAAGCAAATGAGTCAATTCTTTGACCGAATAAAAACGACCAGGGGGCCAATCGCCTAACGGAAATGCTTTGGAAAACGTTAACGCTTACGATTTTATTTTGTTATTTCTAGCCGCCTGAGGTATTCAAATGCCTCGCGCTCTTTCTTTTTCTTTTGCATTGGTAATAACAATATTAAAAAAAATGAGCGTGAGGTATTCGAAAACCTCAGGCGGCTAGAAATAACAAAATAAAATCGTAAGCGTTAACGTTTTCCAAAGCATTTCCGTTAGGCGATTGGCCCCCTGGTCGTTTTTATTCGGTCAAAGAATTGACTCATTTGCTTTAGTTATTATTCTGAATCATAGAGCAACATGGCCGATGCGGTACCCTGGGGGCCAATCGCCTAACGGAAATGCTTTGGGAAACGCTAACGCTTACGATTTCATTTTGTTATTTTTAGCCACCTGAGGTTTTCAAATGCCTCGCGCTCTTTTTTTTCTTTTGCATTGGTAATAATAATATTAAAAAAAACGAGCGATAGGTATTTGAAAATCTTCGGCGGTCAGAAATAACGAAATAAAATCGAAAGCGTTAGCGTTTTCCAGAGCATTTCCGTTAGGCGAATAGCCCCCAGCACGTCGCTTTACGACCGTCGTGGTCGTGGTCAGAAACTTGGACACAGCCCAAAAGCTCAACCGCTTCTGCGATCAAGTTTACAGCAACGACCACGGCTGAATGTAGCGATTACTGGACTCTCTTCGTTCAGTGGACGCAGTGGATTTTCCCTTTTCAAAAAAAAATCCAAAGCCTAAAAAAACTTTTCACTTCAGAGTTCTCTTCAAACCAAACGTTTATAATTGCAGGTGCAGCGCGTGCGACAGCCTGTTCCCATCGCTGATGGCGTTAGAGCACCACAAGGAGGAGTTCCAGCACTGGAGCGACTCGTCGTACTGCAGCCACTCGGAATCCGACGACAGCGACCTCGAGCACTGCCACGAGGACCGTCATAGGCTGCTCTAATGCCACCACCTCATTATTGCCGGGGACAAGCCAGCCAAGCTGGGCACTTTCGTCTGAACTCTGTGGGGGCGTGACTGCAACCACTTGGCATACGTTGTCCGTGGTCCTAAGCAAAGTAATAAGCTTCAGACTAGTTACGTCGAGTTTTGTTCATGGACATGTAGTCACTAATCCAAGCTTATTCTTTATTTATTAATAAGGAGAATACTGTTTAGTTCCACTGATGGATGATACTGGAGTATATGAAAATTATTTGTTGTTAGGCCCTTAAATTATTTTTCCTGGTGTTATCAGGTAGTTCTAAATCATATAGGACCAAGGGCAACGTATGCCATTTTCTACAGATGTGTATGAAAAGGCCTACAAAAGGCATTTTTAAATGAGAAAGTTGATTTGATACCGTTTGCCGTTCCAGATGTCTTTTATCGTGGACATTTTAAAGGAAGAGAGCGTAAATTGATCTAGTTTTACAGATTTCGAAAAGAACTTCGTTCAGGCATTGTCCAAGGTGTGCAAGCAACCAATATTTTATTCGAGATTTATTGACTCTACAACATTCCTCACAAATGTCAAAATCGAGAGTCACTTTCTTCGCGATAGTAGAATGAATGAGACAAACATCACTTTAATGCTACTTATATAATAATATATAGATCGGGAAAAGCGCCTCGCAATGATAGTTGATGTGGCCATCCCTCATGACGAGAACCTCATGAAAGCCGAGAAAGATAAACAAATAAAATATCTTGACTTGGCTCATGAGGTTGTCGCCATGTGGGATGTTGACTCGGCTATCATTGTGCCGATAGTTGTGACAGTCAATGGCCTGATAGCTAAGAGCTTCGACTGTCATCTGCGGAGGCTCGAGTTGGGTGACTGGATCAAGGGCCTGATACAGAAGGCAGTGCTCCTTGACACGGCTCGCATAGTAAGGAGGTTCCTCTCTCTGGGGCCATAACCACCGGTAGCTAGGACCCTGTTCCCGCTGCCGGTTGGCTTCTATTTTTTATATTTTTAAATGTTTTTATTTTTATATCAATATTTAAAAATGTAATCAATATGGTATACAATAAATAAAGAGAATAATAATAACTTTATTTGGAACAAGTGCAATGTACATAAAATTATGAATCGTTAAAACTGCTTTAGTTTTACAAAAACTGTGTTGCAGAATTAACGCCCTGCCTTAATATCTGTAGACACAATTTTGTCAGTCTTGTGGAATTTTAATTACCTTCCTGGCCAGCACCCGAAAGTTCAGTGCCATCTTTGTCAATGCCGAAACGAATGACGACGATAAAACATGTAAATCTTACAAGATACACGTTCTTAGTAGTTCCGGAACTACTGTGCCTTTGCTGTACCTTATTCCTTCAAGATGGTTTAAAATCCGAACCTACATCGACCTTCACCGAGTTGATAAGGGTCAATTTATACTAGTACGAGTAGAGTCGAGTAGAGTCGAAGCGCTTCGAAGCGTAAAATTCTTTACAAGTGAAGTTGCACGAATGCGCGCGTATGCGCGAGAATACGCTTTTATCAGCAGCTGTGCTATTGCATCACTTGCCAGTTGATCTATCATCAGAGGCTAATTTCCGACTGATGACGCGTAGGTTCGTTAGTGAGCGCGCGAATTCGCGAGATTGCGCCTGCACCAATCAGCGTTGGTCACGCGCAGACGCGCGAATTCGGTAGAATGGGCGCGCGTCCTTTTCAATCTCCGAAGTGATGTGTGCAGTCCGCTGTGGAGTTTGCTATATATATATATATATATGGATTTACGCTTCGACTCTTCGCTAGTATAAATTGACCCTTAGAGAATGAAACTATTTTATCATGAATTTAGTATATTGCAAAATATATTAAAAATGGGTTGCCTAAGAAATTCCTGGACAGACATATTTTTATGTAATTTAAAAAATATATATTTTAAATTAAATGTTGCAAAATCAAGATTATAAGGTTGCCCTAATAACAGTATAAAACATAAAATGTGCAGCCCTTTGGTGTTTATTATTTAACTGGGCGAACTACTGGGTTACCAGGTATAAACAGGTATGACGATGAAAGTTACGTTACCCAACGCGGCTGCCCAATCTATGTTTTATACCTTAAATCAGGACATCATTTTCTTATTATCTGGATGAAGCAACATATATTTTTTTAAATTTTTGGTTTTTAATATATTTTTAAATATACTAAATTCATGATAAAATATGCTTATTCTATTTATTATCAGGGAGCCAATCGCCTAACGGGATTGCTTTGGAAAACGTTATGGCTTACGATTTCATTTTATTATTTCTAGCCACCTGAAGTTTTCAACGCTTTTTTTTTGCATTGGTAATAACAATATAAAAGAAAATGACCGTGAGGTATTTGAAAACTTTCGGCGGTCGGAAATAACTAAATGAAATCGCAAGCGATAGCGTTTTCCAAAGCAATCCCGTTAGGCGAATGGCCCTCTGTGGCGAATGAAGTTCGGTGAAGGTCGATGTAGGTTCAGATCTTCTACTAAGGGTAAAGTATTCCTTTGAAAAATATAGAAACATTTTTTAATAATATCACCAAACGGGTTCAGTTCTTTAACTTACTGTGCCTACTAAAAAAGACATTTGTAATCATTGGTTCCGGGGTGAATTGAAACTGTGTAATCTCGAGTAGTAACTGTAATTCCTTTCGGAGCAGCTTTGAAATGGGAAGTTCCTTGAAGACAGACCGACTACGTACACGGTAGTTCAAGTTCAAACTATATACTGCGAAGAAAGGATTAACTGATTTCAAGGGCAGCCATCATTTTGTTTTATATTATTTTTTAACTGTATAACAAATCCCTAAATAGTCCGAACTTGCGTAACGATGTTTTGATTGTGTTTCAAAACCAAGTTTTAAGATAAGTTTTCCGCTAAAATTATCAATCGCAGACTTGTCGAAGCTCAAAGATGGATTACCTACATTGTAGATTCAAGCTATTTACAGACTCAACGTTTTGTTTATATGCAAATATGATCTCATTTATCCATTACGCAAACAATGTATATATGAAAAAATATATTGGTGTCGATTCTGGCGTGATTCTCTAAACTTAAAACTAAATTTAACATCAATCTCTCCTTTTCATTTCGTATAGAGAATGACAAGGATACACTATTGTGAAAGGAGACCCGGCACTTTTCATAGAAAAAATGCTAAACTTGTATTCAGTTGAATTTGATCTCAAAATAAAGCCAAAATTATTTGCTACATAAAACTACTTTTGCCTTATTTTTAGTGAATCGTGGAAAGAAGTTATATAATGATTAATATTTTTTGATATGGAAACCCTAAATCTTCAAGGGACAGAATTTTGCTTCAAAATATTACTGATATGACTGTACAAACCATGATTCCTTTGCTTTTTCTAAATAAAAAACCAAATGTCAATTTGACAATCCTAAAATACAAACAAAAAATCCGCTCCCGCCTACTGTGATTGTGAATGTTCTCTGCTGTGATTGCCTTTTTATCCGTTATTTCTCTTGACGACCCGGCTACCTATAGAGGTTATATTGACAAACCTACGTATTTGACATTGACAGCTAGCTGCTGATGACAAATATTGCCAGACTGCGTTACCCAATAAAAAAATTAAAAAAGTATACAACTTTGGCACAAAATGCCGGGTGTCCTTTATGTTTAGGTTTAGAGAATCGTGTCAGAATTGACACCAATGTATTCTTGTCATTTTCTATATAAAATAAAAAAGAGAGACTGTTAAATTTTGTTTTAAGTTTAGATAATCATGCCAGAATTGACACCGTTGTCACACTAATTTATTGCGACAGAACAAGGTATATTAGCGAACGGATGTATTGTGGATTATTTTAATAAATTTAAAACCGCTGACCTAAGATTTAAATTTGAATTCAACATCGAGAACTGTTTGTTTTGGAAAATATGACTTAAGATTTTGAAAAATATGTTAGCATGTTCAAGACATAAATAAACAAATCGTAGATTTACGGTTTTATGGTGTTTCTGTGACATTTTCGCGTATGGATAAGTGATAACCATTTTATATTACAGTATAAAGGCTTGTAACCTTGTAAAATAAAGTTATTGGTGTCTCGAAGCAACAGCACAGCACTATTTTTTAGCAAATTCATTGAGTTTTAGCTTTTCATCTATAAAATATCTTTCTCGTTGTTGTAAATGAATTTTAACCAAACGAATTTGCCAAATTTGTTTCATTCTTGCAGTGCTGTTGTTATGTTAAAATGAATTGTGTAAAATCAAAATGTACGTAAAACTAATTATGACCCAGGGGAAAAAAAATTGCAACCAACTTTATGTTATAGATCTGTCCAAAGGCAATGGTTATATGCTATAAAATGTTAGCGGTATGCAGGGATTTAGCAGGATTGGATAAAGTTCTTGTTTTCAATTGAAGGAGAATTGCGAAAATAAATGTAATAATATAAAAAACACTGCAAAAATTTAATCGTTCAGGGCCAAGTGTTACATAAACAAAAAAAAGATGTAAATGCCATTCACCAATAGGCTGTTTCCATTGAGATACAATTAAAAAAACAAACTGCATGTTTGACCTCATTTTTTTTTCAAAGATATTTTATTCACTTCAGTCCTGTATACTTCGTAAACATCTGACATAGTCTTATAATTACATAGCAAAATACCCAATCCAAATTTTGGCCCAACCTCTTGTATGCGGCTCTTGAGTATTCGCGCCGTTGTAAATCGAGAGCCAAACAGCGTCTTTAGAAATAATAAAAAAGTATAAAAAAAATTGTCTCTCAAAGACCCAGTCAGGCTTCATTGAAAGGTACATAAAACAAAACTACATGTACAAAATAAAGCTTTTATTTGACTTCAAATGTTAAGCCTAAACTCATTCACGTAGAACTTAAGTGAGTTATATACAATATCGTTACAGTCTACAAGTAAAATAAAAAAATGCAAAGCGTATTGTTTCTATGTACGAACGTCAATACCGCAAGATCACAGTTTTCCATAATCCGCATACAAGAGGTCAATAAACCTTTCTCACAATAAGTATGTTTACCTTGAAACGATGAACGTCTGTCCCGGCGTTTTCACACATTAATCTCCGCTCAGGACGCATCACCGTTCCAAGGATAGATTCCACATTTGAATATTTGTATACTTTTTGGATTTCTCATATTTTGATATTGAAACAAAACTAATACGCTAGTTTTTTTTATCATGGATTAAGTAACTAACACGATTAAAATGAGCTCTAAACATACATCATTCTATTGTGATTGCTAAGTTAAATTGTGAATATGTTCGAATCGTGTACAAGTAGACATATCACTTACTACAAAATGACATCGTATATTTTCTAAACAAAAAAAAAATACTTTGTAAACTTCACTCGGAAGCATATCTATCTGTAAATATTATAATTATACAATTTCTTAGTGATATCCCGGCAATAATGCATATCACGGTACTATTCTTGTAATGACTGAAAAAAATTTAGATTTAGATGTAAATAAAGATAAACATTATAGTTAATAAGAATGCGTCACTCACGTTTAGGATTTGAAACTCTCAGTGTCACACCGAATAATCGTTCCCCGTACCCTTCCCCATGAGGTTCCGTGGAATCTTCCAATGTAGTATTGTATCGAATCCAGTGTAAACTTTCCATTAGCGATTACTAATATTTTTGTAAAGTATTATTATAAAATGGATGTACTAATTAACCGTAAGCAGCCGCGCGGTGGAAGATCCCGAGCCGCCTTCGTCGCGACGACACGGGCCGGTCGCGATCTCTCATCGCCGCTATCTACCAAACGTTCGTATAAATAAAAATACGATTCAAAATATGTACAGAAATGTTTATTTTATAGGAAATCACATAACCACAGAGTACAGGCTACGACACACGTATGTACTGCGCTATGTCCGATCTCCCATAAACGTACCGAAAGGCCGCGCGCGGCTGTTATCGTCCGGGGAGCGACGTACACGTGTTAATTTTTTTTTTCTCTTTTCATATTTATCGAATAATCAGGAATACAAATCACGAATCTCTTATAAAAGCATAATACGAGTAAGTCTAGTGACGTTCGACCCTCCGCGTCGAGGCGAGGCGAGACGAGGTGGTGGGTCGACACACGATACATGTTACGTTAACGTTAGGATAATAATATCTGTCGCGGCGCGGGCCGGGCCGGGCGGGCCGGGCGCGCGGCCGGCCAGGGCCAGGGTGTCGATTCCGCTAAGCTAACGCAAAAATCGCGTCTCAATCCTAGTTCAACAGTGTCGAACAACTTTTGACACAGACCCCGTTACTAAAACACAAAACAGCAAATGCATATAGATAACTATAACAATTGAGTAGGCAAATCAGTTTGTTGTTTAGTGTTTTAATAGTAACAGGAGCTGTATTAAAAATGACAACTATTGGAATGTGGTTGACACACGATTATTACTTTATCTTAGCAGAATGCGTATACAGGGCGGGTCAGGCGGCGCGCGGCCGCTCTACGCAGCGCCGTTTACAAGCGGCTCGGGCTTGCCTTTAGCCGCGCCCGCCACTACGCCTGTCCCCGCGGCCGCGCCCGCTCCCGCTCCCGCCGCCGCTACCGCCGCCGCGCCCGCGCCCGCCGCCGCTCCGTCGCGCCGCGCCTTGCCCGGTCCCGCCGTCGCAACGCCCGCCGCTCGCTTGTCGCCGGCGCCCTCGCCGCCCGCCCCCGCCACTGGGCCGACACCGTTCTTCCATCCGCCACCTGTAATTAATTCTCAAGTTTAGCAAACGGCCTACCCCGGTGCGACCCGCGAAGCAATATTAGACGAACGTGTTCTATCCCAAAATCTATGTGAAAGTATTGTTATCTAAACCAAGGGAGAAATTAATATATAATCTGAGCAGTAATCGTGTAACGCAGCCTTTTGCTCATCCCATTCCTTTTCCTTGAAATGCCATTTAGTTTACATTCATCCCAGGTAATGATTATCATCATTTAACCATGATGATACATAAGAATAGAAAAAGGCTTCTCATTATTTCTATCAAATAAATTTGAATGCAAGAAATATACAAATATTGGGTAAAAAAGAAATAATTTTACTTATACAGGCTTAAAATCTAGGACACAACGCACATGATTAATATGGACATTAAAAATGATAAAACCGGACCCCCTAGCATGAGCACCGCGATATGATATATATAGCTCGTTTTTATCACAGTCAATTGGTCAATGAGGATCATTATTAGGTCAGCAAATCAACTCCAATTTAACAGTATAATGATCTAATTAGTTTTTTTTAAATAATATACTTTTTAAATCATCGAAATCGGTTCATTAGTTGCGATTTTATAACTCATTTTATGGTATTCACCGGCGGCCGAAACGTGTGACGTCACAGAGCTCGACGGTGGTGGTCTCTACGCACGCTCGCGGCCGAGCGCTAGAGCTCTGTGGCGTTACAGCCACCACGCGGCCTACCGAAAATTCATTTAGTAATTTGGCCATAACTTCGTCAGTATTATTCGTAGAACAAAAATTTAACCACTATTTTATGGAATCCTCAGCTCTATGTATTCTCACCTAAAATCGTTACGGATCCTCATTACTATGCATTATGACAGTTAGACGCTATATTAAAGTGATATAATGTGAATTGTGGTGCTCATGCTACAGGGACAGGCCAGCCTAGTACGATTACATTGTGACGTGTCAATTACGTTATTTTGAGAGTGCGGCTCAACGATGGGTGTTAACAAAGCCGCAATAAAATGATAATCATAGCGAATGTTACATTGCCTAGAATAATAGAAGGCTATAAACGTTATCACGCGCAGCCTAAAGTAAATCTGAAAATCTTACATCGTGTGACATGCGGTTAAGATGATGCTATGGTAGTGCGATTCAAACTTTATGACGGTTGTGAAGTTACAGCGACAGTAACAGTCTTGCGCACATTCATTTCTTTTTAGTGCGCTGCGACTTGCGCTGACTTCAGAGCTACCATTAAGTTTGATCGCACTAAAACCATAAACTAGACATACAGTGGGGCGACGATTAGGAGGTTGAGAATAAATTGTATTGGTTTTTGGTAAGTAGCATTTTTTTTTTACGTAGTCGCACCGCTGATGCCTTGGGTTTGCATATTATTATAAAAAAGCAGTCTGTCTTTATATCTGTCATTATACTAAGACTACAGACATGCAATAAAAACTTTACTTCAATGTCAAATAAAACTAATATTTGTTAGTTGCAGCGACGAGTTGTAATATTAATTTTGTGATGTGTAATTATGATTTTTTATTCAGATTTTCATTGATTTTTAAAAAAAGTGTTACGTAAGTATATAAGAATGATATATGTATTAAAAGTCGATACAGAGTTTTTGTTTAAAAAAAAACGACAGAAGTTGCAAAATTCAAGCAAGTGTATTAAGACATTACGAGCTTTTCGTTAACATGTAGATATGAATTTTATGAACATAAGCAACAATGTTTTGCACCGTAAGCTGTGTTATTTTGGAAATAATGACACTGAAAGTACAATAAATGATATTACTCTTGTTGCAATTTACTGCAGCAAGCGTGTTTCAAGTGTTTATTAGAACTTGTAACAGTAAGTAACATAAAGGGATTCCGAAAAAGTCGTGTGCAAAATTAATTTAATTGAAACAATAATATTGATTTAGGTAGAATAACAATATGGCTCTTTTTCGCAATATAACTTATTTAGAGCACTCGCTCTGGATGTCTAGAATTGCATTACCATCTATTTATTATCTCAACTATTAATTAGACAAGTTAGACACAGTTTAAGGTTTGCCTGACACTGAATTTAAAGGGTAGATCCCCCGATGTCGCCACCTCCACGAGCGAAAGAATGACGGCGATACCATTGTCGTGTCGCGTATTTCTTAAACTCATAGTCTGAGTCTGCACATGGCAATGTTAACGCAGCGAAGCAAAATGCCAGAGTATCTTCGTATTCGATAAGTAAATACTATTCTACTTGACATTGGCTGAATGCACAAACCATTCTTGCCACAAAAAAAAAGTAAATAATACAAGCGGGGGCGCATTGCCAAATGTAGAGAATGGACTAAGCGAAAATCGCATGAAATTGACAACCCTCCAGAAACAGAGAAAGCTATGTTGGAGACTCAGACGAAGAACTAAAGTATTGAAAGAGTTAACAAAAAGCGATCTAACGTCAAGGCAGGTTGCCCACACGCCATTAACACTTTTTGGTTGGACAATACTGTGTTTGAAAATATTTTCGTTAACTTATTGTCTATGGGAGTGTACAACATAAAAATACGATTCAAAATATGTACAGAAATGTTTATTTTATAGGAAATCACATAACCACAGAGTACAGGCTACGACACACGTATGTACTGCGCTATGTCCGATCTCCCATAAACGTACCGAAAGGCCGCGCGCGGCTGTTATCGTCCGGGGAGCGACGTACACGTGTTAATTTTTTTTCTCATCCTCATACACAATTATATTATTATGTTGCTATGAACAATACTGTGAACAGCGTGCGTATCGCTACATACAAACGTCTAATTAGATACCTTGGTTTAAAGGTAAATTTGACGTTTGTTCGAAATCAAAACAAAAAGCGATCTAACGTCAAGGCAGGTTGCCCACACGCCATTAACACTTTTTGGTTGGACAATACTGTGTTTGAAAATATTTTCGTTAACTTATTGTCTATGGGAGTGTACAACCAAACGCCATAGTATTATTTCTATGCTTCTCGTTCTGTTCTGAGATTTGAGCCCATTATTGTTCGCAAGTTCACTTCGTCTCTCCGGCTAGCTAAGTGGCATCTGGCAAGTTTGTTTTACAGTTGGTACAGAGATAGGAAACGCTCTCTCCAATCTTTACGTCAATGGGCGAAGTTAACTATACAAATGGCGAGACACCGTGCCCTTGCAATGAAGATTATCCGACGATAAAAGCGCGATTCTTTCGCTCGGGAGGTGGCGGTTGTGTAAAAGATTACAAATTACACAGTGTTTGTATGAATGATTATATGTGTGATGTGTACAACGATATTAAATACCCTAGATACAACATTACGAACAAAATCGTGGTCGAAACCTGTTCAAAGGGTACATTAGACGATCCACGGAGCTCCGTAACATGATCGCGTAATCAAAAATATTATATGACCATTTAAACATTAAAAGTCAGCTTTAATTCATACTGTATAAGGTCTTGCGTCTTAATTAAAACCCATGCGGCAAAGAGACGTGACAATTCGAAATGAAAACTTGTCAAATTTTACGACTTATTGCTACACGCAGAAGAATATAAACCTTAATTCTTTGAATCTACGCGCAATTCTGAATGCGCTGTTAACAATATAGCAGGTATGGACTGCGAGGAAAAGAGACGGCTATATTACCGACCATGCATTTGAATATCACAAATATTTTCTGACTATAATTATGACAGTTTATAGTAACTATTAGAACAAAATTTGCTTCAAATGCGTTAAATTAACAAACATTGATTAGATACCTGTCGAAAAAACGTCATTTTACATTCTATAAGTATTTTTTTCGCCTGTTTTCACGGAGCTCAGCGGCATGGTAACTATTCAACGGTCCGCGCGTGACTGTGTACCAAGAAGTGCTTGAGTGGTGTTCAAGGACTTCTTGATTGGGACACAGGTGTATTTAGGGTATTTTTGATATCGTTGGATGTGTATGAAGTTACCTGTATTCCTACGGCGCCTGCGTCTCGCGGCGGGCGGCTTGTCGCGCCCCTCCTCCGACGTGGCGGACTCTGCACAACACACGCCGGTCACCCATCTCCACACGACTACACTATACTACCGTACCGACCTATTCGACACCTAAGCCAGCACTATTTTGATTCCATTGTCTTCTTATACGCCCACAAACACGCTAAAGGTCTAGTGTCTCTGTTAACCCCTTAAGGGATAAAGACGTGATACTATGTATGTAAGTATGTAGAATAGAAATAAACACTTGCGGTAAGCAAGTTTTAACTTAAGTTACAATTGGCAAGTTAAGTTTCACTTATTTTTGGTTCCTTATTTTTCTATAAATATATTTATAATCCGCATGTGAGTGACGTGTGCTTTAACGACTTTTTTTAAAACCGCTTATCATACTCGACATGCACTGTTCATATAATACCAGTGATGTCATGTATGATGAAGGTGGTGAACACTAAAAACTGTACAGCATGTCGTATGAAAAACTGCATACAACGCAACGGAATCACCATACCTAACACTTCGCCGCAGTTACAACACGCCAGTCACCCATCGCCACACGACTACACTATACTACCGTACCAAACTATTCGACACCTAAGCCAGACGGACCTTTATCGGATACTACGCGCTTTTTTTTGAGTGTGTATGCTGTTGGTCGCAGATGACATTTACAGCGTCACCGGGTGTGGGGACGGCGAGATCCTAAAGGGACTTCAAGTCGAGAAATGGAGAGTGCCGCTAGAGGTATTCCAGGCGGATGGCATCTCCCCACGGGGGGAGTCTCCTCTCCGTCTGGAGCCTCTAGACCACTCGAACCTGAGGGGTTGGCTCAACTAGAGGGCGTCTCCGAGACTCGGACCTCGGCTCTAGTTAGCCATTGTCGTGGGGGCGGGGAAAAACGCCCAGGTACGTACCTGTACCTGGTATAGCGTGTCGTGTGTAGACCGGGTCTTCGCACTCCTTTCCTACGGGTGCGGTGTCTGCCTAATGCTAAGCTGGTGTGCACGTTTGCTAGCTTTGTAGTGTTCGTGTTTGTGGCCTGTATGGGAGGAATCGGAGGCGTACTACGCGCTAATAAACGGACGCACTTGGGATTAGCGCGCGAAGGAGCCCCCCCGCTACGCAGTAAACTTAGACTGAAGGACACGTAAAGCGAAATTCTGTCGCTTCAAAAGAATGCTGGCTTAAGCGCATAGTCCGATATAGTGATTGGAATTTTGGGCTTGCTTGATTTTTAGTAGCCGTATAATTTGGTAAACAACCAACCTTGGAGGACTCTGCACAACACACGCTGGTCACCCATCACCACACACAACCACAGTATACCTTACCGCCTCAACCTACTCGACACTTAGCAGGACTAAGTTTTAACAGAATCTGCGAGCTAGTATTGATCGGACGCACTCTACTTAGATTGATTAACGCCGGACTGTGATTAGCATGGAGGTGAGAGAAGAGGAAATTCATTAGACAAGTTTTTAAGATTTTTCATTCAACCTATTCGACGTCTAGTTGGACGAACAGAATCTGCGTGCCGACACTTTAGAAATAAAGTAAATATTCAAGTTTATAGCGTTATTTACTGGGAGCAGCCAATCAGAAAAACTCGTAAATAGACGATATTATTTTTACAATATAGTGCTAACTCTAAAGTAGCAGGACAATTTCAAACTTATGGAAAAGTAAAGAAGAGTTGGCCATACAAGCACATTAATTCTTATATCTCATTTTTAATTGCCTACTCAAACAACCTAGCGAAAGGGATAATAATAGAATGTAGGACGAAGTGATATACATAATTAACCTTTGGAGTGATACACTTAGAGCAGCCAATAGGCAAAAGTTGTCTATAAGTAAAGAACGCTTAAAGAAAATCATAGTGAATTATAAGGTTTTAAGAGAACTATCTCTTGACAGATTCTTTCCCGAATACATGAGTTGAGGCCCGAGTGTTTGAATAGAATAATATGAACGACCAAAGTTTCGAGAATGACTTATTAAAGTCTGTACTCTTTCCTTTTATAATGCTGGAGCTATGATACATAGATTCTTTGTTTTAGGAGCAAAACTGTATTAAAAACGCTGCTTAAATGTAATTAAAAAGGGGAATACACGATAAGATAGCATAGAGTAAACAAGTTACTTACAACCATCACCCATTAGTTCGCGATGATTCTAGAGAGGACTAAAAAGGGATGCACTAAAACGAAAAGCCAGTTCCATACCGAAATAGCAAACAACTATTCACCCATGACTACTACATAAAAAAATAACAAAAATATAATAAAAACATCCCATTCAACTATACAACAAAGTCATAATGTACTAATTAAAATGTAAACAATAAACATAATATAATAATAATACACAAGGCATACTATACACTAACGTATTAATAAATATAAAAAAAAAATCTACTCCACTACATTTTAACTAGCACATTCAGTAACATTTTCAGATTTCGATCAAAGCAGTTTTTATAAAAAAGAAACAGTAGATATAGCTCATAATTAAGCTGTTTCGTATTGAAAGATATGTAAGTTTCGTCACTTTCACAACCCACCAAGCGTAACACACGCATTGTAAAAATGCGACTATGATTAATATACAGTGATATTGCATGATTACACGGAAATGTTTATTTGCCGCCGATTAATTCGTTAATATGATAAATATTTAATTGCCAGTGTTATGCTTGGTGATTTGGTCTCTTTTTACCCGAATTCTTCTTTCTAGCATAAGTGTAACTAGATACAATGAATTGTAAATTATTGAAAGAATTAAGCTGAAATTACGGTATATGCCGTTGTTGGTGTCGATTCTGGCATGATTCTCTGAACCTAAAATAGGGAAGATGCATATACAATATTTATGAAAATTTTATGATTAAAATGTTAAAAAAATATAAAAGAAATGCCACTGCAACGTTTTTATTTTACATAATGTTGTTTTTTAACAATTATTACGAATTAAAAATACTTGAAACGGAACGTATTTTAAAACACGAATCAGCGTTTAATGACGTCACTCCTGTTATGACAACTTCTTTGAGGTTATGGTTGTTAAAGTAAATATTATTTTATGAGAATATTTATTGTGTTTTTTTACATTTAATAAAAATGGAAGTTGCGTTTATCAAAGTAGACTCCAGGAATTTACCAAGAGTTAGCGTTGACATGGTTATAACTTTTTTTGTCCAAAGTGCAGAGTTTTTAAGTGTAGAAATGAAAGGGACTAAATTACTACGGTATGTAAAAATCGTAGTTGTTAAACTTCGTATTTTATTCAGCGGCTTCTACAAATCTTACGGCGATAATGCAATCGGCTATGTCCAAATTAATAGAGATGGAAAATTATGTACAGTAAAAGGTCGAGTTCTCCGGAGCATAAAGTACGTAAAGAAGGTTATCGTGTTACAGTTATTTTAAATGAAACGCAAAGCTTGGTTCAGTCCTGCCAATGTGAAGATTGTGCCACACATTTTAAACTTTATCCTATTTTCGACGTCATTCTCCAACTGTAAAATTAAAAATATGTTATAGACAGGTTTTGTAAGTATTAGGTAGGTTACTAATGCGTTTTTACGTACAAGCAGATTAATTAAGCATATAACAAGTATATTCGCCGACATACGTCAAAGTGATCTTCTCAGCATCGAATAATGGTCTTTGGAGAATAATTGTCATTTCTCTTCGCAGCTTGAAACCACTTTTTTTTCAGTTTTGGGTCAGAAGTTCCAGTCAAAAACAATTTATTTGGGAACTTTGTTGAAGTAGATTGGCACAAAACATGAGTCAAAGCGGTTTTTTTTCGGAATATTAGTGGTATTGTTATGATCACATGATGTTGATGGATAGTAGATTTTAAATTTTTCAAAAAAATATTTCGAAAGTCGAAAAAATATGCAAAAGTATGAAATTTTAAAGCCAGCAACGAATAATTACGACCAGTGACTGACAGGAGTGACGTCATCGCAACCATAGGTTCGTTTTCGCGCGAAAATTTAAATTGTCAATTTAAAACCGCATTTTTTCCGATAAATCACAATGTTTTAATTTTTTAATGTATCTGTGGTTTATTCTACATGGAATTCTTTAAAATGAAAACAAAAATAAAAATATTGCATCTTCCCTATTAAATGTGACGATAGAGCATCCTTTTCATTTTCTATACAGAATGAAAAGGAGAGACTGATGTAAAATTTAGTTTTAAGTTTAGAGAATCGTGCCAGAATTGACACCAATAAGTATCTTTTGCATAAAATGAAACTGTTTGAGTGACCACAGTTGATAGTAAAAAAAGTTAATATTCAATACCGAATACAGTTCTCAATAATATCAAAACCATTGTTACAAAACCACTAGTTAAGCTAGCTCTTAAAAATAGACTTTGAACGCGTATATACGATAGTTTCCGGACTTTGAAAAGTCGTAATATGACGACAAATTAATAAGTAATTTAAGTTTTATTTTTTCTTAATTTAGGACTTACCTCTGTCGGCGCTGGAAACGTCCTGGCTGTCTAATACAGAGCTTTCGTCATCAGTCTGCCTCCGTCTGTCCTCGCGCCGTCTACCACTCTAAAAGTAATTTATTGATCTATTAGATTTCTTACTTCACTCAAACCTTGATAATAAAAATGATTTACGCGTATTCCTAAAATTCACATCGATTTTACAGAGTAATAACCTTCACGCTAGACTTACGCCGCGTTGTTTCATCTACAGTTAGACTATAGTTAAAAAAAAAAACGAGCGAGCCTAACAGTATGATGTGTAATATTTGAAACCTCACTTTATATAAGTAAAAAAAGAAATAAAACCTACTACAAAAGAATAAGCCATTTGAACATTATGTTCTAAAATCAAATCAGATAGCGCGCGCTTTCGCGACTTCCTGTTACACACTTCCGCCCCATTTCACGAAATCACTCCCACGAATTGCAGGAAAGCGAGAGGAAAGATGTTTCACATCAAAAACTAGAGAAAAAATATCTATTTTACTATGTATTTGACGTGACATTAACTATAGTCAAATTTACGCGGCCTTAGTCTGTTCTGTGGGAGTAAATTGTTTTGCATATTCAGAAGAATCAAATTGAATTTGAATTTAATGTGGCCAAAATACTTTGTCATAGAACGGAGTCAGTTTTCTTGCAACAACGCGCGATACTGAGGCCATTACCTCCTGTGTGTGGGGCGGGTATAGTGTGTGTGGGGCGGGTATATACACTGACCGCGGGGCGGGGCGGGTGCGGGTGCGCGGGCAGATGCGCGCGGGGCGGGTGCGAGCGTCCGTTCTCGAGCGGCACGCGTCTGTGTGTGTGTGTGTGTGTGTGGGGCGGGTATAGTGTGTGTGGGGCGGGTATATACACTGACCGCGGGGCGGGGCGGGTGCGGGTGCGCGGGCAGATGCGCGCGGGGCGGGTGCGGGCGTCCGTTCTCGAGCGGCACGCGTCTGTGTGTGTGTGTGTGTGTGTGGGGCGGGTATATACACTGACCGCGGGGCGGGGCGGGTGCGGGTGCGCGGGCAGATGCGCGCGGGGCGGGTGCGGGCGTCCGTTCTCGAGCGGCACGCGTCTGTGTGTGTGTGTGTGTGTGTGGGGCGGGTATATACACTGACCGCGGGGCGGGGCGGGTGCGGGTGCGCGGGCAGATGCGCGCGGGGCGGGTGCGAGCGTCCGTTCTCGAGCGGCACGCGTCTGTGTGTGTGTGTGTGTGTGTGTGTGGGGCGGGTATAGTGTGTGTGGGGCGGGTATATACACTGACCGCGGGGCGGGGCGGGTGCGGGTGCGCGGGCAGATGCGCGCGGGGCGGGTGCGGGCGTCCGTTCTCGAGCGGCACGCGTCTGTGTGTGTGTGTGTGTGTGGGGCGGGTATAGTGTGTGTGGGGCGGGTATATACACTGACCGCGGGGCGGGGCGGGTGCGGGCGTCCGTTCTCGAGCGGCACGCGTCTGTGTGTGTGTGTGTGTGTGTGGGGCGGGTATAGTGTGTGTGGGGCGGGTATATACACTGACCGCGGGGCGGGGCGGGTGCGGGTGCGCGGGCAGATGCGCGCGGGGCGGGTGCGGGCGTCCGTTCTCGAGCGGCACGCGTCTGTGTGTGTGTGTGTGTGTGGGGCGGGTATAGTGTGTGTGGGGCGGGTATATACACTGACCGCGAGGCGGGGCGGGTGCGGGTGCGCGGGCAGATGCGCGCGGGGCGGGTGCGGGCGTCCGTTCTCGAGCGGCACGCGTCTGTGTGTGTGTGTGTGTGTGTGGGGCGGGTATAGTGTGTGTGGGGCGGGTATATACACTGACCGCGGGGCGGGGCGGGTGCGGGTGCGCGGGCAGATGCGCGCGGGGCGGGTGCGGGCGTCCGTTCTCGAGCGGCACGCGTCTGTGTGTGTGTGTGTGTGTGGGGCGGGTATAGTGTGTGTGGGGCGGGTATATACACTGACCGCGGGGCGGGGCGGGTGCGGGTGCGCGGGCAGATGCGCGCGGGGCGGGTGCGGGCGTCCGTTCTCGAGCGGCACGCGTCTGTGTGTGTGTGTGTGTGTGTGGGGCGGGTATAGTGTGTGTGGGGCGGGTATATACACTGACCGCGGGGCGGGGCGGGTGCGGGTGCGCGGGCAGATGCGCGCGGGGCGGGTGCGAGCGTCCGTTCTCGAGCGGCACGCGTCTGTGTGTGTGTGTGTGTGTGTGGGGCGGGTATATACACAGACCGCGGGGCGGGGCGGGTGCGGGTGCGCGGGCAGATGCGCGCGGGGCGGGTGCGGGCGTCCGTTCTCGAGCGGCACGCGTCTGTGTGTGTGTGTGTGTGTGGGGCGGGTATAGTGTGTGTGGGGCGGGTATATACACTGACCGCGGGGCGGGGCGGGTGCGGGCGTCCGTTCTCGAGCGGCACGCGTCTGTGTGTGTGTGTGTGTGTGGGGCGGGTATAGTGTGTGTGGGGCGGGTATATACACTGACCGCGGGGCGGGGCGGGTGCGGGTGCGCGGGCAGATGCGCGCGGGGCGGGTGCGGGCGTCCGTTCTCGAGCGGCACGCGTCTGTGTGTGTGTGTGTGTGTGGGGCGGGTATAGTGTGTGTGGGGCGGGTATATACACTGACCGCGGGGCGGGGCGGGTGCGGGTGCGCGGGCAGATGCGCGCGGGGCGGGTGCGGGCGTCCGTTCTCGAGCGGCACGCGTCTGTGTGTGTGTGTGTGTGTGTGGGGCGGGTATAGTGTGTGTGGGGCGGGTATATACACTGACCGCGGGGCGGGGCGGGTGCGGGTGCGCGGGCAGATGCGCGCGGGGCGGGTGCGGGCGTCCGTTCTCGAGCGGCACGCGTCTGTGTGTGTGTGTGTGTGTGTGGGGCGGGTATAGTGTGTGTGGGGCGGGTATATACACTGACCGCGGGGCGGGGCGGGTGCGGGTGCGCGGGCAGATGCGCGCGGGGCGGGTGCGGGCGTCCGTTCTCGAGCGGCACGCGTCTGTGTGTGTGTGTGTGTGTGTGGGGCGGGTATAGTGTGTGTGGGGCGGGTATATACACTGACCGCGGGGCGGGGCGGGTGCGGGTGCGCGGGCAGATGCGCGCGGGGCGGGTGCGGGCGTCCGTTCTCGAGCGGCACGCGTCTGTGTGTGTGTGTGTGTGTGTGGGGCGGGTATAGTGTGTGTGGGGCGGGTATATACACTGACCGCGGGGCGGGGCGGGTGCGGGTGCGCGGGCAGATGCGCGCGGGGCGGGTGCGGGCGTCCGTTCTCGAGCGGCACGCGTCTGTGTGTGTGTGTGTGTGTGTGGGGCGGGTATAGTGTGTGTGGGGCGGGTATATACACTGACCGCGGGGCGGGGCGGGTGCGGGTGCGCGGGCAGATGCGCGCGGGGCGGGTGCGGGCGTCCGTTCTCGAGCGGCACGCGTCTGTGTGTGTGTGTGTGTGTGGGGCGGGTATAGTGTGTGTGGGGCGGGTATATACACTGACCGCGGGGCGGGGCGGGTGCGGGTGCGCGGGCAGATGCGCGCGGGGCGGGTGCGGGCGTCCGTTCTCGAGCGGCACGCGTCTGTGTGTGTGTGTGTGTGTGTGGGGCGGGTATAGTGTGTGTGGGGCGGGTATATACACTGACCGCGGGGCGGGGCGGGTGCGGGTGCGCGGGCAGATGCGCGCGGGGCGGGTGCGGGCGTCCGTTCTCGAGCGGCACGCGTCTGTCTTCACCGCCGCCGCCGCCTGCCCCGCCGCCTCGCCGCTCGCCGCGCTCGCTAGATCTGTAAACAAACGGCCAAAGTTTTATTTATTTATTGACATGAAATAAATCATAGCAGATATGCTTTGACATTTAAAGGTACACTCTCCCACAGATAATAAATTAACGAAAAGATCCAAAGAAAATGTTGCCTAACCAAAAAGTATAAGTGGCGTGTTGGCAGATTGCATTTGACATTAGATCACTTTTTGATTCAATGTCGTTAGTGAGGCCGGACACCGGAGCCACAGGGTACACGCACAAAACATTAACCTTGACACAATAAGGACGCTACATTTTTGCTTTCGTCTCACTACTCAATGCACCCTCCGCCACAAATGTGTCCTTACACGCAGATATATGATGGTTTTAAACATATGTCGCGTTTGAAATGTGACGCCACGATAATTATTATCGTATTAATTTGGTGTGCGGCCCGTTTTAGTTTAACAGCGCTGCTCGGGTGACCCGCCTCACGCACCGCTGCTCTAAGAAATAACATGAAACAAACACACGGAGCGAACGCCCGCTCCGTGCTCCCGATTAGCGCGCAGCGCAAGCTCTTAGTGCCATGCGTTTTTGCGCCCGCATGCGTGTTTTCTGCTGGCTGTTTCATATATGTTTTTAGTGTCATGCGTACCACACGCGGGGAGGCCGCGCGCATTAACAGCCACAGTTGCACGATACCGACGGAAACGGATATTCGAGATTGCAATGTAAGCGCAAAAAATGTGTTTATTTACGACATGACATTAAAAATCTCTAAAATTATCAGTGTTTCTCTACTATATTATGCATGTATTATACATATAAACCTTCCTCTTCAATCACTATCTATTTAAAAAAACCGCATCAAAATCCGTTGCGTAGGTTTAAAGATCTAAGCATACATAGGGACAAACAGCGGGAAGCGACTTTGCTTTATACTATTTTATTTTTATTTTATTTCTTCGGAAAACTTACAGCTATTATTTATACATTTTATCTAATTTAGTTATTTAACTAGCCAATAACAAGTAAATAGTTCAGTAACCAGTGCTCGCCTCAATGCCGCAGTACTGTCATAAAATATATCCAGGTCCGCGTTATTACTTAATGAATTGAACAAGTGACATGAACGTACAATATAACTGTTTTGTCGATAATTCGTATGTACTGAGGGTATTTGCAATTTGAACTTCTTGCTACGAGTGGTGAAGCTTCGTGGTACAATAACTTTCACACGTTCCAACAAATCACTGAGTCAATACTACCCATTTAGAATTTTAAATAGATACATTAAATCGGCAATATCTCTACGAACTTTTAGGGGAAGTAAGTGGTGCCTTGCACATCGCTCTTTATAGGAGCTGTCTTGAATCGATGTTTTAAATTCCATATATTTATAAACTTTTTGGAGTTTACTCCTTAAGAATCGATTTGCATATATAAGGGGCCCGGTATGAGAAAAATGTGAGGAGTAAAATCTATCGATGAATGACCTCGTTACGTTTTTACTGTCTACGCTGTAGCAGCCGTAGTGCTACAGCGTAGCACAGTATGTAGCGTACCTTTATTGCCTACGACGACAAAGAAACCGCGTCGGTGTACCACCGCGCCATTCGTTGAACACAAAACCATTAAGCTTTAGAAGTAAACGTGGATATGGCATTTACAGTATCAATCTTTTTTTAAGTTAAATAAACTCTTTTTGCGTCTGGTTAGACTATCGAATTTAAGGGGTAAACTCCAGTCGTGCGTCGGAGCTGACACACACAATTTTTATTTTGTAGTGATTTATTACCTGTTGGGGCGTGCGTTGCGCGTGGGTCGCGGCCGGTACCCGCCGCCATCGCCGCGCTCGTCGCCCAACTCCGGGGTCATACGTCGCCCGCCTGTCACAGAAAACCAACAATAAATACTTGCACGCAGACAGAATGGAATACAATATTCATTATGCGTTTAGGATGCTGTTGGGTCACGATTCTGTAGTGCAATGGTTCCCAACCAGTGGTCCGCAGAAGCCAAAATATGGTCCACGAATGAATTTGAATTTAGCGGGTGCGCCCGCTAAAAATGTTATTATTTCTTTTTATTTAATTTCATATTAGATTTTTAATTAAAGTTTCAGTTTGATTATTACAGTTTATTTTTATTACACTAAAATTTAGTTATTAAGTCACTAAATAGTGATCCGTGCCAAAAAAAATAATTTAAAAGTGGTCCCTGACCGATAAAACGTTGGGAACACCTGCTGTAGTGCCTCTGGTACGTTTGCCGAGGAGCGCACTTACGGGTTTCACGCAAGTTTTCACAAAAAATAGCTTTATTGCTGAGCAGAATACGAGCAAGCTCAAACACCATCCTAATGACTGTTGCCAACAACTTGCATGGTTGGTTTATCAAGCATTGTGTGAGGGTGATGAAAACAAAGATGAATCATGTTGTACTGTCTTAATCTATTATTTCTACAAAACATATACTACTAACATAGAATAAGTCTACTAACAAATATGGATCACAGTTGTCTGAAATAAATGAATTATTATTATTTGCATTTAATAGGGTTGACAAAAGGTGTTCGCATATGAAGCATATGTCAAGCTAAGGAACTTATACAAACATCTTTCACTGCTATCATTGAATCGTCAAACATAACAATTTTAGTTTCAGTCAGCGCGACGTAGCTGTACGTGCTTAGACAATGAGCGCACCAGTACACGTGTTCGACGTTAGCGCCGATCATCGGTCGAGCACTATTACCAGCCTTAGTCACAGCGTCACAGCCACAGTGGGTCGTCGTGGCAGAGTTATAAATGAAGTCGTTTGTAACCAACGAAGAGAAATAATATAGAAGCATTACGGTCTTACAAAGGCCGCTAAAACATGGTTTTACACTTCAATACCAATGTGGCACGCACAAAATAATTTGACCAATCAAATATCTATCTGCAAATGAATCTGACCATCCAAGCATTAGGTAAGATAATGTTAAACGAAAATCCCAACCAACGCCATGATCGGCGTGTCGGTCGTGGTTTTTTCGCTACATCCACTTGATCACAGTTTGCGTGGAACCACTTTTTAGCACAGTTCGTATTCCATATCATTTCTAATTCGTTGCCGCCCCACACCTGCGCGACGGGGGCTACATGCTGGCGCTGTTGCCGCTCAGCACCTCGCGCGGCTGCACACGTTGCCACTCAGCGCGCGGCCGCGTGGCGGTGGGAACATGCTAGTGCTGTTCAGCGCGGGGGGAGGGGGGCCTGTATACACACGCACCGGGCGGGTACCGCTGCGGCGGCGGGCGGGTGCGGCGCGCGCGTGAAGGCGGCTGGCCGCGTGGCGGTGGGAACATGCTAGTGCTGTTGCCGCTCAGCGCGGGGGGAGGGGGGCCTGTATACACACGCACCGGGCGGGTACCGCTGCGGCGGCGGGCGGGCGCGGCGCGCGCGTGACGGTGGCTGGCCGCGTGGCGGTGGGAACATGCTAGTGCTGTTGCCGTTCAGCGCGGGGGGAGGGGGGCCTGTATACACACGCACCGGGCGGGTACCGCTGCGGCGGCGGGCGGGCGCGGCGCGCGCGTGATGGCGGCTGGCCGCGTGGCGGTGGGAACATGCTAGTGCTGTTGCCGCTCAGCGCGGGGGGAGGGGGGCCTGTATACACACGCACCGGGCGGGTACCGCTGCGGCGGCGGGCGGACGCGGCGCGCGCGTGAGGGCGGCTGGCCGCGTGGCGGTGGGAACATGCTAGTGCTGTTGCCGCTCAGCGCGGGGGAGGGGCCTGTATACACACGCACCGGGCGGGTACCGCTGCGGCGGCGGGCGGGCGCGGCGCGCGCGTGATGGCGGCTGGCCGCGTGGCGGTGGGAACATGCTAGTGCTGTTGCCGCTCAGCGCGGGGGGAGGGGGGCCTGTATACACACGCACCGGGCGGGTACCGCTGCGGCGGCGGGCGGACGCGGCGCGCGCGTGAGGGCGGCTGGCCGCGTGGCGGTGGGAACATGCTAGTGCTGTTGCCGCTCAGCGCGGGGGAGGGGCCTGTATACACACGCACCGGGCGGGTACCGCTGCGGCGGCGGGCGGGCGCGGCGCGCGCGTGACGGTGGCTGGCCGCGTGGCGATGGGAACATGCTAGTGCTGTTGCCGTTCAGCGCGGGGGGAGGGGGGCCTGTATACACACGCACCGGGCGGGTACCGCTGCGGCGGCGGGCGGGCGCGGCGCGCGCGTGAGGGCGGCTGGCCGCGTGGCGGTGGGAACATGCTAGTGCTGTTGCCGCTCAGCACCACGCGTAACTGCTGGTCGATCTCCAACTTCTCGGCGCGCAACTGCTCCACCTCCTGCAAGGACACAAAAACCTTTATTAAGCATAAGAAAACGAGACAAAGTAACAGAGGCCCGAGCCCGAATTTTGACAGCGCCTCTAGCCCGGACGTAAGTACAAAGTGGCTCCTTCCATACAAAATATCACGATGACGATACGATTTCGGAACTGTCAAAATTCGTGCTTAAGCTTCGTGCGTACTAACATAAATTACGCAACATCAACAAATAACGAAATCTGCAAATTTTGTTAAATGCAAAACCTCTCATAAGCGGCAATCCGACTCGAAGGACCAAGTAGTTAGAATCCCCAGTTCAAGAACCCCAGCGAAATTATAATTATTAATTACCAAATTTGACAATTTATGTTTTACAAACAAACTATAATAAATGAACATTCCTATAACTAACTATAATACCAACCCACTAGGAACAGCCTTCAGACAGTTGACCATTTAACGCGCGATGGATTGTGATTTAACAGTTTTTCTTCGATAATTCCATCTACCGAAAAATATTGCTTTAATTTATCTATCTATACCTAGTGTTCACCTTGAGATGTGCCACGTGGTATCCCACCTGCGCCTCCACGTTGGCGGTGTTACCCCACACTTTCACTGGGGAAGGCTTGTGCCCCAGCAGTGGGACATTAATAAGCTGTAATGATATGTCTTGATTCACCTTGAGATGACCACGTGGTATCCCACCTACACATTCGCGTTGGCGGTGTTGCCCTCCACTTTCACTAGGGAAGGCTTGTGCCCCAGCAGTGGGACATTAATAGGCAGTAAAGATATGTCTTGATTCACCTTGAGATGACCACGTGGTATCCCACCTACACATTCGCGTTGGCGGTATTGCCCTCCACTTTCACTGGGGAAGGCTTGTGCCCCAGCAGTGGGACATTAATAGGCTGTAATGATATGTCTTGATTCACCTTGAGATGACCACGTGGTATCCCACCTACACATTCGCGTTGGCAGTGTTGCCCTCCACTTTCACTAGGGAAGGTTTGTGCCCCAGCAGTGGGACATTAATAGGCTGTAAAGGTAAGTCTTGATTCACCTTGAGATGACCACGTGGTATCCCACCTGCACATTCGCGTTGGCGGTGTTGCCCTCCACTTTCCCTAGGGATGGTTTGTGCACCAGCAGTGGGACATTAATAGGCTGTAATGATATGTCTTGATCAATCTTGAATGACCACGTGGTATGCCACCTACACATTTGCGCTGGCGGTGTTGCCCTCAACTTTCAGTAGGGATGGTTTTTGCCCCAGCAGTGGGACATTATTAGGCTGTAACGATATGTATTCATTCACCTTGAGATGCGCCACATGGTATTCCACCAGCACCTTCGCGTTTGCGATGTTCTCCCGCGTACCCACGAACACAAAAGGCACCATGCCTTCCTCGCGTGGTGCCGACGGTTCCGGCTCGTTGTCGCCCTCCACTTTCACCTGCTTTCAGATAGGGGCCATCCATTATAATTAATTACGTATTTGTGACGTAATCGTCACACATCAAAGAGAGGGACGAGAGAAGATTAACGAAGTTCAACATCCGGCCAGGCGGTCATAGCCTAACGAAATTGCTATGACTATCGCTCTAGCTTAAGATTTTATTTTTTTATTTCTGACCACCCAAGGTTTTTAAATACTTTACGCTCATTTTCTGTAATATTGTTATTACCAATTCAAAAGAAAAGAATAGCAACAAAAATCAACACGTTAGGCTATTGGCCCCCAGGAGGTCAATGTAATAGTTATCGCTTACGTTTTAATTTTGTTATTTCTGACCGCCTAAGTTTTTCAAATGCCCCGCGCTCTCTTTTTTTTCTTTTGTATTGGTAACAACAATATCAAGGAAAATGAGTCCTGTATTTGAAAACTTTCGGCGGTCAGAAATAACAAAATAAAATCGTAAGCAATAGTGATAGCCATAGCAATTCCGTTAGGCGATTGACCCCCTGGACATCAATATGGAAATAAAATGTCATTGAAATCACGTGGTTTCTTATTCTAAAGCCATCGCTCAGAACAAAAACTAAAGCATAGAATTCTAGGAAATTTGAGCGTACAGTCCCACTGACGTACATTAACGAAAGACGTACATTTCCAAACAAAGGATTACCCAACCAAAAAGTATCATACGGCTTGTTGGCAAGTTGCATTTGACATTAGATCGCTCTTTGATTTGGTATCCTAAAGGTAATCAAGATATCCACAAGGCATACAAACGTATCGAATTCGACATTTGTATGTCACAAGATAAATGAGTCAACTTTTATAAGTTCAATTATAACTCTTTCTTTGCTTTAGTTCTTGTTCTAAAGGGTCTTAGCAAAGCAAGTGACAGCTTTATCATTGATCAAACGTATGATGTTTGATTAAAGATAAAGCTGTCACTCGTTTTGTTATTGTATCAAAATATTACTTCAGGTCTCCAAGTACAAGTAAGTGATTGTGTGACAAGAGGTGGGAGATGTTTAACTTTTGTAACGTCACATTTTAATATCTTTATCTGTCAGCTGTGCAGAGACATCATTTGAATTCTATGTCTTTAGAGGTACTTACTTTGCAGTTATTCAGGTAACCCGTTGTGGTACTTTAGATCTGGCTGCAGCCTTAAATTCTAAATATGAAATTGCAATATGTGACGTGACAGGAATTCTAACTATTGTAACCAGACAAAGACGAGTGGTCAAAAAATCATGACGTTCGTCTGAATTAATTTGGACGACCTCCGTGGTCGAGTGGTTTGTACGCCGGGTTTCATGGTGTCGCCGACTCGAGAGGCCCGGGTTCGAATCCCGGTGGGGGCAGATGTTTGTGTGATGAATATGAACATATGTACTCCAGTCATGGATGTTTAACATGTATTTCTATGTAAATATACTTATATATGTACTGTATATGTATTCTATCCATTACCTTAGTATCCCATAACACAAGCCTTACAGTGCTTAGGTACTTTGGGGCTAGGCTAATTGGTGCGAGTGTTGGAAATATTTATTTTATTTATTTATATAGTTTATAAATTAGGTAAGAACAAACAATCTATCCTTCCCAAACATTATTCCGGACAGGATGTGAAGGACAAGCTATTGCTTCGAGCATCGACATTTTCGAAGTTTAAATAAAAAAAATTGTGAGATTTACAACAACTAATATTATAAAAGCGAAAGTGGGTTTGTTTGTCACTCAATCCCGCAAAAAAGGCTGAACGGATTTGGATGAAATTTGGCACACATAGTTTGTTACTTGGATTGAGACATAGAATACTTTTTATCACATAAAAATGTTGAATTCCCGAGGTATTCTCAAAAAAGTAAAGTTAACGCGGATCTCAAAAAAGTAAAGTTAACGCGGACGAAGTCGCGGGCGGGCGCAAGATGAAGTAATAAATAGTGTCGATCTAGCATGATTCTCTAAACCTAAAATAAAATTTGACAGCAGTACATCCTTGTCTATCTCTATACAGAATGAGAAGGAGACTGATGATAAATTTAGTTTTAAGTTTAGAGAAACATGCCAGAATCGACACCAATGTCTAATAATAATAATAATATAATCTACTTGTTGCAGTACTGACCCTTACTACGCCGCTCTTATCGACAATCTCCTGTATGAAACTCTATAATCTACTTAATATTGCAGTACTGACCCTGACTACGCCGCTCTTATCGACGATCTCCTGTATGACTTTCCCGTTCTTGCCGATGACTTTGCCGACGAGCGCGCGCGGCACCGTGATGGATTCCTCCGCGTATTCCAGCAGCGATCGAGCCGCGCGAACCGCTTCGGTCGACTGCCGATATAATACAAATTTATATTATATTCTGTTCAAATAAAAAAACACTTTGGCCCGTATCAATACAAATCAGAAAAATGTGTGATTTTTATTTGTTTTTTTAACTGTGGAGATGAGTTAATCTCATGAAGAAATTATATACATTTTAAATTTTACTAAAAAATTGGTAACAATGCAACGCAAGCCACAAAAAGTATTTGTGATGTTTATGGACATAGTGCAGTGTCTATGAAAGTAGCAATATTTGGTTGAGAATTTCATTTACTTTACCCCGTCATCACCCCTATTGAAGGTATATACAAGTTTCAATGTTTCATTTATAACAATTTTCTACAACTTGTTGGGAACTCAATACTACCGAGCGACACGAGTCTGTAAGCCGCCGGCCCTGTAGTTCCCGTTCACTGTAAGCACAAAGTTTGCCCGATCGGTGAGTCGGCCGCCGGGCAAACGAGGCGGCAAATGTAACTCTCAAGTGACGCCCCGTTACGTGCTGTATACTACATTTTACAAATGGCATGTTTTTCTCTTTAATTACATACAAAATTAAAAAAAAATAACATAACTCAATATCGTTGTGAATGTCGAAAATATGCGCTATCTGTTCGTAAAACCGTAAAGACCTTGTACTGAGAAGAACCGGCAAGAAACTCCGCAAGGGCTGTTTATTTCTCCCTGTATTATATACAGAGTCGTCAAATACAACCTAGATACCGTATTAACTGCACAAAAAAGCACAAATAAATATCTACTACATATGGTAGATATGCTCTTCGCTACTCACGCACACTTTGACTGCTTTAGTACAATCTGACATTAGAGTCACACACATATTGACTGCTTTAGTACAATGTAAAATTAGAGTCACGCACACATTTCGCGATACATGAGCCGTTTTCTTTACGTAATTTAAGGGGGTTACGCTATCTAGGCATATAAATTTATCATTTTTTTTGTGCAGTGTTCTTGATGAAAAAAATTTAGTCTAAAACAACCAAAGAAAAGAAATGCCTGTGTGACTGAAAACATTGATTGAGAACCAATCAACAACTATTGCTTTAAAATTAAGGAATGGGATATTAGTGAAAGTGTTACAGGTACATTTTGTAATCATAACATCTCTTTCCACATAGATGGAATTCATAATCAGACAGAGTAACGAAAAAACAAGATCAATTTAAAAATTGCAGTAATGCAAGTACTAAATGAGTCACCAAACTTCAGTATACTTTAGTATCAAACACCAATATAGCAAATCAGTGATTGTTACTGAAGAAAGGGACGACAAAGAAACGGAAGAAGTAAAGATGCAAAGTGGCATGTCCTACTTTGACAAAATATTAGTTTTTTTTTTTATAGAAAGAATTATTAACATTTTTAACATCAAGTTCAATGCTTTTAAAATAAAGATTTAGTCTCACCTCGCCGCAGATCTTAAAAGTGCACGAGACTTCTTCTAGCTCAATATTAGTGACTCCGGGCACTTTCCGCGCCTGCTGAATGTTGGCGCCATGGGTGCCGATAGCCAGGCCCATTAGATCTTCGCGCACGGAAAACTCGTCCGTGTAGCTGGAACCGTCGCTTCATAATAATAATAATAAATAAAACAATAAATATCGGACAGAATTGACATACAATTATTTAGGCTTATATTACAGAATGACAAGTTGTCATTCTGTAATACGAACCTTAGTATCGGAGTAAGCAGCGCTTGTATAACTTTTGTCATTGAGGAAAGCAAACGAAAATGCCGACGCAAAGCTTTGTCTCTCTCGTACCATACTGAGGATAGCATGTGCGGGAGGGAGAGAATGCTTAACATCATCATTTGCGATGCCTTTCTTCAATGACACAAATAATAATGTGGAGACTAATTAATGAATATCGTACACATATAAAAACAATGGTAACATGGAACAAGGAATGAGAACATTGCATAAATTAATAACTGAATTCAAACCTAAAACCGTAGCCTGTATTAATATACAAGGAATAAGCTTAGAGTAGTTATGCCGTATTCGTGGCACTCAAATGAAATTTGTTATTCAACAAACATGGATTAAGTAATCAAAGCTTATTCTTAGTTTATTAACAAGGAGGTAGGAGCACAAGACAGGAGTAATGGTTTCAAAAATTTATCGAACCCATTCTATAGCGTTAGAGAAGTACGTAGAAGTTGAGCATTGAGCATTGATTTGGTTAACGGGCTTGGTCTGCGATTGTGGTAGTTAAGCAACTTTTGCAATGGTGGTTACAGAATGGATGACCAAGAATTCGTTTTCTCTTAATTCCTCCGTGCTTCGAAAGCTGTTTGTCTCGGTTGCATCTGCAGTCATTAGCACCCACAAATTCGCACTGGGTCAATTTCATAGCCCATTATTTCATGATTCCATGAACTTTCTGAGAACCCTTCTGTATGTTAACTGCTGAGCCAATTTCGGTGAATATTGCGATGGCAAAAACAAGGCATTTGAAGAAGCTCAAGTTAATTTTTGTTGAAATCATATAATTTATAGGGTGTGACAGGGGATTGATATTTTTCAATGGAAACCAATTATTACGTAAAGAATAAGTGGGCATCCACTACTTGATAATATTTAATTAATGCAACTAAAAGAGAAACAAATTATTGTAAACTTTAATAAACTTACCCTCCTTGATTGTGAATTTTAGTTGACTCCAGTTGCCTTGCTGCCTCTTCAGTCTTTTTAAGCAATAACAGCTTTTGGGCTAGATTCCTATAAGCAAACATTTTCGATTTAGATAACAATTAAAAAAATCCTATAAACTCTTACAATACTAATCCTAGAAATAATGTTTCAAATGAGAGACTAACGAAGTGTAGAATATCTAAGTAAAGTACTACTAAGGGTAAAGAATAATACTCTTATATTATTGTCATATAGTTGTAGTCCAACTTTGTTGTACTCTTATATCTTTTAAGATGTTTATATAGCGAAATTTATTGATATGTATAGATAAAATTACTAAATAAATACGTCATATTTGTCCTGGCAGGGTCGACATGTAAGAATGGACAGAACTGGTAAAAAGCAACACTAATGCTCATAGACAAAAGATATCACAACATTATGGGATCCTCCCATAATGTTGTGATATCTTTTGTCTGGGAGGATCCCATAATGTTAGTGTAGAACAGCTAGAGGGACAGGACAGAATGGGACTTTGGTCAGAGAATAAATGCTATTATTGTATTTATTTTATTATTGATCCACTTTATTAAAGGAGCGGTCACGTGCGAGTCCGACTCGCCCATGAAAGGTTCCGTAGCAGCAAGTAACATAGTATAAAAGTTCTTGTAGTTTGTTGTAACTTTGATCGATGTTTTAATAAGTGTTTTTTTAATTGATTTGTGATTTATGACGTATTAAAAAACTACTTACTAGATCTCGTTGAAACCAATTTTTGGTTGAAGTTTTCATAGTAATGTACATCATATATTTTTTTTAATTTTATCAGTCTCTTATTTTAAAAGTTACAGGGGGGGGGGGGGGGCAAACATTTTACCACTTTGGAAGTGTCTCTCGCGCAAACTATTCTGTTAAGAAAAAAATGATAAAGAAAGACCTATCCATAGATACCCCACAGGTATGGGTTTGATGAAAAAAATCAGTTCTAAGTATGGGGACCCCCAAAATTTCCTGTTTTTTTTTTCTATTTTTGTGTGAAAATCTTAATGCGGTTCACAGAATACATTTACTTACCAAGTTTCAACAATGTAGTTCTTAGAGATTCGGAAAAAAGTGGCTGCACTGACATACGGACGGACATGACAAATCTATAAGGGTTCCGTTTTTTGCCATTTGGCTATGGAACCCTAAAAAGAAGAGAAAAAAGATTTTTTTTTCTAAGAGAGCTTAAAGCATACAATCGCATTACCTAAAATGCATCTCCTGCAGCATATCGGCGCGTCGGTGAGAGGTCTCGCAGCGCGATATGACGGCGAGCACGGCGCGTTCCGGCACGTACCAGACGAGCGCGGCGCCGATCGCCTTCTGGAACTCCTTGTGGGCGTTCTCCACCTTCGCACTGTGCATGTCGTGCAGGCTGCGGGGGTAAAGCACTCTCAATCCTTATGGATAAGCTCATTGACGTATAAAACAAGTTGACTCACAATCACGCTCAGTGTCGGAAGTTAAATCTTGGCATTCACTCATTACAGCATTTGTCATTCAACATTTATATGGTATACGGTTGTTTTTATGTGTATAAATAAACAGTTTTTATAGCCTGACAATAACACTGCATGGTAATTTTAATATATCTTTACAGAATTTACTGCATAGTCAATTGTTAATTGCAAAATAAGTGTATGCTGGAAAATTAATCAATTAATTTTAAATGACTTCTAAAACACATAACAACTCACAAAGATAGTGTGAATAAATACCATTTGTAGTTATGTGAAGCATAATTTGATAATAATAATTTCTTTATTAATATTATAAAAAAATCTTACAATACATATAATAAAGTGCATGAGTTGTGCTAAAGTATTGTAGCATGCAATGGGGTCATGCATTCCAATAATTCACATAGTTTTTTTTTGGTTTAGTCTCTAATCTTTTCCCTACATTTCTTGGCCACATATACAATGATTTGATTGGTCCAGTAGCTCCTATTCAAAAGACTGACAATATGCACGCGAGCAAGTCATGGCTGATTGTTGATTTTTTTTTTGCTGCCCTCAACATTCCACCCTATATAAAGGACTCGGGTATGGTGGGAGTACTTCACAAAGTGCAAAGTTGCCCCCTTATCTTATTTATCTGCGCTCGAGTTAATCCCAAAATCTTGGGCTCCCCTACTAAAATTAAGTAAAATCTAGGCTATAATTCGCAATACTTGTGCTAAATTGCCTATTACCACATTTCATTGTGACTCTTGGAATTCCTGATGTGGATCACGCTAAGCTGACAGCTCCTAATTTTTGTTTGGGTTTTGAATAATCTAATATATAAAATTCTCGTGTCGCGGTGTTTGTGGTTAAACTCCTCCGAAACGGCTTTTCATCCCCCTAAATGTGAAGGGTATACCACCCCTAATTTATTTTTTTCAATTTTAGATATTTTCTTTTTATTTTTTTTATGATACATCATACAAATATACATACAACCCTAAATTTTCACCTTTCTACCACCAACCCCTATTTTTTTAGGGCGGTACGAAATTCGCTGGGACAGCTAGTAGTTATATATTATTTAAACTTTCATGGTCACTAACATTATAGTAATTTATGTTATTTACAGGATTTTTACCATGTATCTTGTTTTTAGTAAGTTTCCGATATTTGGCACTGCTGTAAGTGCCATGATCACAGTTTTTACATAATACTTTACTTTATGTATGTATTATGTATATTACTTTTGCGATTATGACAAAAATTAAGTTTAAATAAAGAGGGATCATACATGAAACATAGTGATGGGGATTTCTACATTTTTTTTCAAATGGGTGGGTTTCGGTGGTAGGAAAACTATTATTAGAAGTTCTTTTTATTTAGATACAAGGGAAAATTCAGAAATATTTTCATTCAATAAAACAAGTTTCAATGGTATAAATGCATCTATACTGTTGAAACTTGTTATTTTTTATGAGTGGTGTGAGTGAAAACCAAAGAAACAAATATATTTTCATTCAATAATGCAGGAGATCACCACTTTTGGTTAGTGAGTTACATATTAGTATTTACATTAAAAAATACATAAACAAGGTGAGAACTGGCATACCAGACATAAAACAATGGCTATCAATTACTCTTTGCAGTGTATTATTTCAATCACCTGTGTAAATAATTCCAAACAATCATTGTTTCTTTCAAAGGTCATACCAATCTATGCAAGTTTTCTTCAATGTTGTATTATACCTATATCATTTTTATTAATTTCATAAAGCAAAGCTGTTCTGTTGTCATATGCCAAAACAGTTTTAAAAAAAACAAAAAGCATGAATTAATATTGATGTTACATATAAAAATTACTTATTTTCATAATGGAAGCTTATGCTTATCAAAAAGTATTATTTATACAAATACAGAGTATAATCTGCTTCTTTAAGTTGATCTGAAATGAAATTTTAAATTCATGCAAGCATATTCAAATTGGGAATTGGCAATTATTGGGTAATTACAAACAAAACCACTTCCTCTATCCTTTTTGTATGTCTTACACAAATGGAAAGATAGAAAGATGTAGTGTTGAGTAGGACTTACAAGAGGCGGTACATTTGTCCCGAACATGACGTCAAAATGTAAGAGCGGCTCAAAATTTTAAAATGTACTACTTCATATTAAATGTCGCGATAGTCGCGTCTCGTTACTCACTCACTCTTCGTAAGTCTGAGAGAGAGAGCGAGACATAACATTTTATTTAAGTCCTCTACACACTATCCATCTGTATCTCTATCTCTTTTACGTGTATAGCGCTGTCCTGCATGTTGGATCCAGCAAGATTGATAGTGCGTAGAGGAGGTGCTACTCGTGCACACAAACGTAATGTCGAGCTTCAGTACGCCTCAATGTCATATTTGTACTTGTCACTTCAAATGTATTGCCGAGCTTCAGTACGCCTCGCCTCATTTGAAGTGGGACATTGTACTGGCTCAGTACAAAAAAGAGGCTACTCTTACAAACTCTTTTTCAAGTAGTGTCCTACCCAACACTAGAAAGATGGCTTTAAATAAATCAATTATTAATAATTTATTAACACTGCTCACTTTGGGGCTTATTAATTAAAGTTGAGTTCTACTTACTAGTCCTTGAGATCATCTGGTACTGTTATTTCAAACTTATGGAAGGTGGTTTTGTCAATGGGTGTTTTAGGTGTCTTCACTCTGAGGCGGTCCTTTGGCACAATTTCTGTATAACAGTTGTCCCATTCTAAATACTCTATTACGAGAAAGTCACCCCTAATCATCTGAAATAGTTAAAAAAAGAAACTTTAACGGCTTCCCTATTCATAAATAAATATGAAAAAAGAAATAGCTACCAAGGTATGAAGGACAAACTCTATTCAATTGGGACCTCAGCTTTGGGCTATATGCTAAATACCATCTGCTTTGGCTCAAAATGAAGGGTAGAAATACTGGTTATGATGCAAGTGTATTCTCTCTTTGTATTTACAAAGGAATAATGTTTATGTATTTTGTTTCTCTAAAGAGGGTAGAATTAATAATAATGAAAACAATATATTAGAAGCTATTTTATAATCAACAATGTAAATATCGGATTGTTTGTTTATATATTAAATGCAGTACATATGTAATTTAATACCTTAATATTTGCTGTCCACCACCCACATGCTTCCTTTTCATTTGACCTCGCAAATACTTCAACCTCTTGGTTCTCCACGTACTCTGTGTGTTTGCCAGTGTCCTTAGGTGGTAAGAACACTTGCGAGAAAGGAAACTTCGACTCCGGCTGCCAGCTGCGAATACAAATAAAACGTAAATAAAAATATACTTTTACTTAGATCAGCGAATTAAGATTACGGAAATTATCAACTCACTCATTTTCAAAGGCTACAAGAACCTCGTTGTCGAGCACGTCGGTGACAATGGCCTAAAAATAAAAGAAATTTCAGAGCATTTTCATGATCCAATAATTCGGTAGTGCTAGAAATAAATAAGTTATCTAGGTCAGATATTTGAAAAGGTGTAAGCACATAAGAAATCCAGAATGCAACAACCTAGATTTTACTTCACAATCTAGTCTAAAAATACAAAAAGCAGTAAATTTACAACACATGGAAAAATCACGCCCTGTCAGACGGACATGGCGTCCATTCCAGCCGCGATGATCTTCCCGGAAAAATATTTTTGTAAGTAAAGTATGTTTGTAGAAATGCGCACATAGAAATAATTCACAACCTGACTCATTAACTGATTAGACAACTGATAAACGTAGTTAAAATGTACTTCACGATTTACAAACCTTATAATAAGCACCATTTTCACCGTACACCTCGACCGACAAATCCTCCATTTTGGTTTGAAAGCGTATTTGGCGTTTTCGGAGCGAGAACAAACTCTCGTATGGAATCAATTAGCCAATCATTGCCAAGTATTTCAGCATAGACAACATTTTATTATTTTTGTAGACCATGGACTGATGAATCACCAGTTTGAATTCAGAACTGAGGATTCCCCGGTTATAATCATACAAGATTACAAATAAATAATTTCCACTTCAGCTTTACGAATGATTTACACAGCAAGCATTAATGTCCACCGAAATTATGATGGAGCTATAAACGTTTACTATGGTTTAAGAAGGTTTGTAGGGAGTGAGTGTTTTGTGATCCCATGGACGTACACACTAAAACAAAAATTAGTAGGTATGTCTTAAAAATAATATTTTAGTTATGCATATACAATAATTTATTTTACATTATAGTAATATAAGTTATTTACGGGATTGTTACCATGTACCTTGTTTTTAGCGAGTTTCCGATATTTCGGCACTGTTGCAAGCGCCATGATCACGGAGTAACTGACTTATTTTACATTGTCAGACTCAGATGCTCAATATAGACGTAGTTAAAGTAACAACAAAATAGAGGTCTTTCGTCTCATTCTTACAACATGCTAAAAAACCTAAATAAACAGGTTTCCGGTACAGACATATCGACATGGGTACGGTTTGGGTCGGTACCAATCGGTACAGGTATAATATTTTCAAGATATCTGATGCGCTCTTTTATAAAAACACTTCAAGAGATACTTGTCCGAGCCCTACGCAGAGGCGGCTTTACCTATAGTACAACTCTTATAGAGAATAAAGATGGTTTGTATATCCAGATTGATTACAAAAATTTCACACTTCAAAGTAAATTATTTACTTTATCACTATTATTCGTATTATAATAATGCGTGCAATTTAGTAGTATTATAATGCGTGCAAGGTTTCAGAATAGCTACAATTTTAGGTACGAATTGCAACCGATTAGAATAAATAATAAAGACGAAAATAAAATCGTGTTGTGTCGTACGTGACGTGTCAGAGAGGTATCGGTTTCATACATTTAGTACCTACGATTAGAATCAGATTTGTGTATGGCACTGGGTCGTGCGTGATGTATCAACACCGTACTCACCTCAACTAACCATACAAATTTTTGGAAAATGGTAGCTCTCTGACCCATCACGACACAACACGACAGTCAAATATACTTCATTAAGGCTTTACTGGAAGGCTGTTTTACACATCCATAAATAGTGGTGTCGATTCTGGCAAGATTCTCTAAACTTAAAACTTTAATATCAGTCTGTCCTTTTCATTCTATATAGAGAGTGAAAAGGATACACTGGTGTCGATTCTGGCATCCATTTTATATAACATTTTCCGTTTTCAGGGAAGGCAAAGGAAACAATACTCCTACAGCCTAATCTTAAGTTTTAATTATCTTATTTTTTATTAGAATTTCGGTGTGACGCATTCTAATGTTTCTGGAAGTGTTTAGCACGAAAGCCTTTTTCGATAACCTTAAGTGAGGTAGACAAGACTATAATTAAGTTTTCACGTCCACTTGACCGTTTTCGATGATATTCCGCCAAAAACTCTCATCTCTCCTTATTTTGTTCTTGACGTATTTGACATATTTTACCATTTAAGATTGATTAACGCATATCATGCACATACATATATCTGATAGCGAGGAATTAGACGGGATCCTTGCCGGCACCGGCCTACGTAGAAGCTGAAGCTACGGAATCATTCTTTAGAGAGTATGACATAGATATGATGGTATCGATTCTGGCATGCTTCTCTTAACACTAAATTAAATTTGAAATCAGTATATCCTTGTCATGCTCTATACACAATGAAAAAGAGAGCCTATTGCCAAATTGCTAGAATTGGTTGCTATTAGGTCAAATTTGACATAAGCACTGAGCAAGTAATCGAAGTAATCTATCTGTGTAATCTATATAGGGATGTGCGAGGTCTGATTTCCGATGTCCGGGTCGTCGATCCGATTTTTCAGATCGTAATGGATCGTAATACCACGATCCGATCCACGGATCGGGTCGCATGCCGTCGATCCGATCTTCAAGAAATCGGATCGGATCGGATACAAATAAGTAAGACAATTAATTTTAGATTTTTATTTGGTAAACCTTTCAAAGTATGTAAAACTTGTGAACAAACAAGATTGCTCTAAGTAAAACTTATAAATAAACAAGTACTTAGTTTTGAAAGAAACACAATGTGAAATAGTAATTTAAGTACACAGAGAACTTAAAAAACATTTACTAGTTATTTATGAAAAATTTAGATTACCAAGAAATGCGCCCAACTACTTACTAATAGTTAAACAACAATCGAATCAGCCATTTCAAAAACCTCTTAAGTCACACTATTAGAGTTTTTCAGGAACGAATAAAAACTAGTTCATGCTCAAACAAGCGAGTTCAATAGAACTTATTTTACGCTTACTTTAGTATTTGAGTTGTAAAAAATTCAATTTCAAAATTATCAAGAACTTTTACTATTCATAAATAATAATAATGAAAAAATAAAAAAATATATTCTTAATTTATGTTGATTTTGCAAGAAATAAGTGACTTATGTGATTTTAGCAAGAAATAGATTTAGTGGTATATATATAAATTTACCCATAACTTTTGTTTATAATAATAGAATCTATAAGATTAACGGATCCACCTGCAAAGAATGCCCCCAAGTTAAAATGTAAACAAAGATAAAGTTCGTAACAGAAACCTTAGTAAGTACCTACCCAATTTATTGTAAACAAACCGCGTTTTAATTCATACGATCCAAGTAATCCAATCTTTCAATTTTTGTAACGATCCGGCAAAAAATCGTATGGCCTCGACCCGACCCGAAAATCACCGGATCGTATGCCTTCCGATCCCATCTTTCAAAGGATCGGATCTAATCGGCGCATCCCTAAATCTATAGATTTAAGCACCCGAGTATTGTAAATAGAAGTTAATAATTTAATTTGGTTTTCTTGTCTTAATATCTGCCACGTACTGTTTTCTTTATTATTTTTTATGTATTGCTGTTATTTATCAATTTCGACTTTGTCTAGAAAATGAGTGCTATTAAACAGAATGTGGTGCTAGTTACCGGCGGTTCTGGGCTAGTAGGACAAGCAATCAGAACTATCGTCGAAGAGGAGCAAACTAAAAATCCTGATAAACAAAATGAAACATGGTTATTTTCTGGTTCAAAAGATGGTGATCTCAGGTTAATACATGTTATTGTAAATGCATCAATTAATTCAATTCGTCTCTTTTGAAGTATTTAATTTATATAGTTTTATAATTTGCTTCTTTCTTTGTAAGTATACATTAGAAAATACAATAAATATGTTGAAGTTTGCCTTTAGCGTTAGCAAATTGTAATGAAAACCTATTATACTCTTTTCTCCTATATTAGACACAGATGATTTAATATTTTGTCTCTTTAGGGACAAGAATCAGACAGAGGCACTGTTTGAGAAGCATCGCCCCACACATGTGATACATTTGGCTGCTATGGTAGGAGGTCTGTTCCACAACATGGCTCACAACTTGGATTTTTTTGTAAGTTATGTATATATATATATATTGTATTATAAGTAATGATACAATCAAATTGAATAGAGGAGCAGTATGACACAATAGTCTGTGTAATGTAAGGTTAATGTTTGTGTCGTTTCCTGTACTGAGTGGAATATGTTACTAAGAATACTCGTAGATCTCTAACTTTGACTCACTTTCGTAAATCCTTCTCAAAACTTGATATAGTAATAAGAAGCTTATTTGATCTACTTAAATTTGTACAGTTTTTATATATCATAGCTAACTTGAAATTTAAGCGTTGTGGATCATCTTTATAGTTTATGACTGGGTCTCAGATTAGTGGTATCGCAGCGCAGCAGTACTGCAAAATTTTTGTATGAACACAAAACTTTCAAATTATAATCTATTCCTTGCATATAATGTTATGTTTTTCATGAAACATGTGTTTGAGTGCTTTATGAATTCAGTCTTACGCAATTTTCTGTTTTTTGTGACCTATGTATTTCCTTTTTAAAAATAATAAAAAATTTGTGTTTATCATCTGTTTCAGAGGGAAAATATGGCAATAAATGACAATGTGCTAAGTGCTAGTCACAAGTATGATGTGAAGAAAGTAGTGTCATGTCTTTCTACATGCATTTTTCCTGACAAGACAACTTATCCAATAGATGAAACAATGGTATGTTATTCAATCTGGGACCTTTAATCAATGTTATGTTGAATAGCACTGTTACAGCATTAAAAATCTTTCGAAGGAAGTGGTCAGTGCATACGCCCGGATAGCAAAGAGTGCGGGTTCGAGTCCTGTCTGCTGCCTGGTCCGCGTGGGTCTTTTCTAGTAAACTTTTCTTTAGATTTAAACATCTAGCAGTTAAATGCTTAAAAAAAACTTATACTTGCTATTTCTTCTTTCAAATGTTTAATACTTACAAAAGTATTCATTTGACATTGTGGGTTCCCTACAATGCGAAGAGATGGCGCTGCCTTACAGCCTAAGGTTAGAGAAAAATTCGACGCGGCCGTCAGGGCCGCGGTAGCATAATTGGTCAGTGCATACGCCCGGATAGCAAAGGGTGCAGGTTCGAGTCCCGTCTGCTGCCTGGTCCGCATGGGTTTTTATCTAGTAAACTTTTCTTTAGATTTAAACATCTAGCAGTTAAATGCTTAAAAAAAACTTGCTATTTATTTTTTATTTTTTGCCATCTACTATATTTTTAGAGGTAACAGCTTCAAAAATACTATATTTGACAGAACATTGGTAACCCTATGTGCAAGTGCCAGTCATACATCGCATGATTATTGCCATATGAAATATGTTATTTCTAATAGAATACAATTATAATTTCTTATGGTTTCTACATTCTAGGTACACAATGGACCACCACACTCATCCAATTTCGGCTACAGCTATGCTAAGAGGATGATTGATATTTTAAATAGGTAAGTAAATTACTGTGAAACAGATCAGAAACAATACGCACGCTTAAAGGAATACTGACCTATTAGTACTTAGTTCAACAGTGAATAACATACAATATTGAGTTGTTTGCTCATTTTTTTGTTTACTAGGGTAGTCTAATTTTAAAGTAAGGTGTTAATGACAGCGATATTTATGAAGCTATGTGAATAGAATAATATGATATATTATATAGATGGCTTTAGGACAACTTTTTGTCTTTATGTCTTAAGTACTAAGGGGTCAGTATTCCTTTAAGAGTGCAAATAGTTAATTTTAAATTGGATGCTGTCATTTTTTTGTGAAAGCTACACATGCACAACAATACATGCAGTTTTTGTATATTTTTGTTATCATTTGTAAGTAATAAAATAATAATAGAACATGGCAGATGGTGCATGATTAAATTCTTACCTGAGGTGGTGACAATATGGTGGTATAGTTTTCTAGTTGCCTCATTCAATGTCTTGTTGTTTTTGTGATATAAAGTTATGTGTATAGAAAAATACTTAAATTATAAAAGGGTTAAGACCTAAAACAAATAAGATTTTGTACTGGCAAATGTAATTTTAATGGAAAAGAGGAATAATGAATACATTTCAAAAACTGCAAAATTCCTCTAAAATCCCAATTTAAAAAAAAAAAACCATAAATTTGGGGTGAAAACTCTTATGTCACTGGCACACAGTGATAATCGTGCTTCATAGACATTAAAATTATTTTTTCTAAAGTGACACTTTTCTTGCTTGAAAATGGTTGAGAATACCTAGTATATGCCTTATATTCTTAACTTTCAAGTTTACAATCCTAAACAGCGCACTCAAAAATTTTTTCGGAAAAAATTGTATGGAGTCGGCATACTTAATGATAATAATGACGACTAATATCCTCTTAGAATATTAATGTATTAATTATTTTGGATTTTTTGACGTACACCATGCTACGGTTAAGGTAGCATATACTAGGTATTCTCAATCGTTTCCAAGAAAAAAAGCGACACTTAAGAATATTATTATTTGAATGTCTATAAAACGCGTATTGTAAACTGTATTTATGTCCGTCATTGTAATGCTTTATAAGGATTGAAAAGGACAGACTGTTGTCAAGTTTACAAAACGTAAATACCCCTAGCACGAACCATTATCGAATTCGAATAGTTTGCAAACCGAAATGTCATTGTCAAATTTTGTATGGAAACTTGAACAGCAGCGCCACTGGACGTAACGGAAACTAAAAATCAGTACACATTTGACAATGACATTTCGGACGGACAAACGTTACGAATTCGATATTGGTTCGTGCTAGGGGTACTGAAGTGCAGCCATGAGTCATTTTCGATTCGTTTTTGTTCGTGCGAGTTACACGTAGATAATAGTGAGTATATTGGCAGGGGATATCACTCGCAGCACGGGCGCGTATTTACTTCAGTAGTGCCATGCAACGTGTTTGGACCACACGACAACTTCAGCGTGGGCTCCAGCCACGTCATTCCTGCGCTCATACGCCGCATGGACGACGCTATACGAGCAGGTTAGTTGTTTATTTGAGGTTTTCCAGGGCATTTCCGCATTTAGTCCTAATTGATGCATGAAGTGGACACGCACACTGTCTCGAAACATTCCAGTTCACTCCAGCCAGCCTAAGTTATTCCAGAAGGAAAGCAGCCTTGGCAGATTGCCAAGGCTTTCGGAAGCTTTGCTGGCGACTGGAGATGTCGTGCCCGTTAGTCGGTCGCATTCCTGCATTTCATGATAACATGCTGTGGCGTTTCTTCTGCCTCCATGCATCCTCTGCATAGGGGGCTATCTGTCACTTCTATTAAAAAAAAAAAAATAAAATTCATTTATTTCGAGCAACATAACTCATAATCATAATAATAATGCATAATCAATTATTGTAGAAATAGGCACATGTCACTTAAAATACACCTAATCATTTATTTAATTTAATAAATTACATAATTTAAATTTAATAATTTCCATCAAATAAAATAATTAAAAATCAAAGGTCAAGTTAATATTATTATAATGTCATACACAAAATGAATATTAAAATGTCATAGGAACACAAAATTTCTTATTTATATCAAACCGTATTTTTTTTTTTAATATAAAATATTTTTACAATTGTATTTAATAACATTACACACCTCCATTAGATAATATATGCTGTGCACAACAATGCCGCATGTAAGGACAGTCAAACCTCTCCGCTATCATAGCCAGGACTTTATTTGGGCTTGCCCTCACTCTACTTACAAGGGATCCTATGAGCCTCGGCGACGCACTTGTTCCACCCTGCCACACCTGAGCCACTCCAACCACCACCAGCGTCCTCTCGACCAGCACAAGACGCATCAGAAAGGGCAGACACAATGTCAGAGTAAAGTCTGTCAAGTACATATTTATGACTTTCATTATTACAATAGGAGTTGGCACAGTCAATAAATTCATTTGGAAAGTCTATTGTTTTAAGTCTTTTATGACACTCTTCAGTATACCTGGCCACTTGTTCCTTGTTTCTCATACCCCACAAGACATGATTTTTGGTACAAGTAATATTATCCCCAGCTACGATGGGAGTTAATAAATATAGATCACATTTTATTATCAAAGGAAAGTGGTCGGACCAAAAAGTGTCATAACTGACAAAAACGTCAGTTACACATTGTTTTGCGGCTTTAGTCACTACACAGTGATCCAGCCAGCTGCAAGAACCGTGCACTTCACTAATAAACGTGTAAGTGCCCGAATCTGCACCTAGAAAATCAACATCGCAGCAAGACCATCGTTGTTCATTACAATATTTGTTTAATTCGTTATAAAATAATTCGTCAATGTCAGCATTATAGTCACCTAATATAAAAACAGATTCAATACTATATTCATCAATAATTGCGCTCACCGTACTTAAACAGTCCGTAAATTCTGGAAGATTTTCCACGGAGTTCGTCGGCATGTAAACACTCATCACTATCACTGGACGATCATTAGTTACTATTTTAATAGCACAGACACGGTCACTATCACACCGTAACACCGATACGTGTTGGAAAACGCTGCTCCTCCACAGCAGTGCGACACCACCATACGGCCTCCCACGAAGAACGCCTGTAGAAGTGTCAACAGCAGACGTCCCCGCAAATCCAAAATTATTATCGATAGTGCTCAAATATGGTATTTCGTCCGGCAGCAACCATGTCTCCTGCAACGCTATGAGATCACATGACCTACACAGTTTTCGCACACTATCTACTGAGCGCTTAATACTTTTGCAATTGAAGCTTGCGAAATTATATGGTCGACTATCCATTTTTATTTCTAGTGGAGCCGTCTACAGCTACGTGCCTGTTCGATTCTTTACCTTTATAATGCATAAAACGCCTAAAAACAATGCCGCAAGGCCAAAGCTTCTCATCTAGGTATAATGGAAGCTTTGACTCTAATACAAAGAACTTAAACGCCTTGTGTCCTCTTTCTCTTTTCATAATTATTTTCTCTAACTTCACCATTTCGTTGGTTTTATTTAAAATATAAGTGGTTATGTCCTCTTCGGTTGTGTCAATATGAACGTTTGTAATAAAAACGGGCACCTTCTTATCGGCCGCCTTAAACTTACTCGCAAGATCTCTTGCAACACCCGATTGACCCAAGTAACGATACGTTGGTCGTTTTTTACGATTTGTGACTTGTTGCCATTCCTCATATTTACGCGCATTGCTTGTATTTGCCGGCAATTTCTCATCATTTTCAGGTAATGCACTCCGCTGCTCCGCCGCAGTCACAGAACTGACGGTTTTATTATTCAAAGCGCTCAGCTGACTTATTATCCTCACAGGTGAGATCGTATGCGCCGCGGCCGATAACAAACCGGTCTTACAATTGTCGGTCGCCGCTACAGGTGACTCGTGCGCGCTGCTTTTGCCCGCCGCCTGTGACCGTTGCTGCGCTTCGTTCAAACACACCCTCATATTTCGATATCGCGGTGTTATTATATCAGTTTCGGTATCATTATTAGTACAGGATTCATTTATTGATGAATTCAGCATATGGGATACCTCCATCGGCCCATCATCCAACAACCATGCACCTCTTCTTTTGTTTACTTTTAACGTCGAAGTGGGAAGAAACGAATTGTTTTTCATCTGAAGAACCTCTGTTTTTAGGTCTTTTAAGTCTTTTACTGTGGCATAATTGGACTTCATGTCGTCAACCGTCGCCTGGATACGTACAAGATCCTTTAGGAGTTTGGTGACGTCCAGATGATCGAATGTAATAGGTGGTAATTTTTCCAGCTATTGTGAATAGGTGTTTGTTTAGGGGAGAATGACAAGTCAGGATTCCTATAATCTTGCGGAGTTTGTCCCTATTTAGCTATTTAGACTGGATGGAGATGAAGGATGCAAACAAGTCTCTGGATGCAAACTCTCTCTTGTTTGCCACTGGAACAGCGTTATTTGTTTGTCAGCAGCCTTCACCTGTTTCCCACTCTGTCAAGTGTGTTTTAAGAGTTCTTTCAGGCAGTCACGATTCAATTTGGACCTGAGGTATAGGCAGCAAAGGCTCCGCATCATACACTTTTGTGTCTGCTCCTCTCTTAGCCAGTTCCTTTCGCAGGTTAATTATATACGTGGAATTCAATGATTCCCGCGCTCATATGTCGCATGGACGACACCATACGAGCAGGTTAGTGGTTTTCCGTACCCTTATCGCGAACCATTATACGGGGTTCTCATGCGATTTTAGTAGATCAACTGCTAAATCGTATACGATTGTAACCGTCTGAACACTTTCAATCCAGTTGAAGAAAAGCAATTGAACGATAAAAGTTGATCAATTGAAATCGCCATGTGTGAACTGGATATTATCGAATTAGAATAGTTGAATTCAATTTAGATATATGTTAAATATGTACTGGTTTAGTTCTTGTTGCATCCGTTATGACGCTGCTGTTCAAGTTTCCTTACAAAGTTTTTGATAATAAGAGAGACGAACTTCTTAGCAATCCATGGATTCACCGTGAGAGAAACTCTGAGCAGTTCCCAGGACTTGCGACCCAGGCTCATCTTCACTGCTCTAGGAGCCCGCCCTTCCTAGCCTTTGATAGCATCCTGTTAGTGCAGCCTTAGTCATTCCAAAATTGAACTTACGGCAGTTCTCGACAGGCCGAGGTCCTTTAGAAGGTTATAGAGAGATTTTGCTGGTATACCTCCCGCTCCTACTTCTATCGCATATAAATTAACTAGATAGCCACTTTTAGTAAGTTCGTTGGTTAGATCGTAATATTTATTCAATTTTATTGTGTGGTCTTTTGGAATGTTAGTTTCCCACGGTACAGTACGCTCTATTAGTACTAGATGTTTGATGTGGAATATGCCCGGCCTGGATGACGAAACAGTAATATCATCTGGTACTTTATAGTGCATTTTATACGTATCCATTAAAATTGTCCAGTCAGGTGCAGTGCCTAGGACTAGGATTGAGAAAAGCTTGCTTTTCGAGTTAACAGTTGAGCCTTCTTTTATAAAGTTAAGTTTTTTTGAAGTTATACTTCTTTAGGCGCGTTATGAAAAAATGATGAGAGTGAAATTTTTAGATGCGCGCGCATCACTGTAACCCAAAAGTAACAGCATGAAGTTATCCGCGGGCGCGTTATGAAAAAATCATGTGAGTGAAATTTCGAGATGCGCGCGCATCACTGTAACACAATAGTAACACCATGAAGTTGGCCGCGGGCGCGTTATGAATGTTAGTGTCTAATAATGGTAGATTATTAACCACTAAGTGGTTCATCTGTTCGAAAGGTACTTTGAACGATCCACGGAGCTCCATAAGATGATCGCGTTGTCAAAAACAATGTTGGCACGCTCGTCGCCTCTGATCACTGTTTTCATATTTATAATATTTATCCACATGTTTCTAGTTTCTATATAGACACAACGTGTTTAAGTTACTTACAAGTGCTAATTACATATTGACTAATAACTTAAATTCAGTAGTGATTTTAATTGAATATTTTGAATATTTATTTAATTTTTCAAATTAAAACTGAACTTAATTGACTGTGTTAACTATCCTTTTCCAGTCCTTTTATTATTTTATTGTAATTATTAATTATTTGCATGCAATTAAAAAATATTTTTAATGATGCTAAAGAAGTATAACTTCTCACGCGCGTACATAAGTTACACGCATCCATTTTTTTTTATTTGTGGTTAATCCTTTTTGGGCTCTAGCCACTGCAAGACTTGCTGCTTCACGTATGACTTCAAGTACCCTGGCGACGTGACTATTGACCCCTATCAAGGAGCACCTTGCAACCTACCAATATGTGCCTAGCAGTATCTATTTCCTAACCACAAGTATAGTACGGTTTTTCAGAGGCTTTCCTCATCTTACTAGGTTACGCTGATCTGGGAGGGTCATGTAAGGCATTGAGATTTTACTAGAACAGGAGAACAATCATGTAGTAAAATTTTCGTACTTGAAAAAGTAACGAATTCGATATTGGTTTGTACTAATAAGAGAACTGTTCTCTGCACTACAAAGTAAAAAAGTCCAAATGTCAGACGACACGCTACAACCCAGTCCTTTCTAAGAGGCGTGAAGAATCAATTTGTGCAGGCTGGCAAGGTCAGGACTGGGGATGACTGGTATATATTATATGAGTATAACTGCTGCAAATACCTTCCCATCTGCATTGCACCACCACTCAACATCAGGCGAGGTGGAGACTCTTGCTTCCACTTGACTATAGTATATTATATTTTATTATTTTAAGCATTTAACTGCTAGGTGATTAAATCAAAAGAAAATTTTACTTAAAAAATTTCCACGCCATTCGCATCGCCCGTTTTCAATGTTTAAACCGCTAGCAGTTAAATGATTAAAATATATCTACAAATGCTATTTCTTCTTTTAAATGTTTAATACTTGTAAAGGTATTCGTTCGACATTGTGAGTTACCTACAATGCGAAGAGATGGCGCTGCCTTGCAGCATAAGAAACACTAGAAAGAATTCGACTCGGCCATTAGGGCCGCGATAGCATAATGGTCAGTGCATCCGCCCGGATAGCGGAGGTTGCGGGTTCAAGTCCCGTGGGCACCCTGGTCTGCGTGGAATCTTTTCTAGTTTTTTTTTTCAGATTTAAACATTTAGCAGTTAAATGCTAAAAAAATATAACTACTATTGCTTTTTCTTCTTTTAAATGTTTGTAAAGGTATTCGTTTGACAGTGAAGGTTACCTACAATGCGAAGAGATGGCGTTGCCTTGCAGCCTAAGAAAAACTAGACCGCGGTAGCATAATGGTTAGTGCATCCGCTCGGACAGTGGCGGCGCTAGGCGTCGGCGACGTCGGCCACCCCGACGGCCTCGCGCCTGAGCGCGCCTCGCAAAAAAATTTTACAAGTTACCTATTTATTTTCGTTTCTCCGGGCCTGGCTTAGGTAGCCGACCCCGAACAATTCGGGGAAAGGCTAAGCAGATGATAATGACTTTTATTAATTTCGAACACGTGCGTGATGGAAGCGAGTAGTACTTTACGGGTATTCAGAATCGTCTGTCTGGCAACTCTATGAATCAACAATAAAACTCGTTTATTCATACGTTATTTTATAATTTGGCTCACTTAATTTAACGGTTTTTTACTGCGAAGTAAAATAGGCCTCGCGAACTTGATGTCGCCGACGTCCACATGTGGTCTAGCGCCGCCACTGCACTCGAATTGCGGTGGGTGTGCGAAAATTTTCTTTAGATTTAAACATGTAGCAATTCAATGCTTCAAAAATATAACTGAATAAACGATATTAAATTTGACTCATTATTTTCAGATCAGCCAACATTCACAGTAATGGGTACTGGTAAACCGCTACGTCAATTCATTTACTCGCTGGATCTCGCGAAGCTATTCATCTGGGTCCTACGGCACTACGACAGCGTAGAACCGATTATACTTTCAGGTGAGTGGTGTGATGAGCCGATTAGTTCTTTAAACATGACATAAGGCATCGCTACAGGGTACAAGCGTGTAACCGCGACTCCGTCTGCGTGGAAAAATTGGTTTAATTTTTTTTTCATTTATTGGGAATAGTTATCAACTGCACATTTAAAATATGTAAAATAGTATTACTGTTAATTTCAATATTAAACATGCAGTCAAATACACTATACACAGCTTACACAACAAGTCTTAACAATTTATAGTGAGATGCTAAGCAACAACAGATGAACTAGGCACCTATAATAATCATTTTAGTTTCCCCATACAAACTGCCACCTCACCTTCTTAGAGCCTACACTGCGTTAAACGGACGCAGCCGAACGCGCTAACCACCTGCGCCGTCGAGCTCCTAGGTCTTTATAAGAAGTAAATATGTTTCTATTATAAGTAAATCAAATGTAACTAACACTGTGGAACCTAGTTCTGAAATAAATGATTTGAATATAATTGAAAAGGACAATGGGCAAAACGCACCCAGCTCCGCCAACAATGTAATTAGTATGAATCGATAGATCTATGAAAAACTAGCCTTTTTTATTATGGCACCAAAAAAAAATAACCTGGGTGTCAAAAGATATACACCTGGGTATGTTCTATATTAGGGGTTAAGGTTTCCGCACATAGTGCTTATAGACGACCTTTGTGTGTAAGTCATGGGGACCGGTTACACACGGGCATATTTAAATAGCTCCTTATAGAGAAGCTCGATGGCGCAGGTGGTTAGCGCGTTCGGTTGCGATCGTTGAAGTTAAGCAACTTCCGCAGTGGTCGGTCATTGGATGGATGACCAAAAACATCTATCTCGAGTTCCTCCGTGCTTCGGAAGGCACGTTAAGCCGTTGGTCCCGGCTGCATCTGCAGTCGTTAGCACCCGCCAATCCGCACTGGGCCCGCGTGGTGGGTCATGGCCCAATCTCCCTATTTCATCCATAGGGAAGGCCTGTGCCCCAGCAGTGGGGACATTAATAGGCTGATGATGATGATATTTAAATAGCTAAAGAAATTCATTCAATATCAATAGTACTTTCGTTTTATAATATTAGCAATAATAAATGAGTGAATCATATCTTACTGTACAACCAGATACAAAATACTAAACAACAAAGCCTACCGACTATCCTGCTTGCTTGCTGCTTGCACTTACTGAGACTCCTCAAAACGTCTAACAGGGTATGGGGGTTGAAGGGTGTGATATTGCAGTTGCCGTTGCAACTAGTCTACTCTAGTCCAGTCAAATTACGGAAAAAAAAGGGCTAAAAAAACATGAGCGAGCACAGTTTGGGGATTTTGAGGATCGATAGGGGGGTGCATCCTGAGCTTAAGTTCCAATTTGAGGGGCTGTACTGAGGTCAGCTCAAGGTCATTTCGATACAAACGCGTTTAATTCGATATCTCGAGAAATATCAGTGTTAGCCAAAAAATTATAGAGACCTTTTTTCTTCTAAATGAAATTTATTAACTTTTTTATTTAAAACTTTTTTTTGTAACATCAATATTTTTTAAGTTATTACTCCCGCAAGGCAAAAATTTCATTTTTTTCCCTATTTTCCGTCGTTTTCTCCCCAAACATTCAATTTTATTGAATTTTACCGATCATCAACGTGTATGTCTTTTAATTATGCACAATTTTGTTCTTAAACTTTTTTCTGTAACTTCAATACCTTCGGAGTTATTCGACCTCGGGTGCTTAATTTTCCGAATTTTATAACCTATTTTTTGTATCAATAAATGTGTGAAACAGTTTTAATTGTTAATTTACTTGTTACCCAAACAAACCCATAAATTTACCCAAATTAAATACCCAATTTTTAAATAGTTTAATCGATTTACCCTTTTATACTGCGACAGTGGCGTGGATTTCGCTCGGTAAAATAATATATAACTCCGAAGGTATTGAAGTTACAGAAAAAAGTTTAAGAACAAAATTGTGCATAATTAAAAGATATACACGTTGATGAGCGGTAAAATTCAATAAAATTGAATGTTTGGGGGAAAAACGACGAAAAATAGGGGAAAAAATGAAATTTTTGCCTTGCGGGAGTAATAACTTAAAAAATATTGATGTTACAAAAAAAAGTTTTAAATAAAAAAGTTAATAAATTTTATTTAGAAGAAAAAAGGTCTCTATAATTTTTTGGCTAACACTGATATTTCTCGAGATATCGAATTAAACGCGTTTGCATCGAAATGACCTTGAGCTGACCTCAGTACAGCCCCTCAAATTGGAACTTAAGCTCAGGATGCACCCCCCTAACGATCCTCAAAATCCCCAAACTGTGTTCGCTCATGTTTATTTGATTCCGTAATTTGACTGGACTACTCGTATGCAGTCCTATGTCTTACATTTTGTGCGCTCCCTGTTATTTCATTGATATTTAACTAACACGCTTTAGAAATAGGAACACGATTATCATCGCGTACGTCATTATAATCGTACGAGCTAATAAAAAATCTATGGATCAATTTAAATGCTCGTACTCAGCACACAAACATCTGCCCCCATCAGGATTCGAACCCGGGACCTCTCGAGCCAGCGCCACCATGAAACCCGGCGTACAAACCACTCGACTCGGATATATTAATTGACGACCTCCGTGGTCGTCAATTAATATATCCGTTCTATATACTCGTCCTTGTATCTTTAAATATTATGTTCGTTATAGTTACTTTTACCTATGGAATTCTACCTATTTAACTTAAAATAACTAAAGACTCCCGGGATGGAATTTGATGCGCTTTGGCACAAATGATCATGACTATGATACCTTTCAAACAAATGTAGTTTAAGCCGTGGCGGACGTGGGTGCAGTGTCCATGCAATTTTGCCCATAGTCCTTTATCACAAGAAACTACATAAACAAAGCGGTTTAGTGCAAGCGATTTTCCTCTTAAATGCCGCCATTTTACACCTTTTTTATTTTATAATAATGACAGTTGAGTGTATGGTGCGCCTAATGGTAAGCGGCCACCATAGCCTATAGACGCTTGCGATTAGGGTTACTATCCGTCCGGATTAGTCCGGACATGTCCGGACTTTTAGTCCATAGTCCGTAATAATGTTTCTCCTTTTTTTTGTATTCAAAAATTTATATGATTAGCAATATATTTCACATTTTAATGTGTGCAAATATTATACTTGACTAATTTCGTCGTCAGTTTTAAAACCTGTTTTTGGTCGTTGTTTTTAATCATGTGTAGCGTACGGCATTCATTCATTTATATTTTCAAGTTTTTGAATTTTCTCTGAAAATAACATTAAAAGAAAATCGTGGAATGCGCCAGCTTCTTAGTTCCATTGCAACTAGTTATAGCTTGTCGATAAAGGGCATAGTTATCTTTCCTCCTTACTCAAGAATGTTTGTATGAATTGCAAGTAGTGTAGTCCGAACATGTCCGAACTTTTACATTATAGTCTGGACTTTGTCCGGATCTGTAAATTGTCCGATTTATTTAAACTACAATGAATATGAATCATAAATGTACATATTGATTTAAACACCATAAGTGAGTAATGGTACCATTTTGTGACTAAAAAGTCCGGACTTTTTTCGAAATGTAAGGTTTTTTTCAGTACTTTTGAAATACCTAATTGGTCGGATAATCCGCTATGCCCTACCTCTCTTAGGCATTTACATTTAAACGGACAATTAAAAATTCCTTCTCAAATAAAACTTACTAATTTTAATTCCTTTAACAGTGGATGAAAAGGATGAAGTGTCAATCAGCGCAGTGGCCGAAGCTATAAAGCGAGCACACGGTTACAAAGGGGAAATCGTGTACGACACGGACAAAGCCGACGGCCAATACAAGAAGACGGCTTCTAACAAAAAGCTCAGATCCCTTTATAAAGACTTCGAGTTTACCCCTTTTGACACAGCCATCGACGACACTGTGAGGTGGTTCAAAGAGCATAGAGAGCAAGCGAGGACGTAGAAAAATGTGTGCATTTATCAATTTATCGTTATATATTGTTAATAATGAGATGTTTAAATAAATCATGGTTATTTTAAAACTACACATTTTTATTGATTGTATACTAAATATGGCCCAATCTACCTATTCCATCTACAGGGAAGGCCTGTGCTCCAACATTAATAGGCATTAATTTTTTTTCCGGCGGTTCTGAGGCCGGTTACCTGATACCACTTCGCGTCACATGTCGCCTAACATAGTTAATAATTTTATTTACTAACAACAATGTTTTATATCTGTATATATGTTAGACTATAAGGTATTTATCTATGGGCTTATGTAGCCTGATTATAAATAAATAAATAAAATAATTAAATAATAGGCCGATACCAAATAAGGGCCTGCGCTGCGTTAAGCTGAGCACGAAGCAGACGTCCGCTCCGTGATCCCGTTTAATGCTGCGCACGTCGTATTCATCTTTTTTTTATATAGCCAGGTAGGCAAATGACTACCCCGCCTGATTAAGTGTTGATACGAGTCCAATCTCTTGTCATGTTGTTCCTTGAAACGGGCTTAATGGATAATTTATTTAAGAGCTGGTTGGCGCTGGTGGCTATGCACAATTCCGTTAATATTTCATTCAGCGACAGCAGAAATTGAGTCAACATGCTCAACAACTTTAAACGGATCTTTATTTCTTTACGCCTATATAAGAGCTTTTCAAATAAAACAAACTCAATTTTAGTTGTATTATGACTATGTTCTATTAAAATTATATTCCCGGATTTTTAGTTTTGACGGTTCCTAGCTAAAAATATTATATATTGAGCAAAAACTTATTACCTACGAAGATTTGTTACCCACTTTTCGTGGCCTTTTAAAAGTATTACTCAACCATCAACATATATTTTGCTACAGATCGTAGAAACTTATAACACTAAGCGCCAATAGATGTGTCCGCAACTTTAAATGAATAAAAATAAACGAAAAGTTTTTTAGGAAAAGAAGTATATTTTTCCATATAATTTACCTATAACATTTAACTGACGTTTAAAACTACAACAAGTCTTTGATATGAACACGTATTTTAAATATGGCAACCGGTAAAAGGCACAACCTTGATTATTGAACATAAAACGAAACCAAATTAAAAATGTACACGTAAGCATAAGTATTCATGCAATTTTGTTATTTACTTGGATGGAAATAACAATTTTTATCATTGCCATTGTAAAACTCTGTCTAGTAAACATATATTATATGGCCACAATGGCTTAAGGGCAACACAAGCCTTGTTCGTCGTATGTGACGAATATTTTCTCTATGGCCGTAATGTACGCGGCCGTTCGCAGATCCAAGCCTAGATTGTATTTCTTAGCTGCCCGCATCACGTTCTGAAAACAAATTTTGTATAATAAAATACATGACCATCATTTGGATGCTTGGCATTCTAGTAGTTCCAGCAAGATCTGTACCCTTAGTACGAACCAATATCGAATTCGAATAGTTTGCGAGTGCCAAATGTCATTATCAAATTTTGTATGGAAACTTGAACAGCAGCGCCACAAAGTACGTAACGAGAACTTAAAATCAGTACACATTTGACAATGACATTTCGGACTCGCAAACTATTCGAATTCGATATTGTTTCGTGCTAAGGAAGAGTAATGGAAAGACTTTCCCTCAGCGATTTTTATAAGTGTCAATCTGCGCAGTGGCCGAAGCTATAAAAAGAGCACACGGTTACGAAGGGGAAATCATTTACGCCACGGATAAAGCCGACGGCCAGTCAGGAAGATTGCTTCCAATAAAAAGATTACAAAGACTTCGAGTTAACCCCCTTTGACCTTAGAGCATATGCTCTAAGGCCCGTATTATAGAAAGATTCTCAGTAATGAATCTAATCTTGAGCATAGTCAGAAAGAGATGTCGCTTTATATAGCACATAGGGGCATCCCTCTCTAACGCTACTCAAGTAAAGATCAACACTTAGCTGTCATTCTGTAATAAGAGGCTAAGCCTTTGCTCAATTGTTAACACTTGGTCGGATTCGCAACAGGACCGAACGGATTCTCATTTCGCCGTATCCTGTACAGTAATATGGAGAAATACATATTAATATTAGACATTTATTTTTCCAGTCAACGGTTTAAAAGAAATACTTGCTCAGCCTACTTTGCAATTAATTTTGAGATTGCTGAGAAGGGTACCGTTTTAAAACGAAAGATTTAAAAGATTACAATAATTTTCTGCAATAAAAAGTAACGTCCAAAAACACGTACAAATTGGACGATTTGTATTTGACTGTATTGTGTCATGTTGGTAAGCACGCACGTAGATATAATTAGTTTTTTCCAACGTTTATATGATTCTTTTTTTTAGTATTTTTAAAATCTATAGCAGAGAAAAGCTGGAGGTTTTTCTCGTAAGCGTATTCCGGCGAAATGAGAATCCGTCCGTCCTTTTGCGAATCCAACCAAGTGCGAACAAATGCCTTCGTCACAGCCATGGACGACACTGTGAAGTGGTTCAAAGAGTACAGAGGGCAAGGGAGGACGTAATAACAAGTATCGATGTATCGTTTAATACGTTGTTAATGAGTGGTTTAAATAAATCATGGTTATATTAAAACTGCCCGTTTCATTGATTGTATACTGATTTGTTTCTTAGGTTTACATTAAATAAAACAAGTTTCAACGGATTAGATGCACTGATTTTATTTATTTATTTCTTCTGACGGCGCATTCCTGCAAAGGATGCGAAACGTCAATAAATAAATAAAATCTGTGCATCTAACCCGTTGAATTTGAATTAAAACTTGTTGTGTATATTATCATGTCCCTTGAAGCTTCTAATTCATGGTTAACATAAAATTAATTTGATTTAATAATATAATTATTATATCGCCAAGTTAGCAGCAGTTGCTTCGAGAAACTGCGGTGTTCTATAGGTATGCCTTAATCCAGATAATACAATATACGTGTGCCAAATTTCATCCAAATCCGTTAAGCTATTGTGCGTGTTTGAGAACGACCTGCTCTCAAATTTTCATTATTTTGAATGAAAAGTACCCTTAGCACGAACCGATATCGAAATCAAATAGTTTGCGAGTGCGAAATGTCACTGTCAATTGTGTACTGATTTTTAGTTCTCATTACGTCCGTTGTGGCGCTGCTGTTCATGTTTCCATACAAAATTTGACAATGACATTTCGCACTCGCAAACTTTGAATTCGATATTGGTTCATGCTAAGGATACTGGTGTCAATTCTGGCATGATTCTCTAAACCTACACTTAATTTGAAAACAGCATATCCTTGTCATTCTCTACACAGAATGAAAAGAAGAGACTTATATTAAATTTAGTTTTAAGTTTAGAGAATCACGCCAGAATCGACACCACTGTATCTCTAAGTAACTCAATAGTTGCTTAGAGAAATATTTTCGCTGATTGATTATTATTGTTATTTATTATGTTGCTCAGTGAATATTTATATTATAAGGGTTTCTTTATTTCTCTACCACTTGTCAAGAGCTTCTCGAATTTGTCACGAACTCAATATTAGGTCCTACTTACACTGTTACCATGATCTATGATGAAAAGATGAATGAAATATTAAACAAAAATTTGTTGGGAAGAAGTATATTTATGTCATATATTTTTCCACAGTAATTTTTCTTTAACATACAAGTGACGGTACAAAAAAACAAAATGTCGGATATAAAGCGCGGATTTAAAATATGGCGACCGGCAAAGGCACAACTTTGATTAAATACCGTAAAAACGAAGCAAAATTTTAAATATGTATACACGTAAGCACCATAGTATTCAGATGATTCTGTTAATTGCATGAATGGAGATAACCATTATTTTTTATTGCCTTTGAAAAGCCTCGACGGGTAAACAACCACATAATTTAAGGCTGCCCTTAAATAGCCAAGCCTTGTTCGTCGTACGTGACGAATATTTTCTCTATGGCCGTAATGTACGCGGCCGTTCGCAGATCCAAGCCAAGATTGTATTTCTTAGCTGCCCGCATCACGTTCTGAAATCAAATAATAATATCATATTTGAAATGAAACTGTGTGTCCTCGTTGGATGACAATCACGTCAAGTCACGCCTCTTTTCTTTGAAATGTTAGGTGTTAGATTTAACAGAAGCACGGCTGAGTCAACCCGGCTTTAAGGAGGGTCTAACAATCCCTGCTTGTGTTAACTATAAGATTTGCTCTTGCTCAAATACCACATCACAAGCTAAATCACACTCGCCACAATTTAGAGAGCTATGGGTTTTATGCCATTTTTTCTCTTTTATTGCCCAAAAAGTACTCACTGATATTTCCCTGACTGAAATTGTGGCGATGGCGGCCTGATCTGACCTGGACTTGGATCTCACAATCACAAGCCACAATATAGATGATTATTATGACCAGGTCTCACCTCGCAAGCGTTGATCATAGAGTACTCGAGGTCGGAATTGACGATGTGCCGCTCGCTGGCGCCCGTGATCATGTCCTGGAACTGCGGCGAGAGGCTGATCTTCATATCCTGATAGCTGCCTGGATCCAATATGTCTCACCTCGCAAGCGTTGACCATAGAGTACTTGAGGTCGGAATTGACGATGTGCCGCTCGCTGGCGCCCGTAATCATGTCCTGGGGCTGCGGCGAGAGGCTGATGTTCATATTCTGATAGCTGCCTGGATCCAATATGTCTCACCTCGCAAGCGTTGACCATAGAGTACTCGAGGTCGGAATTGACGATGTGCCGCTCGCTGGCGCCCGTAATCATGTCCTGGAACTGCGGCGAGAGGCTGATCTTCATATCCTGATAGCTGCCTGGATCCAATATGTCTCACCTCGCGAGCGTTGACCAAAGAGTACTCGAGGTCGGAATTGACGATGTGCCGCTCTCTGACGCCCGTAATCATGTCCTGGAACTGCGGCGAGAGGCTGAGCTTTATATCTTGATAGCTGCCTGATTCCAATATGCCTTACCTCGCAAGCGTTGACCATAGAGTACTCGAGGCCGGAGTTGACGATGTGCCGCTCGCTGGCGCCCGTGATCATGTCTTGGAATTGCGGCGAGGGGCTGATCTTTGCGTCCACACTCGCAGACTTCAGTGACTTCTCCACGGAGTCTGAATGAAGATATTTTTTTTATGTTAAGAGGGTGGCAAAACAAGCATACGGCCTGATGGGAAGCGGCCATCAGAGCCGTCTATAGGCGCTTGCGATACTAAAAATATCACCCTGGCCCAATCCCCTACTTTGTGGAGCCCTGGAACCTTTCTCGTCGACAGAAACACAACACCACTTAAAGGTAGTGATATTTTACTGTGGTCTTCTGTAAGGGTACTAACTCAGGCGGGCGTTTCGAGCGGCAAATCCGCTATGCCCTACCCAGATCCCTCTTTCCCAGTGGGCACTTTGGGCAAGTGCCCAGGGCCCCGCGATCGATAGGGGCCCACCTAGTTCCTGTTAGATTAACAAGCGGGGGTCATAGGGGCCCCATTATCCGAATATGCCCAGGGCCTCCAATAGGTCAAAGACGCCGCTAGCCCTACCTCTCTTAAAATAAATATAATATTGGGTAACCATATACCTATTGCTATGATCCTAATGTACGAGTAATTCCCATTGAAAAAACAAAATATTATAACTTCTTTCTACTCCAATTCCCGACTTGTTTTTGTTTGCGCGAAGAAGATATAAGTTCGAGAACGAGAGGTTTTTCTATAATAGGGAAACGGCGGTTATTTTCCACGTCCGCTATCCGGACAGGTGCACTGATCATTATGCTACCGCGGTCCTAACGGCCGTGTCGATTTTTTATAGTATTTCTTAGGCTGCAAGACAGCGCCATCACTTCACATTGTAGGTAGCCCACAATGAAGTGATTATTTTTCTTTAGATTTAAACATTTACCAGTTCCAATATCGGCATTTGGAAATCGTGAATAAGACTAAGCACCCTGCTACTGCCAGCCTACTGCTGGGGTACAGGCTTCCCCTATGGATGGAATAGGGAGATTGGGCCACCCAGCACGCGGGCCCAGTGCGGATTGGTGGGTGCAAACGATTGCAGATGCAGCCGGGACCAACGGCTTAACGTGCCTTCCGAAGCTTGGAGAAGCTCGAGATATTAAATTTTTGATCACTCATCCAATGACCGACCTCTGCGAAAGTTGCTTATCTTCAACTTTCGCCGCCGAACGCGGTACCCACTATGGTACAAGTGGTGTGTGGCAAAGCTCTTCGATAATTATACCAACTTAATAGAGCAATATTGGAGTCCTTACAGAACATGATGCTGAGCTTGCCAAAGCTGACGTGGTTGAGGTTCTTGAGGAACTCGAAGTATCTAAAGATATTTTCTTACTTTGTTATCTAGAATATATGGTATACAAACCCAATAGCGCAGTATTGGAATCCCTCCAAGAACATGATGTTGAGCTTGCTAAAGCTGAAGTCGTTGAGGTTCTAAGGAACTCAAAGTAGGTAAACATATTTAGTTTTTTTCGGTAGCTAGAAGATTTATACAAACCCAATAGCGCAGTATTGGAGTCCCTCCAGAACTTGATGCTGAGCTTGCCAAAGCTGACGTGGTTGAGGTTCTTGAGGAACTCGAAGTAAGAGACGGTGACGCCGCCCGCGTTGGCCAGCAAGTCGGGCAGCTGGAGGATCTTCTTCTCGCGCAGTATCTTGTCGGCTATGGGTGTTGTGGGGCCGTTCGCGCCTTCGCCTATTATCTGTAAAAGAAATTTGAATGTAGACTCCTTATAAAATATTTCACCGTTAAATTAAATTTCAATAGGTACACGTATTTTTGACAGCTGACAGCACAGAAAACTAGCATTTTCCCTAAAAAAATGTCGATATACGTTACGGAGTTCGTCAAAAATTATAGTGCTTCAGCCTCAGTATCGAAACAATATAGAATCATACACGTTTTTTTCCTACGATTCAATAGATCTTTTAGCTGATAAGAATGGGTGCAATAAACTCAAAAGCATTCGTCAGTGCATTCATATCGAAGGGTTCGAGTCCCGTTTGCTGGTCTGCGTAGATTCTAATATAATTTTCTTTAAACAAAAAAAAATATAAAAAATCTTACCTTGCAGTTGACTTTGTCGGCGTTATCTTGCGTGAGAACCTTCTCAGTGGCAGCTACCACAAGTATGTCACACTTCTGGTACAGCAGGTCTCCGCCCGTCTCCTTGGCGCCGGAGAAACCCTTCACGCTGCCGCGGTTGCCCGCCTTGTATTTCATAAGAGCCTGGACAAGGTCAATGTGAAGATTAAAAATGAATGAGCTTATTATATTTCTATTTTAAACATTTAAATGCTCTGGATGTTTTAAATCAAAAGAAAATTTTACTAGAAAAAAGCACTGCCTTACAGCCTAAGAAATAACTAGAAGGAATTCGACATCGTCATTAAGGTCGCGGTAACATAATAGGCTAGTTGACTCATGTCAAATTGCACTATAAAAATGTTTATTTCTTATAATTTTTGGTATGAGGAACCAAAATACATCGATTTCACTTCATAAAATTAGAAGATGGCTGTAGTAATTTAATTTGAAAATTAGTTTTTTAGTCTATACTTTTTAAACACTAAAAACGCTGTCCACCATGATTGTGACGTCAACATAATAGCAAAACAACTAAACGTCATTGTCGTGTTACTGTGTTTTCTTTCGTCTGACTAAAATATATCTAAAAACTCTTATATCTTGAAGAAAAGTTTCCGTTTATTGGTTTTCTTAACTAAATTAATGCTGGACGCCGGATTTGTGAAAGCAGAAACGACAAAACTCTGACTTAGCAGGTACATTCATAACCTTAAAAATTGAACCCACAACATTTCTGGAGGTTTTAACGATGTGTTTTCTTTATTCTCGTATAATACAATCATGATAATTACTATATTTATCATGAAATCTATTAGAAATCGTGGTTTTGTAATGTAAATTCAGATAGGTTATATCCTACGTGCTTACGAGTGTTTGTTTACTATTGTTCCCGTCATACCATAGATAATCTATAGACTAAAATGGCCGACAGCGTTTTTGTATGTCCATGAAAAATCTATTTTAAAATTAAAGTTTTATAGCTTTCTAGGTAAAAAAAATTACAATACATTTTTTTCGGTCTAATTGAACAATTATTAACCATTTAAAACATATTTCCAAAAAGTGTCAACTAGCCTATTGGGATCAAGTTCCGTCTGCTGCCTGGACCGTATGGATTTGTTTTCTAGCAAAAATTTCTTTAGATGTAAACCGAATGAAACTTAAAAATGTTGTCTGTGTGAATGAAAAATATTCCACGTGTTATTTGTCACGTTGTCACGGACACCAATCAGTTTATAAATAAAACAAACTTTGATCGGGTATAAAGCGCTATATAATAACTTTTCTCATTATTGCTAACGTTCTGACCCTTGGAGATCAATTCTTTTGACCACGGAGTCTGTAAACAATCCCAAACGTCAGGAAAAATGAAAGGAGTTCATGAATCGCGCTTAAAACCCGTTTTAAAAATCGTTTTATTAAGTGTTCTTACAGTGCGACCAAGTTCTTGTGATCTACCGAAGAATAAATAACCCTTTTACTTTTCAGAGGAAAGTAAATAAATCTTTCAAATTTTCTATTACTCTTCTCGAGATATTGTAAATTATATCGTTCCGTGCAGTAAGGAAATTGTACATAACATTTATTCACCAGCAGCGCCCTTCTGTCAATGTCATGAAAGTACCACAACATCTTTTTCTGGAATCAACAGTCACAAAATGCTAGCTCAACGTCTACAATATTTGCTAATGGCGGCCGCTTCAATCAAGAAAATCGCGCATCAATGACGGTATATTTCAAACCTCCGGGTCTATTCCGTCCGGGTTGGTCAGGTTGCAGTCGTACTCCAGCACGCCGATGATCTTGACCCCCTCGCCGTGGAGGTACTTGGCCGCGTAACTGCCCACGTTGCCGAATCCTTGGATGATAGCGGTTTTACCCTGAATAAGGGAAACAAAACGTTGAGTAAAGGTTTCACGATCAGAAGGTCTAAGTACTTTACGTACGAACGTCTTTTTAGTAAATCGTTATTTTTAAAATGTGTATACTCATGTAACAGACAGTAAAATTACGAATATACGAACCTGGTACCCCGTAGGCGTGTCGATCATGCTCATCCACTCCTTGTTCTTGATGAAGTGGTCTATGGTCATAAACACGCCGCGGCCGGTAGCCTCCACGCGGCCGTGGATGCCACCGCCGTTTATCGGCTTGCCCGTCACGCACGCCGCAGCGTTTATGTCCGAGAAGCCTAATTCCAATAGAAAAAAAAAGAAAAATGGGATAGAAGAAAAGAGGAGCTCGATGGCGCGGGTGGTTAGCGCATTCGGCTGCGATCGTTGAAGTTAAGCAACTTTCGCAGTGGTCAGTCATTGGATGGGTGTCCAAAAATCTTCTACCTCGAGTTGCCCCGTGCTTCGGAAGGCACGTTAAGCCATTGGTCCTGGCTGCATCTGCAGTCGTTAGCACCCGCCAATCCACACTGGGCTCACTTAGTGGGTCATGGCCCATTCTCCCTATTCCATCCATTGGGAAGGCCTGTGCCCTAGCAGTGGGGACATTAATAGGCTGCTGATGATGATGATATTTTAAGCATTTAACTGCTAAATGTTTAAAACCAAAGAAAGTCCCATCTGCTACCTAGTCCGCCTGTTTCTTTTTCTAGTAAAATTTTCTTTGGAGAAAAAAAAGGGATACACTTCGAGACCTGTTTACATTAAAACATAACAGTTTAATAGTCGTCCGGATAATTCAAATTCAATATCGTTCATTCAGTTTACTCTAGCAAATTTCTTGCGCAGAACCACAGAAAAAAGTTGCGCAGTAGACGCTCTTGTATGTAAAATTGCTATTGCGGATGTTTTCTTGTCTATCGTCGTTGCTCAAGAAGTTTGCCGGGGTGTATACAAGGCACTTATGAATGTCGGAAAACTTTGCCATCGGTTCGCAAATACCGTACATTTGAGTGACCTGCACCCCTAGCATGAGCACCGGCCGCGATATGATTTAAAACTCTTTTTTATCACGCTCAATTTATCGTATTTCTAAAGCCAGAAACATATTAACGTGTCGTGTCGTGTCGTGGCGCGCCAGAAGCACATCGGTTTCATACATTTACTATGGTTAGAGACATATTTACGTATCGTGTCGTGTCGACGCTTTAACCTCTCTATCTCTCTCTAACCCATAATAAATGTATGAAACCGATGCGACACGTCACGCCACGACACGTTAATATGTTTCTGGCTTAAGGAGTTTGATAGTGAGACACGACAAAAAAACGTGATATAATGTAAATTGTAGTGCTCATGCTCAAGGAGCCAGTACCCTTAGCACGAACCAGTAACGAATTCCAATAGTTTGCCAATGCGAAATATTGTATGGAAACTAGAACAGCAACGCTACAACGGACGTAACGAGAACTAAAAATCAGTACAGATTTGACGTATGAAACAAATCGAATAGTTTAACTCGCAAACTTGACGAATTCGATATTGGTTCGTGCTTAACAGTACAGTTCGTACTTAGGTAGGGGCGCAACTAATGTAGTTTTCATAGAAACTGACGATGCGATAAATTAAGGAACTGTCAAAGTTCGAAGGCCTCTGGACCTGATAGATATCATCATCGTAATCAGCCTATTAATGTCCCCACTGCTGGGGCACAGGCCTTCCCTATGGATGGAATAGGGAGATTGGACCATGACCCACCACGCGGGCCCAGTGCGGATTGGCGGGTGCTACCAACTGCAGATGTAGCCGGGACCAACGGTTTATCGTGCCTTCCGAAGCACGAAGGAACTCGAGATAGACGATTTTTGGTCACCCATAGGTTCAATAAACGCGCTAGCAGCCTGCGCCATCGAGCTCACAGATAGGTACAATTAGGCGCTTAGCAGACGACGGGGCGGGGCGGGCTTTTTGTCCGCGAAGAAATAAAAACCGCGTCTGCCCGTCGATGTTTGCGGCTGCCCTCGCCGCGTACACAAAGCACACGACGGGCAGAGGCAGTCAGTTCAGGACGTTCGTTCTAGTGAATAGTCCATCACTAAAAAGCGCGTGGCGCGGACTGAACTAGCCGCCCCGCGCCGCCGTCTGCGTTACTGCATATAAACTGGTTTGTATGATCCACGGCGGGCAGCCGCGGACATGCCGCGCCGCCACTGCCCGCCGGGCACCTGCGGCGCGGTCTTTTAGCCCTCTGTGTGCGTTTGTAGTATAGGATTCAATTTGTGCTATCGTTCGCGGCGAAATTGACCGGCCCGCTCCGCCCCGCCGTCTGCAAATCGCCTTAATGTGAATGAATATAAAATAGATATAAATAAAGTGAATACTCGGAGCATCACTAGTTAGTAGAACTTTGTTTATACTAATCCAATTGCCTTTAACCTACATCAAAATTAGGACACTGAATCTACACTCCTAAAACTAGGAAAGAGGATCTCTTTTTCAAATAAGTGGTTTTGTATTCCGGCTGTTTGAAGTTTGTCCAAATTTAAAACCTTGGATAGTTTTGGAAACTGAGTTCAGGATTGTTCATGGCAAATTGGCTTAAATTACTTTGCATCTTTGCAAATGAATTTCGCTCACACTTGACTGTTCTCTTACCCAACGTTTTGATGTAGGTGTCCAGTATCCAAGACATTTCTCTACCGGAAGTGTTCACGTCTGGTGCCGGAACGTCAATGCCAGCGCCTATAAACAGAAAATACTTTTATGACTAAGGAATGTGATCGACTATTATTTCAATACTATTTATTTTGGATGGTTTAATGTCGATTTTATTGACGCTACAAAAGATAACTGAAATTTTTATTTAGCTGTTTTATCGTCAAAGGAAGAGTACCTAGAAAATAAATTAGCCAACTATCGGTCGTGTCGTGTCCAATAAATTGAACATGCTAGCAATATGTTCAGCTTTATACAACCCCAGTAGATAATCGTCACGAGTTACTCACCAATGTAATTCTTTTTTGCCAACTCTAAGGTATACCGCCTGGTTATTCTCTGCAGCTCTGCGACAGTGTACTTCTTCGGATCTATGCATACTCCTGAAACAACATTGGTCATGAATAAATGAAATACAACTCAAAACAGAGGTGTATAAAGTCATGCCTGAGTCATGACCTTTTTAGGCCTAGGGTAGATGTGACCCTGAAGTATACTTACATTATCCATTACCAAATATACCCAACCAGTTAAACCTATTCCCTTACACTCTTACTCCCATCCTTTAACCCTTTTATTTATTTTCTGTTTCGGTTCCTTTCCTCTCCTCTTCTTTCGCCTCTCACTATTATTAAACCGTCCTCTCCTCTCCCTGTCTTTCCCACCCATTCGACCTCCCTGGCTGCATCTCGACGCGGCCTCGGATTCTGATGGGGCTACTCTACCAAAATTATGTTATATTCAGCACCTTAAAATGTAATATATAAATGAGTTTAAAAAAAAATATACCCAACCACGGCAGTGTCTCGATCGCTATAAGAAGAGACAATGTCATCTCGTCTTTAACTAATGGTTTATGCAACCACGAAATGAAACAAATGGTTATCGAAAACTTTTAAACTTTTTGTCTCATCTACTTTTACATAAGAGCAAGCGCACATTGAGCCGTAAAACGCGGACACTAAAGTTGCTTCTTATGTTAAATGTAATTCTTCTCATCAGCTCAAAGATGTCAGTGATTGTACAAAAGGTATTGGTTAATTCTAAAGAATTATCAATAAGTCAATTTAAATAAAGTACAATTTTAATTCCATTTCATTTGTGTGCTGAGTATCCAGTCATTTTGACAACGTGACGATTTGCTAAAAAGACGTTCTGTTATACAGCCTATTTGAGAGGTGAACATTTTACTAATTAGACTTACTGCTCTTTAGGCGTTTCGCGCTGTTGGACGTTTCGCTATTAAGACCGTCTGATCGTGAAGCAACGCGACCACTAGTATCACAGTCAAGCCACTAAACGCAGCCACCAATCGAAACAACTATTGGCCGCCATTAAGCTACAAGGGCCGCCAACAAGCCACCAGCGGCTTCGATTGGTGGCTGCGTCTAGTGGTGACACTGGTGGTCGCATTTAGTGGCCGCGGTTAGTGACTCAATGTGCGCTTGCTCTTATGTAGATGAGATCGAAAGTTATACGGAGTTTTCGGTAGTCATTTCATTTTGAGGCACACATTTTATACCTACCAACTTATCTATAGTATTGTAAATAATATAGGGCAGTTAAGTTGATACGATCATAAATAATTATATTATATTATATTATAAAAAAAAAACATTGATTACCTCCTTTAGCGCCTCCAAAAGGTATGTTGGAACAGGCGCACTTGAATGTCATGAGAGCCGCTAAAGCCTTCACCTCTTCCAAGTCAACAGCATTGGAGAATCTGATTCCTGGATTGGTAAATTAGGACGGTTCAGTAAATTTTAATTTGTTAATCGTGTTTTCCCGTACTTCAGTACGCACAGTTTTATTTGTCGTAGGTACTCCGCATCCATTTGGTCGGATATGGCTCTTTATACTTATTAATTTTCATATTGGGTAAAGCTCATATTGGTGGAAATACAACCAACTTGGTTGGACTGCAGCATAAGGTATAGGTACTTATTCAAACGATGTGTAAGAAACTAAATTGACCAAGAGTACATTAATAGAGAAGAGCTTAGGCTCATCATTAGAGCTATGGTTACTGCAAACTGCAACATAGACAGAAAAGCTAACCTCCTTTACATGGTAGGCGATGTACGCTGTGCTGAGATCGATAGCCATGGACAATTTCGTACTCCCCAGATTTTCTCTGTAGGGGAAACTCGAATTGCAACGAGCTATTACTAGAACCCATCACCTGTAAACATAATTATTAATATAGACAGCTGAAAAACGAGCTGTAACAAGAACCCATCACCTGCAAACTTCTTGAGCAAAACCACAACACAAATTAACTTGCGCAGTAGAATGTTTTTGTATGTAAAATTGGTACTGCGCAGGCTTCCTTGTCTATGGTCTTTGCTCGAGAAGATTGCTGGGGTGTATGTATTTAAACGTATACCTACGATGACGATGTTGATGGTTGTCAAGAAAAGTGGGATGCAATGGATTTTTTTCCTTTGCAATTCTCCACTGAAACCTTCCAAGCCAAACCAGACTATAGCTTTAGCTGTAATTTGCAGGGTCGACTAATAAGCTTCCCCCCCGACCCCCATTAGAATAAATAAATAAAATTAAAATATGAGTCAGTACCGAATACTCTTATATGGCTTGGAATGAAAAAAGACCCTTATGGCCTGGTCCGATCGCCCAACGACTTCTATGATGGAAGTCTGGGTAAAACTGTACTTCCAGGGCCCAAAAGGTGATACTTATTTTTTTTTTGTAAAAAAGGTCTTTTTTAACAATTTTTTTTCTGGCGCTTCGCCGGCCGCTGCCGCGGCACGCTCGCTTTGCTCGCTCGGCTCGCGCGTTATGGTCACAACACTAACCTAACCTAACCTAGTGTGAAGTATCACCACTTGGGCCCTGGAAGTACAGTTTAGCCGAAGTCTGGACTCTCTGGGTAAAACTGTACTTCCAGGGCCCAAAAGGTGATACTTGTTTTTTTTGTAGAAAAAGTCTTTTTTACAGATTTTTTTTTCTGGCGCTTCGCCGGCCACTGCCGCGGCACGCTCGCTATGCTCGCTCGGCTCGCGCGTTGTGGTCACAACACTAACCTAACCTAACCTAGTGTGAAGTATCACCACTTGGTAAGAAAAGTAAAAATTTTCAATATTTTATTCTAAAGAACTACCAGTGCATAAGTGTGACATTTTTTTCAAATAATGTGGTTAACAGAAACCTTTTTAACAAGAAAAATGCGAAATTACAACCAACAAAACTGTGAAGTTTTTACTTTTGGGCCCTGGAAGTACAGTATATCCACTCTCTGAAACTTACAAAAACAAAAATGTTGGTACCTTCAGTATACCGGCTACTCTATGCCGCCGCTTCTTCTCAGACATGTGGGTGTGTTTCTTGAGATATTCCATCAGGGCAGGCTCCACAACTTGCACAGCGCTGTGGTAGAAATATTCCACCATTCTGTAGAAGCTGGGGTCTTTAGCCGTCGCTATTGGCTTCAGGTGTTCTGGTATATCATAGTTCCTCACACTGGTCCTCATCGGGCCGACACCCAAGGAGAGGTACTTCCTCAAAGCCGTCCTTTGTACCGGCAATGCCATAATTGGAGAAAACTCAAATCTTTACCTAGATATCAAAAATTTTAAAAGGATTGTTATTAAATTAATCTAAACTGATGCTGAACAAATAAAAATGACCTGAATAGTAACTTGAAAAAATTTGATTGACAGAATGTCAAAAAGAATGGTTGTTTTTTCTGAATGTTTTCGCGTTATTTATAGGTTTTACTTAGGTGCCTGCATGACTGTAAGAAGGTGCTGCTGCAGTGGCTTTTGGTTTGATATAAATATTTCCAACACTCATACCAATTAGCCTAGCCCCAAAGAAAGCACTGTAAGGCTTGTGTTATGGGATGGTAGGTTAACGGATAGAATACTTAAATAAGTATATTTAAATAGAAACATATATCAAACATCCATGACTGAAGTAAAAATGCTCTTATTCAGCACACAACCATCTGCCCCCACTGGGATTCGAAACCGGGACCTCTCGAATAGGCGACACCTTAAAACCCGGCGTATAAACCACTCGGCCGCGGAGGTCGTCAAAGGTTCAATGTTTTCCGGCATTGCTAAGCTTCTCATCATCACCAGCCTATTAATGTCCCCACTGCTGCGCTACAGGCCTTCTCTATGGATAGAGTACGGAGATTTCACCATGAATGACCCACCACGAGTGCCCAGTGCGGATTGGGGTGCTAACGACTACAGATGCAGCCGGGACCAACGGCTTAACGTGTCTGGGGAAGCACGGAGGAGATCGAGATAATAAGTTTTTGGTCACCCTTCTGATGGACGAAACATTGCGAAAATTGCTTAATTCCTACGATCGCAGGTCGAATGCGCTATCCACCAGCGCCATCGAGCTCCTAAGCTTCTTAACCTGGAGATGCTGGAGAATACAAAATTTATAAAATTTTGATTTCGACACGAGATACGAGATACTTTTTTTCAATATTCTGTGGTTTTCAGTATTTCACGGGGGAAATGTGAAGAGTTCCCAACTAACAATTTGGTCATATAACATTAGGCTACTATGACTTATTAGTCATACAAAAGTCATATATATGCAATTCATACAACGTGGCGTTTTATAAATGTTGCTTATACTGCATTTAAGTCTGAAGACTGTTTGGTCCTACATTAAGGCTTTACAAACGTCTGTACGACTTAGCAATAACAGCAATTTAGCCATAACAAATACATGACGTACAAAGGTCGTAATTGCAACATTTCCGCGATTTATACAACATGAATATGACGTCTAATAGCTGTTTGGTCTTAGAGAAGTTATAATCGCGACTGCTATATCACTGGTCCTAAATTGAATGTTTTACGACTATTATATGAGTTTATGGTCATACAACAGACATTACTATAACCGTTTTACAACTGAAATGTAGTTCTTATGACTTTCGTATTCAGACTCGAGTTGCTGAAATTAGACGTAATGTTTAAAATTGATTTAAAAATGTGGAAGCAGTTTAAAAGGAGCGGTAACTATAGGAGGAAAGTTCATCGGAAGTTTCGTTCTGTACTTGCTACCACAGGTTCTACAGTTTCTTGCCAAGAATCTTCATCTAGTGTGACTACGCGCCCGTCAAGCCAAGAAGAAGTAATAAACAGTGGTTCCGTAGAGGATTTTTTTATTGATGACCGTAATGACGATAGCACAGATTTGCAAGATTGTTTTGAGAACGAGAGCATTGAAAGTAGTGATTATTTTGACAACATCGAAGAAGATTTTCGAAATACTATCAAAGATTCACGCACTTGCTCAAGTAAAAGAAAAAAGGATTCCACCTAACTTTTTAAGGAACCCTAAAACTGCAGTAATGGCGCCAACATGATGTATATTATACGAGTGTAAAGTCATAAGCTAGCGGTTTCGTCATATATACGACGTATTTAAGTCATAAGGACTTAAAGACAATTAATAATATATATTTTTTATTAAATTATAATTTACATAACAGAATTAAAGGGGGCCATTTAAAATTTACTGCAAAACCTAGTAATATTTGTCGGTAAAGTAATGTTCGCATCTGCTGCGGATACTACACGTACCTACCCATGCATTTGAAACTTGTAGCTGTCAAATAAATAGTGGTTTCAAATATAAAGGGAATATAATCGCCATTAACGCTACTGAATATCCAATTTGTTGTAAAAACACTCGCCATTAACGCTACTGAATATCCAATTTGTTGTAAAAAAGCCCGCTTTACGATGGCTGTACGGATAATTACTCGTACAAAGAGACGTGCAATGACGCCTGTATGACGAAATAGTCGTACAATTATCACCATTATGACTGCTGTGTGTCTAAATAGTGTTTAGTATGACTTCCATATAACGGTTATACAAAAGTTTAGTCATAAAAAGTGCGCCCAAATCGCGGTTTACAAACGTTTGTACGACCTTAGTACGACTTAGTTTGCACGCAATAAGCTTTATCAAAAACGTTTGCTCGACCTTTGTATGACATATTTTTGTTAGTTGGGTTATAAAAGGTTAAAATCTTTTGTCAACGGATACGGGGTATTGGAATTACTGTTACCTTTTAGTATCATTAGGTGATAACTTACCTATTTCGTAGGAGTACAAATGATTTCGGACATTGCTTGAGTTAAGATAAGACCGACATCATTTAACAGTTTTTCGTGGCTGCCTTTAGGTGTACTAAGCAATAGTAGGTATTAATTTTCCTACTTGAGATTTTGAAAAATTGTTCAATAACATGTGAAAATTTTCAAACATGATGAAATAAGTATATTTTATGTGCAAATGTCAAATGCTTAATCAAGATGGTATCATTAGGCTTTGGTCTCCTATAAACGCCGTACGCCGCGTCACGATGCCACCTATCAAAATTGTTTTTATTTCATTCAGTTGATTACTCATCACAATAGCTGTAGTCAAACTTATTCACCTGTATTAAATTTAAATTTTTTTGGCGTGTATGTGCCTCCCTCCGGCTCAAAGGGAAGCTATTGACCGTTGAAGGGACGCGCGGGGGGACATTTCGGGCAGCGCCACATGCGCCCACGCAGGCGCGATGCGAGTCAGTCATTGGCCGGGACTCGTTAACGTAAAGCCACGCGCGGTGCCTTGATTTTCCCGCGCTCGTGTGTTCCGTTAAGTTTGAAATAAAGTAATTATATAAACGCGTATTATGTTTCACTGAACCACACTCCACCCGGATGGTTACAATTTTAAATACTTTTTTGCATAATATCGACATCACTAACCCTGATAATACAGTTTTTGCTAGTTTCTGGGTTTGGGGGGCATTTGTTGAGCTTATTTATATGTATACCCCTAGACTTAATTTAACTAATAGGTAATTAAAATGTTAAATGTTGGGTTACGAGTAAATAATAATAATAATTATTATTATTACTCATAAACCATTCATTGAGGAGCTCGATGGCGCAACTGGTTAGCGCGTTCGGCTGCGATCGTTCAAGTTTCGCAACTTTCGCAGTGGTCGGTCATTGGTGGGTGACCAAAAATTTAGTATCTCGAGTTCCTCCGTGCTTCGGAAGGCACGTTAAGCCGTTGGTCCCGGTTGCATCTGCAGTCGTTAGCACCCACCAATCCGCACTGGGCCCGCATGGTGGGTCATGGTCCAATCTCCCTATTCCATCCATTGGGAAGGCCTGTGCCCCAGCAGTGGGGCCATTAATAGGCTGATGATGATGATTATTACCTATTGTGGCCACTCCGACGTCAGCGTATGAGAGACCGACCACAACAGGACATTTCTATAATAATCATTGAGACGAGGCGTACGGCGTGGCGTTGTACGGGGCCTACGGCGTTTATAGGAGACAAAATATTTTGTAATGTGTGTGCCTAAAGTTTATCTGATCTACGATTATTTCCAAGAATATGAGCTAAAGAACTGCTTTACTTTACTTTATGATGGTTTTCAATCGGATAATCCGCTATGCCCTTACACACAACTAAAATATCACTGTGGTTTTCTATTAGGGGGATGTTAGTTCCCCAGGCGGGTCTTCAAATTCTAATGGAAAATCAGAGATCCACAAACTCTTAAAAACAATCACAAAAACAGAGAGCCAAGCACGAGTTGTCAAATTTTCTATTGAAACTAAGTAGCGCCTCTATCGGACGTAAGAACAAACTTTTTCCATACATTTTTTTTATTTTTTATAGCGAGGTAGGCAACTGACTCTACCCCACCTGTTAAGTGGTGATAAATTCAAATGCGAAGATAGCTGGTACGATATATATATTTTACGATTACGATACTTTACGGAGCTGTCGAAAACTCCTGCTTGGGTCTCAGTGTCGATAGGACCTTAACTTAAAAGTTAAGAAATAAAACCACAGCTTCTATATAAAATTGCATAATTTATTTATCAAGTCTGCATATAGGATTGGTTTGGACCATTTGCAGGTCCACTTTCGGTCCGACCAAGTCCCGGATGTTGTCTAGGCCGTACTTGATCATCGTAGGCCGCTCTAGGGAGAGACCCCAAGCGATTACTGACACGTCTTCTGGCAGACCCATGGGAAGCAACATTTCAGGTCGGAACACTCCTGAGTTACCGATCTCTATCCATTTGCCGAGCCCTGGAAAGATAAAAGTTTTGTATTAACGATACATTCAGAGAAGGACCCAGAAACTTTTTGGTATCTTCGCCTAATAACATGGAAAATCTTTAGATTAAAACAAAAAGGGAAGATATTGCACTCGCGGCTGAAAAGCGATCTGTTTAAATTGGTGGTGCATGACCACAATTTGCTTTAGTTACAAATTGGACATTGAAACACGCTGCATGTGCAATCAATATAACAATATTGCGTATTTGTTTCTTAGGTTTTCACGCACATCACTCATTAAATAAAACTAGTTTTTAACGGCTTAATGCTCTTACCCGTTGTTTATTAATTACAGTATTGAATTAGTCCGGTATTCCGACTAGCGAGAAGTAGAACCCATTTTTCCTCTACGAATTTTATCTTAGCGATGAGTATTTCATAGGCTGGACTTTACGCTAGCCCCGACGCTGTGGGCATCGTGGCATGCTAGCTTTCATTATAGTACATTCATTGTTATCGCTCTGAGTCATCGCTCATAGCAGCAAGGCAGTGGGTGCGAAACAAAAAAAATATAAATGAATATTTCTAAGGCCCGTATTACAAAATGACAACTAAGTGTTGATCTTTACTTGAGTACAGTTAGAAAGGGATGTCGCTATGTGCTATATATAGCGACATCTCTTTCTAACTATGCTCAAGACTAGATCAATCACTGAGAATCTTTCTATAATACGGGCCTAAGACTCGCATCAATAAATCCCAAAGCAAGGTTTGTGTTATGGGAACTAACGCAACATTTACAAATACATATATTTCTCCATATATAAATATTTTTTTAAGAAATATATATAAAGAAGTTTCTTAACAACATAACGTCCACTTTACAAAACCAACACGCTTAAAACTTCTAAATTACCTACCTGTGTGGTATGCGAATATCTCCATACTGGGCTCGGTGTAAGGGTTGTACGCCGGCTTGAATTGCAGCCGGTCGAAGCCGAGTCGTCGGAAGAAAGCGTCCAAAGTCCCCACCAAGTCTGCCAGTCCTAGTCCTCTTCCCGCTATCACGCCTTCCACTTGGTGGAACTCCGCTAGATGAGTCGCGTCCAATGTTTCGTTGCGGAACACCTGTGATGGATGATCAATCTAGTGGGGGATTCGCAAAGGCAGGTGCCGTCTTTGTCTATTGGAGGCCCTGGGCATATTAGGATAATGGGGCCCCTTGACTTCCGTTTGGCGATTTAACAGGAACTAGGGACTTTGTATTTGATCTGAGGGGGGCCCCATATCGCGGAGCTCTGGGCACTTGCCTAAAGTGCCCAATGGGAAAGACGGGTCTGCGCAAGGGCAAGAAGGAGCAGGAACCTCTACTTGGGGTACATGTACGGTATCCTGATTCGGTTTTCTGATCAGGAATGTTGATTCGGAAACAATACAATACAAAACACTTTATTGTACACCACAGAAAGCATTACATTTAGTACAAAACCAATTAAAACTAGTGTAACGCCGACGACCTCTGGATGGAGAGGACTAGAAGGAAGTTGGATAGACGGCGGCGTAAATCACTTGAGTGAAATAGGCCATATAATATATATAAAAATATATAATATATATACTCTCTATATAGAAACATCCTTAAATAAACGTCCTTACATACATCATGTTCAACGAGGCGCAAACTATTTTGTTTTTTTCAGAACGGAAAAAACCTTAAGTTCGTTTCGAACTCTAACTAATAAAAAAGCAAAATACGTCTGCGACTGGCTCACGGAATTCGGAATTCCGGATAAGGAAACCGTACGTGTGCGTCCAGTCTGACACAATAGAGACTTCGGAAAAAAAAATCTTTCAAATTCCAACTAGTAAACACTAGTAAGCATCTTTTCGGTTCCGTTCGTTAACTCTAAGATTTAATTTTAGATAATTCTTGTTTCCGTTTATATTTATATGTGTTTGTTCAAAACTAAGGGAATCTACTTGGTTCACAATAAATTATTTATTGAAAAACTCGACTGAAAAAAAATTGTTTACTTTATTTGGAAAATAATTTGGGGTGAGGGGGCCTCCGCTCCTCTGTTGCCCCGAGGCGTCTGGACCTCTAAATCCGGCCCTGCAGGTGAGGGATCAGTGTGAGGTTTTTCGTGGGTATGGCCACCACCTTGTCGTCCGTTGAGTAAGTCTCATGGGCTAGCTGAGTGGGTGAGCAGGATTTGGGGGAGGAAGAGTCCCACGGCACCTCATTTCTCACCCAGAGGCGAGGTATTATAATATAAAAAATATTTTTTTTTATGTCAAGACATGGTCTCAAGAGTCAGCCTCATGGGCTAGCTGAGTAAGTGAGCGTGATTTGGGGGGAGGAGGAGTCCCCACATAACCTCGTCTCTCATCCGGAAGCGAGGTATTATAAAAGGAAAATAAAATTCTTTTATTTCAAGACATGGTCTCAAGAGTCAGTCTCATGGGCTAGCTGAGTAAGTGAGCGTGATTTGAGGGGAGGAGGAGTCTCACATAACCTCGTCTTTCACCCGGAAGCGAGGTATTATAAAATGAAAATAAAATTCTTTTATTTCAAGACATGGTCTCAAGAGTCAGTCTCATGGGCTAGCTGAGTAAGTGAGCGTGATTTGGGGGGAGGAGGAGTCCCACATAACCTCATCTTTCACCCGGAAGCGAGGTATTATAAAACGAAAATAAAATTCTTTTATTTCAAGACATGGTCTCAAGAGTCAGCCTCATGGGCTAGCTGAGTAAGTGAGCGTGATTTGGGGGGAGGAGGAGTCTCACATAACCTCGTCTTTCACCCGGAAGCGAGGTATTATAAAATGAAAATAAAATTCTTTTATTTCAAGACATGGTCTCAAGAGTCAGTCTCATGGGCTAGCTGAGTAAGTGAGCGTGATTTGAGGGGAGGAGGAGTCTCACATAACCTCGTCTTTCACCCGGAAGCGAGGTATTATAAAATGAAAATAAAATTCTTTTATTTCAAGACATGGTCTCAAGAGTCAGTCTCATGGGCTAGCTGAGTAAGTGAGCGTGATTTGGGGGGAGGAGGAGTCCCACATAACCTCGTCTTTCACCCGGAAGCGAGGTATTATAAAACGAAAATAAAATTCTTTTATTTCAAGACATGGTCTCAAGAGTCAGGCTCATGGGCTAGCTGAGTAAGTGAGCGTGATTTGGGGGGAGGAGGAGTCTCACATAACCTCGTCTTTCACCCGGAAGCGAGGTATTATAAAATGAAAATAAAATTCTTTTATTTCAAGACATGGTCTCAAGAGTCAGTCTCATGGGCTAGCTGAGTAAGTGAGCGTGATTTGGGCGGAGGGGGAATCCCCACATAACCTCGTCTCTCACCCGGAAGCGAAGTATTATAAAATGAAAATAAAATTCTTTTGTTTCAAGACATGGCCTCAAGAGTCGGTCTCATGGGCTATCTGGGTGGGTGAGCGAGATTTGGGGAGAGGAGGAGTCCCACATAACCTGGTCTCACACCTAGAAGCGAAGTATTATAAAATAAAAATTCTTTTATTTCAATACATGGTCTCAAGAGTCGGTCTCATGGGCTAGCTAGTGAGTGAGCAGGATTTGGGGGGAGGAGTCCCACCTAACCTCGTCTCTCACACGGAAGCGAGATATTATAAAATAAAATTTCTTTTATTTCAAGGCATGGTCTCAAGAGTCGGTATCATGGGCTATCTGGGTGGGTGAGCGGGATTTTGGGGGAGGAAGAGTCCCACGGCACCTCATCTCTCACCCGGAAGCGAGGTATTATAAAATAAAAATTCTTTTATTTCAAGACATGGTCTCAAGAGTCGGTCTCATGGGCTAGCTGAGTAAGTGAGCGTGATTTGGGCGGAGGGGGAATCCCCACATAACCTCGTCTCTCACCCGGAAGCGAGGTATTATAAAGTGAAAATAAAATTCTTTTATTTCAAGACATGGTCTCAAGAGTCGGTCTCATGGGCTATCTGGGTGGGTGAGCGAGATTTGGGGGGAGGAGGAGTCTCACATAACCTCGTCTTTCACCCGGAAGCGAGGTATTATAAAATGAAATAAAATTCTTTTATTTCAAGACATGGTCTCAAGAGTCAGTCTCATGGGCTAGCTGAGTAAGTGAGCGTGATTTGGGCGGAGGAGGAGTCCCCACATAACCTCGTCTCTCACCCGGAAGCGAGGTATTATAAAATGAAAATAAAATTCTTTAATTTCAAGACATGGTCTCAAGAGTCGGTCTCATGGGCTATCTGGGTGGGTGAGCGAGATTTGGGGGGAGGAGGAGTCCCATATAACCTCGTCTCACACCCGGAAGCGAGATATTATAAAATAAAAATTCTTTTATTCCAAGACATGGTCTCAAGAGTCGGTCTCATGGGCTAGCTAGTGAGTGAGCAGCATTTGGGGGGAGGAGTTCCACATCACCTCGTCTCTAAGCCGAAAGCAAGATATTATGCGTCACGCACTTCCCTAACATAAAAAAGGCACAAAAACTATGCTAGGACTGAAACTACCTCTATACAAAATTTCTTTTAAATCTGTTCAGCACTTTAAATGTGAAGAAGTGACATGCAGACTGACACCTTTCGCATTTATAATATTAGTATGGTTATAATCTCTTTTTGTAGAATGTTCGCATAGAGGTGCATTAATAGCAGAAAAAAATATTATTTATAATCTAAAGAAAAGTTTTAATAGAAAAATATCCACGCGGACCAGGCAGCAGACGGGACTCGAACCCGCACCCTTCGCAATCCGAGCGAATGCACTGAACAATTATGCTACCGCGGCCCTGATTGTCGCGTCGAAATTTTCCTATCCTTTAACTGCAAGGCAGCGCCATCTCTTCGGATTGTAGGTAACCCACAATGTCGAATGAATACTTTTTCAAGTATTAAACATTTGAAAGAAGAAATAGCATTTAGGGTTCGAGTCCCGTCTGCTGCCTGGTCCGCGTGGATTTTTTTCTATTAAAACTTATCTTTAGATTTAAACATAGCAACTAGCAGTTAAATGCTAAAAAATAAAATAAAAACATAATTATTTATAATTTTATAGTTCAGAACAAGCAGGCGAAAGTCGCGTTTAATGTCGTATTAAAACACGTCTAAATGTTTTTATGTTAGTTGAACAGGTTTCAAAAAAAAGCATATGGCCCGCCTGATGGTAAGCGGCCACCATAGCTTGCATTAGCAAAACTATCATTCTCGGCGTTGTCTACTCTGGCCCCATCCCCATACCTTGTGGAGCCCAGGAACCTTACTCACAATCATTACTTCAGTTTAACTTAACTTTAGTCTTTTGAGTATCCCACAGATGATTGATTTCTGATTTGATTGATACAAACGTTCACATTTTTATAATATATTATATACATAGTCAGGTCATAAGTATTGTCACACAGTAAAAAAATTCTTTTATGCCAGCCATACACACTACGAGAAATCGTTACGATCAGAGTGTACAGTTCGAACGGAACAGTTTATCGTACGTGGCGTACGTATAGAAAACTGTGCAGTTTTACAACATACACGCTACGATTTATCGGTACCGTTCGGACGGTACAGTCTAATCGTAACGATTTCTCGTAGTGAGTATGGCTACCATTAGAATGCTGGCCACAAAAAAGTTTATTGAATTCGAATTGTTCATGAAAATAAAAATGTATACTTTTTAGAATTTTACTCATTTTTAAATATGGAGTGGACGCTTAAAGAAGACCGTGTTGCAGTTATTGCGTTGCATCGTTGCGGTTACGCGCCAATTCAAATTTTTGACATACTGAAAATTTTGAATATAACCAAAAGATTCGTTTATCGTACCCTCAAACGATACAATGAGCACTCTAATGTAGATGACAGGTCAAGAAGTGGTCGCCCTCGGTCTGTTAGGACTCCAGCAGTGATAAAAGCTGTGAAGGCGCGAATTCCAAGAAATCCCAAACGTAAGCAGAATCTGTTGGCCCTTCAGATGGGGTTAAGCAGAACTACGGTGAAAAGGGTGTTAAATGAAGACTTAGAACTAGGACTTAGGCTTCGGGCATATCGAAGAAAAACAGGACATCGTTGGAATGCTCGTTTAATGGACCTGAGACTGAAGAGATGCCGCGCTTTGTTGAAGCGGTACGCGGGAAAAAAATATCGGGAAATTCTTTTTTCGGATGAAAAAATTTTTACCGAAGAAGAGAGCTACAACAAACAAAATGACAGGGTGTACGCACACAGTAGTGAAGAAGCGAGCAACCGTATTCCAAAGAGGTCATTTTCCATCCTCGCTCATGGTATGGTTGGTAGTTGGTAGTTTCTTATTGGGGCTTAACAGAGGTACATTTTTGTGAGAAAGGTGTAAAAACGAATGCAGTTGTGTATCAAAATACAGTCCTGACGAACCTTGTGAAACATGTTTCTCATACCATGTTCAATAACAGGCACTGGGTATCCCAACAAGATTCGGCGCCAGATCAAAAAGCGAAGAGCACACAAGACTGGCTGGCGGCGCGTGAAATCGACTTCATCCGGCACGAAGACTGGCCCTCCTCCAGTCCAGATTTGACTCCGTTAGATTACAAGATATGGCAACACTTGGAGGAAAAGGCGTGCTCAAAGCCTCATTCCAATTTGTAGTCACTCTAGACATCCTTGATTAAGGCAGCCGCCGATATTGACATGGACCTCGTTCGTGCTGCGATAGACGACTGGCCGCGCAGATTGAAAGCCTGTATTCAAAATCACGGAGGTCATTTTGAATAAACTTTATTGTCATAAGAATGTATGTTTTGTTAAGTTCATTTTGGTATATAAATGGTTACATAATGAATAAACTTGTTACAATTATTTTATATTAAACATGTGACAGAATTTATGACCTGATAGGTAGTATGAAAGGATACCTTATCAATACTGAAATACTTCTGCGGAGTGAATTCCTTCTGCTGCGCGAGTTTGTAGAGCATTCGCGCGCTCACCGCCGTCGTGTGAGTACGGAGCAGGTTCTTCTGTGCTTCTTCTATCTTCCATTTGTAGCGGTAACCCTGGAGGAAGAGTAGTGAGACAATATGACTTCTCTATGTTATGAGGAGCTCAATAGCGCGAATTGTTAGCTGCGACCGTTGAAGTTAAGCAACTTTAGCAGTGGTTGGTCATTAGACAGGTGACTATAAAATTAACTATCTGGAGCACCTCCGTGCTTCGGAAGGCATACTAAGGCGTTGTCCCGGGCTGCATCTGCAGTCGTCAGTACCCACAAATCCGCACTGGGCCTACGTGGTGGGTCATGCACGATCTGCCTATTCCATCTCTAGGAAAGGCCTGTGGGGACATTAATAGGCTGATAATGCTGTTATAAGTAGAGATGCAAAGATACCGATAGGATAATCGTATATCGGCTTACGATATTTATCGTAAGATTTTAAGATCATTCATTATTTTCCAATATTTTCACAGTATTTACTATAGTTTTGAATGCAACGAAACGCATAACGCGTCAATGTTCACTCCTATCGCTTTTGTTTGAAGTTGACAGCTTTAACGCAGAAAATGTAACAAATTAAACAATAAAATTACTGGCGAAAGCTTTTGAATTTAGATGAGACAGTCTCTTAAGGCTAAAGATGACATGACAGCAAATTGTCTACCTAGTTACAGAACTTTTAATTTTAACAACAGAATGTCCGTTTACTATGATTAATTGCTAATAAAGTAAAAGAAATATAGAAAAATAATAGTGAACGACATTCGTTTGTGCATGCTGCTGGGCCGATTTCGGCGATGTCCTTTATTTCCTTACTAAGTCTTAATACAATAAAAGACAAAGTGATACAAGCAAAAAGCTGTAAAACAAAAATCGTAATGCATTCGTATCGTAAATTTATCATCGTAATGGGGCATTACGATGTATTCGTCATTAGCAGTAACGTTGCATATCTTGTTGTAAGGACTGATTAGATAACGAATGGGAATAAATTTTTTACTATAAAAAAATCCACAATGGACTGGGCAGCAGACGGGACTCGAACCCGTACCCTTCGCTATCCGGGCGAATCCTGTCTGCTGCCTGGTCCACGTGATTTTTTTTCTAGGATTTTTTTTTTAATTTAAATATCCAGCAGTTAAATGCTTAAAAAAATTAAAATATAATTAAAGTGAACTAATAAGTTTATCTAATTCTAGATCTTACTATTCTTTAAGGGAAGTTTTAAGGTTGAAAACTGTGGTCAGTGATTATTTGGATGTATATATTTGCAATATCATTATCTGGGTATGGCCGCAAAAAATTGTACAAATAACATTCATGACATCGTAACACACGTTACGTACATGACAGAACGTTACATACATGACCATCATAAAGCTTAGTTCATAATAGAACCTATTATAGTAGTTCTACTAGTACTAAATAGTTCTAGGCCTGTGGTGGTGATATTATATTTCTTTGATTAACATTTGGCTTTAGATTTTTTCTTCATATAATATTCTTTGGTTAGCCCATCTTCTTTGTAGTTTTCGTACCAAGAATGTGTTTTCATGAGTTTCAGCACTAACACTTCAGTGATATTATTATTTTTAGCAGTATCTTTTGACTTCATTTTGCGACGATTTTGACTGACTCGCCACTGTTTTCTTTTCAATCTTTTATTTTCTTCGGTACATTCCGTGGTTTATTTTTTTATTTTTTTCTGCAATTTTTGATTTTATTTCTTTGTACTTAGAAGGATTTTGGGTTCGTAACTTTTCACAATATTTTGTTTGCCTTTCGGCATTGGTCAAAGGCATTTGGAATATTTATTTTTAACTAATTTCATCCTACTAATATTATATATGTGAAAGTTTGTATATTCGTTACTCAATAAAGTATACACATATTATGTGTGCCAAATTTTATCAAAATCCATTCAGCAGTTTTTGCTTGATTGAGTAACGAACATTAACATTTAAAGGATTCTCAAAAAACCAAAGTGAACTCAGACGAATTCGCGGTAAGGTTATATTTTAAGTAAAATAGTGTAATCTCCGCCTTAGAATCGGTCATGATTGTAACGTTACACATTTCGTTACACATTGTAACATTCATGACACAAAAAAGCGTGCGACATAACTTAAAATTCAAATATCATTTAATTGCAAACAATTATGGATTGTGACGTAGGGTTACTGTTTTCTGTGATAATACGTCTTTCTAAACACGTTAACAGTATACCACAACAAGCAGTACTTACCTTGCAATCAAACATACAAAAAACAATATTTTTTGGCGACAAATCTGAAGTCAACACAAATTACGATTTTTATTCGGAAAAATATGGCTGATTTTTATTTCTGAATGTTTGCGTCTTGCTTAATAGTATTGCAATTTATGAAAATAGCAAAAATTACCAAATCACATAATAACTGAAACGCTATTTTAATAAGCACGTTTAGAAACACATTGAGAAAGTATCTTATAGCATGAGTACAATTTAATAATTAGAAAAAACTATTTTTTTTTTTCGGAATTATTGGCAATTTTTGATACAAAGGTTGTAGTTGGACAAACAATTTTTGTATGGGAGTGAAAGCAGTACTTTTATAATTATATTTTTTTTACATATATTTTTAGGGATGGTAGGTTACATTTCGTCAAAATAATCTAAACAGAAGCTCGTCATTCAGAACAATGTTCAACAAATGACATTTATCAAATAACTTCAAAATTATGAGAAAAATAAAATGGGGACAAAACGAAAATGATATTTGTACAATTTTTTGCGACCATACCCATCTATAAACAGTGAATAATACCACAGAGGAAATATAATAAAATACTCTTTGCAGATGAGCTTTTATTGTCCGCACTTTGAATTTAGGAATTATTTCCGTTGGAGCCAATTTTTTGATGTCATTTTTAAGATATTACTGATGGGTCCTCTATGCCATTTCCAGTTTGGATATCATTTTCTTTTACTTTTTCTATAGCATTGGTAACTATCATGAAGAACTTCAACATTCTATATTACCTGGGAACCATAGCCACCTTCACTGTGAACTTTCTTGACCCTTTCCAAATAGTCCATTGGAAAATCTGTGGTGGTAGCCGGATCCAATATGAAGAATGTGTCATGGGCATCTCGGGCAGGGTGCTGTTGGGGTTGGAACAGAGCATCGAAGTTCCAGAATGAGCTTTCTATGTATTGATTGGTTGGCATTTCAGTGAATCCCATCTCTAAGAAGATCTCCCGGAATTCGGAGCGGACTTTCAAGAGCGGATGGAGGTGTCCACATTCTGGTGGCTGTCCTGTTATAAAGAAGCATTAGTTTTATTATTTCTTTCTTATTTAATTTTATAAATCATATAGAATATTGCCATGGTTTTCTCATGCAGCACTTCGTTACTATTCAGGTCAAAGAAATAAAATACTGGTTATTGTTATAATTTTAATTTTTTAAGCATGTAACTGCTTGATGTTTTAATCTAAAGAAAATATAACTAGAAAAAATTCCGTGCGTAGATGCAGATGAGACTCGAACCCGCACCTTTGGTTCTTCGCATTGTAGGTAACCCACAATGTGAAATGAATACTTTTACAAGTATTAAACATACACTATCGGTTCGTAAATCTATGGTGGCAGATCTTGTACTGAGGAGAACCGGCAAGAAACGCAGCAAGGGCTATTTTGTTCTCTCTGTTTTGTTTCATACAATGTCGGCAATTGAAGATGACATCAAAAACTGAAAACATGTGTTGATGACAACTTTCATCACATTAATATTATGTTACAGCAGAATTCTATTTCTAAAATTAAAAACAATTTATCTCATACCTAATGCATCAAAATTGTATGGTTTGAATTCTAATGTCTTCCATGATCCACTTAGAAGCATTTCAGTTGTCAAATCTGTCTCTAATTTCTTTATAGTAGTAGCAAATTGAGGACCTTTTGATAGCATGAAACTCTTAATGGTGACTTCTTGTAGTAGCTTTCGCTTCTTGTAATCATTCCTAACATTGTCGGCTAGATTGTCTATGCCCTTCTTAATTTCATTTAAATGTTCCTGTACTGTGTCCGTGATGGTTTCAACTTTACGTTTGACAAGGGGTGCTCCTCCTGATTTGTCTATTAATATCCATCCTGATGACATTGCTTTACTAAAACCAACTTTTGCATTTGGTGCACTCTGAAAACAAATTGGATAAGTTTTAAAATAGTGAATGGACTACATACCTTAATTACAGAATGGCCTTATAAAGTGGGTTTCTCCACCATATTCCTTAACAACTTCACAGATTAAAATTGTTTTATTTTTCAAGAGTTTTGTCTATACTTATTATAAGTAAATTTATTTAATACAGTAATCATATTTCTTTTTAATGGCGTTAAGCCATTTTAAAATTACTTAATGGTGTTTTGAAACATAATAGTTACTACTTATATCGTTGTTACTTATATAGTTATGCAAGATTCTTAGGAGTTCACCATATGATTACCTTCATGAGTTCAGCTTGAGTTATGCCGGACTCTGGGACACTCCGGTACAACACCGCTTCATGACTGCCATTGGCGGCCACTTGCTGACCTTCCTCCGTCAGTTCCCATCGGGTATTCTTAGTAGCCTCCGAGGTGACCATCTCAAGAGCTTCTAAACTCTTCACTGCACCAACGATTTTCTGGTGGTCCTCGTTAAATTCACTAGCTAACTGTAAGGTATCTACTTTATCATTCTTCTCTAATCTATGTAAAATCTTTTCGTTTAATTCCATTTTTTTAATAAATAATTTTGGGTTAACACTATCTTTTAGGTTAGAAAATTGTGACAAGTTGACATGAATTTTGATAACCTATGTGACAGCTGACGTATGTAAGTTTTATTTTTAAAAGCTAATTGGTAAAACGAAATTGATTTTACTGCCAAATGTTTTAAAAATTTTATTGAACCATTTTTTTTATTTCTACCAAAATAAAAAAGCAAGAGAAAAAGTTAAATTGCTTTTTTTGGCATATGTACTATGTAATTAAAAATTAGGTACTTACTGAAATTATTCAAATCTTCCAAAATCAGACTATTTACTAGAAGAACGATTCAAAGCTTTACATAATATAGACCCTTTGTAGATACTCAAAGTAAAGACCACAGTATTTATTCCATCTTTCTTTGATATTGATAAAAATATCATATTTTACCATTATTTGGCAGCACAATTTTAGTTATGAGTTGTTTAGCAAAAGAATAATATTGTTCCTAACGTCTGATAGTAACTAGATAAAGATGGATTTTCAGCATTATCATAACTTTACGGTTAAGGCACAAGACCGAACTGAACCACAGACCGCAGCTGCAGACTGCAGGCGACACTACCACATAGTTTCTATGAATCTCTATGAAATTGATTCCGAGCGCTGCGACATTGCGGCTTGCAGCCGCGGCGGGCAGCCTGCGGCTGCGGCATGCAGCGACCGCAGACCGCAGCTCCAGTGGTGTCGCCAACCGCAGAGAGGTTACACCAAAGATTTGAATAGATATAGTTTGTTTACCATAGTTTGACCGCACCGAAATCAGTCAATACTCGTCCCATTACCATTTTTTGCAAGAAAAATATTATAATACCGTCGTGTGCCTTCCGAAAGTGCTCTAAAATAAATAAATAATATTTAACAACAAGTCTTCATCATCTTCCTCTTCTAACAAAAGACACATTAGTAAATTATCGGTAGCGTTGTCCCAGATTCTGCCTCGCACGTAGGTATTGGAGTGACTACGGCATGGTTATATGCATTGTGCAGCAGCGGCATGTCGCCGCTCTGGGAATAGAAGTTGCCGCGACCGTAGGTAGCACTGCGGTCAGCCGCGGTGTCGCCTGCGGTTGCAGTCTGCAGCCCATTGCGGAATCGTACCTTAATGTTTTAGTTTAGTGTTTCGTGTAGTTTCGTATTTATTATTTGCTACTGTATTGTATTAGCCCAAGTTGTTGTTTAGAAAAATATAAACCCGCCGCCCGCTACTTCATCCGCGTTAACTTTAGTTTTTTGAAAATCCCTCAAGAACCTAACACTTTTCCGGGATAAAAAGTAACCTCTGTCTCAATCCCTGGATTGGATACGCATATAGTTAAGAACCTGTTCTTAACTATATGCGTACCAAATTTCATCCAAATCCGTTCAGTGGTTTAGGCATGGAAGCGAAACAAACAAACATACTTCGAATTTATATTAGTTAGAATGAGGGTAGATTCTACAAAAGAAAATGTTCTCTATTTTCTAGGTACCTAAGTATATATTTCATAGCAAAGTCATAACTGGGACCAAAAGTAGATTAATTAGAAGACGCCTCGTTTTACTTGCCCTGAAAACAAGGATATGTTGCACAGTACGAAAAGTTCTTATTTCTACCTGATACAGGCGCTTTGCAGACGACGGGGCGGGGCGGGCTTTTTGTCCGCGAAGCAATAAAAACCGCGTCTGCCCGTCGATGTCTGCGGCTGCCCTCGCCGCGTACACAAAGCACACGACGGGCAGAGGCGGTCAGTTTAGGACGTTCGTTCTAGTGAATAGTCCATCACTTAAAAGCACGTGGCGCGGACTGAGCTAGCCGCCCCGCGCCGCCGTCTGCGTTACTGCATATAAACTGATTTGTATGATCCACGGCGGGCAGCCGCGGACATGCCGGTCTTTTTGCCCTCTGTGTGCGTTTGTAGTATAGGATTCACTTTGTGCTATCGTTCGCGGCGAAATTGACCGGCCCGCTCCGCCCCGCCGTCTGCAAAGCGCTTTACTGTTAAATGCAGTTCTGTGTGTAATGTTGTCATAGATTTTATTATTATGTTGAATTTTATGATATCCTAATCCATTAGATTTGCTGCTGAACTGCGAAATGATTACAGGAGGAAGTCATAAAAGTTCTAGTAAAAAGAAAATTAAAACACAGACTTTTATTAGTCATTTTAATAAAAAAAAACATGACACATGGAATGATGACACTAGTTAATAAAAAGTTATAGAATTTATCTCCTTGTATTGAGCATCTTCACCTCAGTATAGCGTGTAAGTATTAGTGATACTCTATTCGAATTTCTAATCAAGGAGATAATAATTGGCACGATAGTAGTCGTTAAAAGATATTAATAACCAATACACAGCCCAAAGCACTATAAAGGCTGCATGGACATACAACATGTATGATACGTCGCAAGCAGAACATATTTAGCCGTATTTCAAATCGGCTAGTTACTTTGCAAACCGGATTCGTTCTGTATTACATCGATGAGCCGTATAATCGTTACGATACATTTTACAATACGATGATCGAGTTTTTAAATTTCACGCCAATGGTGTCGATTCTGGCATGATTCTCTAAACTTAAAATTAAATTATAAATCAATCTCTCCTTATCATTCCGTATAGAAAATGACAAGGAACGATTGAGGAGCTGGCAAACGAAACGGTAATATTACATATAATTAATTTTTTACAGGAGCTGCATACACTAAATGACATACCTACAGTAACCTTTTGGCATGGTTTCTTATTTATAATTTTTGTAATTTTAACACTGTTTTAGGCGATTTTGATTGAAAATTATTTTAGATTCAATTTCAACGGGCCCGAAACCTCCGGACTGTAAAAAAATGTGTATTTATACAGTTTTGTTCGCCAGCTCCTCATTATTATATTGACATTGTTGTCAAATTTAAGTTTGGGTTTAGAGAATCATGCCAGAATCAGCACCATTGCAGTCGACACAATAGACATCGCTGAAAGTATTGACAATAGGGATGATGACTAATTTTTTTTTCTTCGTTTATCAGGTAGATTATCAAAAAGTATTGGACACGTATTTTTTCTTTTTTCACATAATATAAACATTACAGAGATATATTGATTTGAAAAGTCGCATGACGTCACGTTTAAGTACACTTATAAGCGAAAATTCACTCAAAAGTGACGTCACGAGCCCCTACTCCCAAACTTTGACGCGCTATAACTTTGTCATTTTTTGGTTCATTTCCCAAAGAAAAAATACGTGTTCATTATTTTTTGATCATCTAACTGACGGACTAAATAGAATTTCGTTTACTGTACCCCGTCATCATCCCTATTGGAACTAATTGAAACTACCACGGCTAGGAACTCACCAAATTACATTATGGCTAGCCGAAAAGAACAAACGTTAATTGTAGCCATAATGCAATCTGGCTTATCGTCGATCAGACGTTTTGCAAAGCAGTTTCGTTGTAAATTTAGATTTCCGCAATGTAATACGGAGATATCTACAATCTACTTGCGACACACATACATAAATGAAAACTAAATACTTAATACATCCAGCATTTAAATTCATTAATCATTATTATATAACAAATCAATCATTCAAATATAAATACAAGTTTATTAATATAACATTAATAGAAGTATAAAATACCAAAAAATATAGACCTGGCATGGCTTTGGAAACAACAATTGCAAGGTCAAATGGAATGTTGATGGCTTTAGAACCAACAATTCTATTCGGTGCAGGCAGCAGATGGGACTCGAACTCGCACCCTTCGCTATCCGGGCGCACGCACTGACCAATTATGGTCCGAAAAAACCTGGCCTGCGTGATTTTTTTTCTAGTAATATTTTCTTTAGATTGAAACATTAAACAGTTAAATGCTTAAAAATAAATTATAACAACAATTCAAATCTTAAAAATAACTATTATAACAATACAAACAGTTCTCAGAGGCTCTAAGTTATTTCAAATCTCTGAGCAACTGTGTTGCCATAATCTTACTAAGATGTTGCTACGTTAAAATTTGTTAAATAATATTAACTCAGACATTTATGAGATTTTTTTAAGCGCTGATGCGATACGAATAATATCACTTAAACTACGAAAGAAAATTAATGATTTTACAGGCAAATGATCTATTGAATTATTTCTTGTCTATGATTTCAAAGGTAGTGTTGTTGTCTTGCAGCTTCTTTATTAGACTGGTATTAGAGAATGCGGCTCCCGTTGTAAGAACTCCTCCGCTAAAAAGAAATTGTGATTTTATTAGACAAAAATTGTACTAACCTCAAACTTATTATTTGCAAAGCGTGAAGTTTAGTTCGTAAACTGCGTACTAGTAACAAATTGGTTTACATTTAGGGGTAGCAATAATTTCATTTGAATGTATATTGTTAATATATTCACGAAAGTAAAGTTAGAAAAGAGATTGATAGGTTCTAAAAATCAAGAATTTAATTATAAAACAACTTTATCCAATACACAGGCAAAACAAAATAAGGCGCTGTGCTGCGACTGATGTTGGTTGGGCATCGTATATATCGAGTGTTAGCCTCCGAATTTCTCTTGCGCGATGTAGGCTTCCATTCGTAGTAAGCGCAGCGCCGGCAGCGCCACCTCTCGAGGAGGCGAGTGATTATTTCCTCCATGTTAGTTATATGTGGGGCATATAGGTGTCGCCGCCACAGGGCAAGCTTTAAACTTTTTACAAGTGTTTTAGAGTTTATTTAAGAGTGTTTGAGAATTTCCTGTGAAAGTAGACAATTTTACTTACGCCGTGGGCATCTTGTCCTTCTCTGTTAAGATTGTGTTGGCACACATCAGAAGGGCCAACGTACTGAATCCATAGCCGGGGTCCAAGGCTGATACCTGTGCATAATATTTACCATTAAAATTGATAGCAATGCCCACAGAACTGTGTGGAATTAATTTTTAATGCATTACAGAGAAGGAAACGCAATTAACAGGTTAACTAACGTAGGTAACCGCAATATTATAAAATTACTATACCACAAATGCCTCTTCCATCTTCAGTGAATACAAATGCAAAGAATGTAAGCGTTAAATACCCCAGGTACACCACGTGCGCTCAAAATGTTTCCCAATCAAGAAGTGCTTGAACACCACTCAAGCACTTCTTGGTTCACAGTCACGCGCGGACCGTTGAAAAGTAAAGATGCCGCAGAGCTCCGTAAAAAATACGAATACAATACTTATTTTACGTTGAGTGTCGTTTTTGCGACAGGTATTTAATAAATGTTTGTTAATTTACGCTTTTGAAGCAAATGTTGTTCTAATACTCACTATAAACTGATTTAATAGAAAATATTTCTGATGTTCAAATGCATGGTCGGTAATATAGCCGTCTCTTTTCCTCGCGGTCCGTAACTGCTATTTTGCTAACAGCGAATTCAGAATTGCGTGTAGAGACAAAGAAATAAGGTCTACATTCTGCCGCATATAGCAATAAGTCGTAAAATTTTACGAGCTTGCATTTCGAACTGTCGTATCTTTTTGACGCATGCGTTTTAATCAGGGTTGCACTGGATAATTGTCGTGATAATTATCATTGATAATAACGAGTAACTGTTATTGTACAAAACAAAATAATAGTACAGTGTTTAGTACATTTTATTATTATTAATAATAATAATGAATATAAGATTTTTTTGTTTAAAAATATTTATAGATATTTATCTAAAATAAATAAAAATGTAAAATATTCCTTTTATATATAGCTTTACAAAAAAAAATATATGAATAAATTTAAAATTGCATTATATTTAATTAAAACATAAGTAATAGCAGTCAATAATTACAATAATTAAGTCGTACACATAACAAAATTAATAGATTTTTTAACAAAAGTAGTCTCAGACTCACAGGTAAAAGTAATGTCTAAAAATATAAAAAATCTTTCAAATATATAAATGATATTTGATTTGATAGTTGGACAATTATCTGATAATTATCAGAGAAAATAATTATCTTGATAATTTGCAACCCTGGTTTGATTTAAGACCTTATAAAGTATGCATTAAAGGTGGCTTTCAGTGTTTAAATAATGCCTAATATTGTTTTTGACTACGCGATCATCTTACGGAGCTCCGTGGATCGTTCAATGTACCTTTTGGACAGGTTTCGGCCACGGATTTGTTCATGTTGGTGTATCTAGGGTATTTAATATCGTTGGTCTAGCTACTACATTGTACCATCAGCGTACTTGGAACGTATCAGAGATCAATATAATATTAGCAGTAGATTAGATACGCTCTACTCTGCCCACTGAATAGATCGACTATGCATCGTATGATGTCAGTATCTAACCCGTATGTTTACTGTATGATATCCGCACTAGCGGCCGCCCGCGACTTCATCCGCGTTATCTTTAGTTTTTCGAGAATCCCACAGGAACCTAACATTTTTCCGGAACAAAAAGTATTTTGTCTCAATCCTGGTCATAAACTATATACTTACCAAATTTCAGTTCAGTAGTTTTTGCGTGATTGAGTGACAAACTCACTTTTTATAATACATATAAGTAGGATGCAACATCCACAAAAACGTGGATAAAAGAATCCGTTTCATTCTGGCATGCGTATCAGTGTTGACTGTTAAGTGGACAAAAATGGTCATCATACGCGGTTACAATCCGCATTTGTACCTACAAATGCTCGTACGAGATTCAAACCCAGGACTTCAATGTACAATATATAAGAATCATAAATTAAAGAATCCTTAAGAGATAAGTTTAAAGAATTTGGCATAATGACGGTCGCATCATAATACATATATATGTCGGAGATTATGGTGTTATTAATTTATTCTGTTGGCAACACTTTTGTCTGTGACGTAACTGAATGACGTGAGTGACGTTGTCAATGTCAGTGTCAGTGTCAACCTTGTATCTGTCAGTAGTGCGTTTGATCGAGGAGCTCTCTTGCTCTTGAGACAGCGCCCGCGCCGGACGTGCGCACTGATCGATAAGAAAATAACATGGCGGACCACGATGAAGAAATTATTGAGTCGAATCCGTTTGAATCTCCAACAGCAGCAGTGGGATGTCTTCAACAAACATCCCACGAGTCTACCGCGATGCCAGCTACTGGAAATCAAGAATATTTCACGCCCGGATATGAAGCTCAAGAAAATAGCGCGGGTAGACCGCCAATGCAAAATGGCGCACCAACAACAGACACGTGGGCCGCATTTTTTCAAAATATGATTGCGGGCTTTCAGAACTCTAACCAACGAACTTCTACGAGCACCGCCGAGCCAAGAAAGCTGAAGGCCAGTGAAATTTACCTGCCACCGTTTGATCCAGATGACTGTCAATTTACTGCAGTGCAGTGGTGTGAAGAATTGGAGCATCACAGAAAAAACAATTCATGGACTGATTATGAAACCAAGAATGCTGTGTTCACTCACTTACAAGGACGTGCAAAGAAGTGGGCAGCGCGTACTTATTCTTTGTGCAAGAACTGGGAAGAGTTAAAGGAGCGACTTACCCGTCAGTTTGCTGCAACGAAGAGATTTCACGACCTGTTTCGCGATATGGTGGAGTACAAGAGCGACCAGGCGGTTACTTACATCGAGTATTCTACCAACAAGCTGGCGCTGATAGATCGACTGGAGACTGGTTGGGGAGAGGCAAACAAAATCGAGGTCGTGATTTCTGGTATCACAAATACTCAGGTACGTTCCGATTTATTAAAAAATACCCCGACCAATTTTGTTGCACTTGATAGACATTTAAGCACTTATCCTAGTATTAAAAGCCTTAAGCGACCTTTTGATAAAACGGGAAATGAATCTGTATCTTTTCAAATTAAAAGATCTAAAGTTAATGAAAAATCTAATGATCGGCGCTGCCATTATTGTAATAAGATAGGACATTTGAAACGGCATTGCTTATTATTGCGTAATAAAGATAAAAGCGAGGGCAGCGCCAAACCTCCAGTTCCTGTTGATAAGTCTAATAATAATACAGTGCAATGTTCTTATTGTCATAAACCTGGGCACTCCGAAACAACCTGTTTTACAAAACAACGTAATGAAAAGTGTAAAGAATTTAAAGACTCCAAGTTGCAATCAAAATTAGTTAATATTTGTTCACCCTCCAATGATTGTTTGATTGAAATACGTGTAGGTGGCTTTAACCTACACGCTTTAATTGATAGTGGTTCGGAGTGCTCTCTTATAAAAAGAGAAATAGCTGATAGCCTACCAGGCAAGAAAGAAATGTCGTTTACCCGTCTTACAGGTATTGGCTCTGTAGCATGCTTCTCATTCCAAAAAATTACCACTTACGTTGAATTTGATGGACTTCATACTGAAGTGACATTTGTTGTCATCGACTCAAACTTACTGCCACATGACGTAATCCTAGGTAGGGAAATGTTTAAGACTCCTGGCTTGGTTTTTACACTCAGCAGTAACGGCTTTAAGATAGCACGTGATGTCAGTGTCAACGTGTGTGATATCGAGAATAGAATCGCAGAATTTAACCATCTTAATACTGATCTGGTTGAGGTTTGCGATACAGATAGGTTGCGGTCTATAATAGAAAAATACAAAAATAATTTTGCCAATGGAAATTCTAAATCTGTTGTTAGAACCGGTGTGATGCAAATTAGACTTAAAAACCCTGATAAGATTGTACAGCGACATCCATATCGGTTAGCCCCATCCGAACGAACTGTGATGCGCGAAATAATAGCAGACCTAGAAAGCAAGGGTATAGTGCGCGAGAGCTCTTCACCCTTTTCGAGCCCAGCGTTGCTTGTGAAGAAAAAAGACGGTTCGGACCGCCTTTGCGTCGATTATAGAGAACTTAATTCTAATACTGTCCGTGATAGTTACCCCTTACCTCTCATATCAGAACAGATTGATGCCCTAGGACAGGCATGTTTCTTTTCGAGTCTAGACATGGCGTCAGGTTTTCATCAGATTCTGATGGCGTCTGAGAGCGATATTGAAAAAACCGCGTTCATTACCCCAGACGGCGTGTGGGAATATCTAAAAATGCCGTTTGGTCTCTGTAACGCACCTTCCGTTTACCAAAGAGCCATTAATAAAGCGCTTAAAGGGCTTAAGGACAAAGTGGCGCTAGTGTACGTTGATGATGTCCTCGTGTTCTCTAGGACGAAGGAAGATGCGTTTAAGAATCTAGAACAAGTGTTGTCCGCCTTGTCAGAAGCCGGTTTTACTTTTAATTGGAAAAAGTGTGCCTTTTTGAAGTCTTCGGTTGAATTTTTGGGTTACGTAGTGGGTGGTAATAGTATCAAACCAAATCCCAAGAAAATAGAAGCTTTGGCTAATGCCCCTTTACCAACTTGCGTAAAGGAGCTGCGGCAATTTAACGGTCTCGCTGGATACTTCAGAAAGTTTGTACCGAACTTTTCATCTATTATGGCCCCTCTGTATGCTCTTACTAAAAAAGAATCCAAGTGGCTCTGGACTGACGAACATACAAAAGCCCATGCTGCTGTGTTGCGTTACCTGACCTCCACGCCTGTTTTAACAATCTTTGACCCAAGTAAACCGATTGAGCTGCATACTGACGCGAGCTCGATTGGTTATGGTGCGATCCTATTCCAAAAGGACGAAACTCAACTGAAGGTTATAGAGTACTTTAGCCAGAGGACGACGGACGTGGAGAGCGGGTACCATAGCTATGAGCTGGAAACTCTAGCAGTCTTTAAGGCATTGAAACATTTCCGACACTACTTACTTGGTAGGGAATTTAAAGTCGTTACAGACTGCAACGCCTTAAAGGCATCACGTCACAAGCGCGAACTTTTACCTCGAGTACATAGATGGTGGGCGTACATGCAAACTTTTGACTTCGAAATCGAATACCGTAAGGG